CGTACCTAGGCGACAGCAACGGATTCGAGCTGCTGGGACTCAAGGTGCTGCGCAGCCGCACCTGTCCGCGCCGCAAATGCATGCAAGGGCGAGTTGATTCGAAGGACAAGATAGCAAGAGAAATCCAAAAATCCCGCCTTCTCTCAACAGGCGGCTCTTACACACAATTTCCAACACCATGCGGCTGTTCACTAATACATGTACCAAGTATCCGCCTACGATACAATTTGTGGCACCACCACCAAACACAGCGGAATATGACACCACTGCTGGACAACCAATTGGATCCAACAACTTGTATTTCGTCCTGAGAATCCTGCTTTCTGTAGGCATCATCGGCTCTCTCTAGCAGCAATCAACGCGTGTCCATCGCGAAAGCATAACCTGGAAATAGAAATCAGACGCCCGTGGGATTCCGGCAGGGGTCACTCCGTTTTAGGTTCACGCAAGCCTATTGGTTATCGTACCGTATTAGCTCGAGTTTCAAATCTTGGACAACGCATCAACTTGGATCCAGGATGGATGGCCATGTCGTCAGCTCAATGTTAGAGTTTCGTCCGGTTCTGCGCCCATTTCTGGGGAACAACTCCCGTATATGAGGACTAAGTACCTAGGTAGGTATTAGGCACCGGAGGTAGGTAGTCAGGTTAGTACTTAGGGTACCTAATGAGGTATTAGTACGGATCACTTCTGGCATCCCGTCAAAAGCTGTAAGTTCTTTACAGCCCGTGAGGAGGAGTGAGGCTGTAAGCCGGGGCTTCGGGAGTCCCCTTTCTCCCTCGAGAGTTATGACCTATTCGGGATGCGACGAGGCTTGATGAGATGCGTTGTGAAATTGGGTGGATTGCGCCCCGAGCCGCGGGCGCGATGGCGCAACGCTTTGAACGTTTGCTTTGCTTTGCTTTTCTTTTTTGCTGCCACTTCTGGTTTCAATGGATGCTATGACTGTTTCGGAAGCTCATTTCGACGGATGAGGATGATGAGAGGGGTCTTTTGTCGGAATTGGCAACGTGCACATCCTCTTTGAACTGAGTGTCGGGCTCCTTTGCTGACACCACAAGAGCTGGATGAGGTTGAGAGCTACCTAGGTAGGTATCTAAGTAGTAGTGCCACAGCTGCCACATATATTCTTCTAAAGCGTATTATTGATCTACCGATGTTACGAGCTGAGACGGATCGTTTCGGGCCGTCCTGCCCAACGTCACCAATCATGGCGGGGCACTGATAACCGCCGCCTGAAGAATTTCACGATAGGAGCTTGAACGGAAGCTCGATGTAAATCATCTCCAGAGCGGGCAACGGACTCCAGGCGATCAATCGGACACGCAAGCCTCGATACTCGAACCAGAGCTCACAAACGATTCATTCGACGTCGAATATCCCCAAATACCGAGCGTCCCCGGACCCGCACATCGCGCCGACAGCCATGGAGGCCGAAATCAGGGCCGTTCTCCCCAACATCGACCCGGTCGTGTCCGACTACTCGGTTGGCTATCTGACCCATGCCTCAACCGCCTGGTCCGACGAAGAGAGCGAGGCGCACGTCTCCCCCCTCAACGAGGCCGCCTCGCTAATCACCGAACTGCTCGTCTCCGCCTCCGGAGACCCCGCCCAGGAGGAAAAGATCAAGCAGCTCGTCGAGAAATGGGTCGACAAGTACGCCGAAGCAAACGGGGGCGAGCGCCGCGGGCCCTCCGCCATCAGGAGGCTCGACCAGACGATCCAGGTCAGCTCCCAGCGGAACATGTCCTCGACGCTGGCCGTGGCCGGTGGCGCCGTGGACCTCGAGTCTGCCAACGTGCGCAAGGTCGAGTCCAAGGTCGACCGCAAGAAGCTGGAAAAGGCCGAGCGCAAGATTGCCGCCAAGCAGCAGAAGAAGACGTTCAAGACGGTCGAGTACGAGGCGTCGAGGTTGCTGGAGCAGCCCGAGGATGCGCAGTCGTACGAGGAGTTTTACATGGCTGTCAACCCGCTGCAGCTTGGTGCGTCGGGGGCCAACAAGACCAAGGATATCAAGCTGGACAACATCGACGTGTCCATCGGCGCCAACCGCATTCTTACCGATACAACGCTTACGCTGGCGTACGGCCATCGATATGGTCTCGTTGGTAACAACGGTGTGGGTAAATCCACGCTGCTGAGAGCTCTCTCCCGAAGAGAAGTGCCCATTCCGACTCACATTTCTATTCTCCACGTCGAGCAAGAGGTAAATCATACTACTTGATCCTCGTCCATGAGATATGTGGAGACGACTGACATGATGTTGCTAGATTACTGGTGACGATACCCCAGCTCTGCAGGCAGTTCTTGACGCCGATGTCTGGAGAAAGGTCCTTCTCAGGGAACAAGAGGTAAGAGACACTGGCGCAGCAAGCTTTCGAGTACATCGTCTGACTTTATTCATAGGACCTCACGGCCCGGCTGGCAGATTTGGAGGCCCAGCGAGCTCCTTTGGCCGACACTTCGGCAGATGCTGCCAGGTTAGATCTGGAAAAGGAGACCTTGGACACCAAGCTGGGCGATGTCCAGGCCAAGCTGGCCGAGATGGAATCCGACAAGGCAGAGTCTCGTGCCGCCAGTATCCTGGCCGGTCTCGGCTTCTCGCCCGAGAGGCAACAGTATGCAACAAAGACCTTCTCCGGTGGTTGGCGTATGCGTCTGGCGCTGGCGCGTGCTCTCTTCTGCGAGCCTGACCTGCTGTTGCTCGACGAACCGTCCAACATGTTGGACGTCCCTTCAATCACTTTCCTTTCAAACTATCTCCAAGACTACCCCAGCACGGTCCTTGTCGTCTCTCACGACAGAGCGTTCCTCAACGAAGTCGCGACGGACATTATCCACCAGCACTCGCAGCGACTCGACTACTACCGCGGAGCCAACTTCGAGTCCTTCTATGCCACACGCGAGGAGCGGAAAAAGGTGGCCAAGCGAGAATACGAGAAGCAGATGGCCGAGCGAGCACATCTGCAGGCCTTTATCGACAAGTTCCGGTACAACGCGGCCAAGTCGTCAGAAGCGCAGTCTCGTATCAAGAAGCTGGAGAAGATGCCCGTGTTGGAGCCGCCGGAGAAGGAATACGACGTCAAGTTCCAGTTCCCCGAGGTGGAAAAGCTGTCGCCTCCCATCATCCAGATGTCAGGGGTCAGCTTTGGCTACTCCGCCGACAAGCCGCTGCTCAGCAACGTGGATCTCGATGTCCAACTGGATTCCCGTATCGGCATCGTCGGACCCAACGGTGCGGGTAAGACGACGGTCTTGAAGTTGCTCGTGGGCAAGCTGGAGCCGACAAAGGGCCTCGTCACGTCGCACCCAAGGCTTCGCATCGGCTTCTTTGCGCAGCACCACGTGGACTCGCTCGACCTCACCATGAGCGCCGTCAGCTTCATGGCCAAGGCGTATCCCGGAAGGACGGACGAAGAGTATCGACGCCAGCTGGGCGCCTTTGGCATCACGGGCACGACTGGTCTGCAGAAGATGGCGCAGCTCTCCGGAGGTCAAAAGTCGAGAGTGGCGTTTGCGTGCCTGGCGCTGACGCAGCCGCACATTCTGGTGCTCGACGAGCCGTCCAACCACTTGGACATTGAGGCCATGGACGCGCTGGCGGAGGCGCTCAACGAGTTCCAGGGCGGCGTGCTGATGGTCTCGCACGACGTGACGATGCTGCAGACGGTGTGCACGTCGCTGTGGGTGTGCGACGGCGGCACGGTCGAGAAGTTTGACGGCACGGTGCAGCAGTACAAGAAGAAGATTGCGGCTCAGGCAGATGCCGCCGGTGTTGTCAAGGCTCATTAGACTAGTAGTATACTATGAGAGGCTGTCCATATTATACCAACTGTTCACCTGGGTTGTCTCTCAGGGGCAGCCAGGCTGTACATATCTACCACATTCACCATCTATCTGTCTTGATCACCTGACTGTACGAGTCCTCGATAACTATGTATGTACTCGTATGTGATGCTGCCATGCTCGCTTTGTCTTTGTGCTTCCCATTCTCTTTTGGGGGAGGGGATGAATTGGCCTGTCATCTCTCTTTGCCGGATCCTCGCAGGGACGCGGCCAGGAAATGTGGGGATGGCCAGCTCTTCATCTCGGCTCGTGAGCTGGCGCTGCATGAGAGATGGGAGGTGGGAGGGGGGAAAGAACCGGCAAAAGAAGGAAGAGAAGGCCTGGCCCGGCGTTGCGGTATGTATGTAAAAGGAGGTTTTGCCACTCTTCTTTGTGTTTTTATTTTTTTTTCTTCCTCTCTGCGTGTACATGCATGTATTACTGTACGAGTGGCCTTGTTCGTCCTGCTGTTCTCTTCTCTTCTTGGTCAAGTCTCTCTTCCTGGTCGAGTTAGGAACAGGTGATGATGGCCAGGTCCCCCAACCTTGACGTCCAGGGACCAGGCGGCAAAATCTGCTTAGCGTGCCTGCAAGTTCTCGCTTCGTGAGGTACCTACCTCTACCCAGGCACTGGTACCTTGCTGATTGCTGTGCTTGTACTGTGGCTGTTGGTGCATGGCAAGTCCCTACTGTAACTGACTGGTTTGATGTTCGTGTAGATGCTACTGTGATACATTGTCTCGAAGAATCGAATACAACAGACGAACATCGTATTTATCTCGTAGACAGGTGCGTGTGGCGTTGAGGTGTGTCGGTACCTTGCTAATGGGCTATCGACCTGCCCGAGTGAAGCTCCAATAATGCCACCTCCAGCAGCCAGTTGCCAGCCACAGCGCTGTAACCAACCTACTCGCAGCTGTCTGGTACCTGACCCTCCCCCCCTATCCAGGCCCTGTAGCCACCCGCCGTCCAGCGACTGGCCCTCCTCGCACTGGACTGGTCTGCTTGACTGGACCTCGAGTCCTCCTTCCCCGGCCCACGCCCCGCCCTGCCACCTTCCAGGTTTCCATTTGAGCGGTGAACCCGCGCATCTCCACCCGCTCTTGCCAACCCGGACCCTCCAACAAAACCCTCCAGCTTTCCTCGAGCCCAAGCTCTTGCTCCTCCCAAACCCGCCAAAAGCTCCTTGTTTGTCGCGCGCCCTCTTTTTCGTTTGCGTCTTCAGTCTCAGCTTCTCTCTCTCTCTTTCTTTCTCCCCCCTCAACTCCTAAGTTAATCCATCACAGCAGCCATCATGCGTGAGATTGTGAGTCCATTCCATCTTCCCCTCCCCCGTTGTTTACTTTGGGCCAACTCCCGCTACGCGTTTGGCGGCGGGAGCCCCTGAAATTGTACCCCGCCAACCTCGACGAAACGAACACTTTGGCGTTTTCCCGCCCGAAAGAAGGCCCAATTCCGCTCGATCGAGGCGTGTCGTGATGCTGCGAGAATGACATTTGCTAATTGCCTGAGTCTCCTTTTCCGATGAACAGGTTCACATCCAGACCGGCCAGTGCGTAAGTTACTGCTTCCCTCCAACGACGGCCCCCCGCGGACTCGAGCTCACCATCTTCAACAGGGTAACCAAATCGGTGCCGCCTTTTGGCAGACCATCTCTGGCGAGCACGGCCTCGACAGCAATGGTATCTATGGAGGTTCTTCCGAGCTCCAGCTGGAGCGCATGAACGTCTACTTCAACGAGGTTCGCGATTTCCCCCCCTTTCTGCTGGCGTTTGCAGCTTGCTAGACGAGCACTCTGGGAGGGAGCCCCTATTCTGACTCTAGGTGCTGCAGGCCAACAACAACAAGTATGTTCCTCGCGCTGTCCTCGTCGATCTCGAGCCCGGTACCATGGACGCCGTCCGTGCCGGTCCCTTCGGTCAGCTCTTCCGACCCGACAACTTCATCTTCGGCCAGTCCAGTGCCGGCAACAACTGGGCCAAGGGCCACTACACCGAGGGCGCTGAGCTCGTCGACAACGTCCTCGACGTGATCCGCCGTGAGGCCGAGGGCTGCGACTGCCTGCAGGGCTTCCAGATCACCCACTCCCTCGGCGGTGGTACCGGATCCGGCATGGGCACGCTTCTCATCTCCAAGATCCGCGAGGAATTCCCCGACCGAATGATGGCCACCTTCTCCGTCATGCCGTCCCCCAAGGTGTCCGACACCGTCGTTGAACCCTACAACGCCACCCTCTCCGTCCACCAGCTGGTCGAGAACTCGGACGAGACCTTCTGCATTGACAACGAGGCTCTCTACGACATCTGCATGCGCACCCTGAAGCTGTCTAACCCTGCCTACGGTGACCTGAACTACCTCGTCTCCGCCGTCATGTCGGGCATTACCACGTGCCTGCGATTCCCCGGTCAGCTCAACTCGGACCTGCGCAAGCTGGCTGTCAACATGGTTCCCTTCCCCCGTCTCCACTTCTTCATGGTCGGATTCGCTCCCCTGACGAGCCCCGGCGCCCACTCCTTCCGTGCCGTCACCGTGCCGGAACTCACCCAGCAAATGTTCGACCCTAAGAACATGATGGCTGCTTCTGACTTCCGCAACGGTCGCTACCTGACCTGCTGCTCCATCTTGTAAGTAGTGCCGTGCCCGGGAGATGCCGAGGCAAAGAGTACTAACACGTGTGTCTAGCCGTGGCAAGGTTGCCATGAAGGAGGTTGAGGACCAGATGCGAAACGTGCAGAACAAGAACTCGACCTACTTCGTCGAGTGGATCCCCAACAACATCCAGACTGCCCTTTGCGCCATCCCTCCCCGTGGCCTGAAGATGTCGTCCACCTTCATCGGCAACTCCACGTCCATCCAGGAGCTGTTCAAGCGTGTCGGCGAGCAGTTCAGCGCCATGTTCCGTCGCAAGGCCTTCTTGCACTGGTACACTGGCGAGGGCATGGACGAGATGGAGTTCACCGAGGCCGAGTCCAACATGAACGACTTGGTGTCGGAATACCAGCAGTACCAGGAGGCTGGTATTGACGAGGAGGAGTACGAGGAGGAGGAGGCCCCCGCCGAGCACGACGAGTAAAGCGTCTGCTAGCGCATGGCGGGCTTTTGTTGTGTTTCTTCTTCTTCTTCGGGTGCATGCTTGATGTGTAGCCCCTGATTACACTGTACGACTTGCCTTGAGGGGGGAGTGTTTAGATGACTGGACGACCATTTGATATCCACGCGCGATATGACTGTTGGTCAGATGGCAAGTGTTTGCAAACCTAATGAATAAAAGAGTACAGTTATGTACATAAAAATGCTGTTCAAGAATTTGTTTTCCAATCGTGCCTGTGAATTGGTTGAAGATGGCTGAAGCCTCGAAGTCTGCGTTGGCGAGTCTCTTTGGCTGGGTACGACCGCTTGTAAATATACCTTCAATTGCTGGTAGAGGCAGATGGCCGTCGAGCCTTGGTCGACGACTTATTACCTACATGTATACACACAGCCTGCAAGTCTGACCTGTGTTGACGGTTGAAGCGACCGAGTCGGCTGTTGGGGGACACAGTGTGGCATGACACCACAAAGGCGCCCCCATCCATCCGCTGACTCAGCAAAAAGTTCGACTCCAGCTCGAGAAACTTCATCAAGCAAACCTCCAAAAGCGAACCAGGGCAAATCAGCCAGCATCCACGACAGCCATTGGAGATTGCGGACACCTACGCAAACAACAACAATCCGTGGTGTGGCTCGCGCAATTTTCCAGCAATGGCCGGACTCATTGCGCCTTGCCGCAGCGGCGGCAGCAGGGCGGCGCTGTCTGCCGGGCCCCTCTCAGCGCTTCTCCCAGCATCTTCCGTATCCGTATTTTCAGCATCATCGACCGGTCGACGATTCCCCTCCGCGACGCAATCACCATCATCATCATCATCATCAAGACCGTTTTCGACGACACCCGCGGCGCGGTCGAAGCTCGGGCGGACGCCGCTGTCGGTGCCGCCGGGCGTGGAGGTTGTCATGGGGGAGCCGAGGGCTGTGCGGAGCGCGACTTCGTATAAGCCTGTTGTGAGGAAGACGATTACCGTGACGGGGCCATTGGGTGCGTTTTTCTCCTCCTTAACTGCCCCTTTTACCTTATCTAAGGCATTTGGGATGGATGGATGGATGGATGGGAGGTTGGGATTGGGACCTGAACTGACGGAATCTTGTTGTGTGCTGTCTAGGAACGTTGACGCTGGATGTGCCCGAGTTTGTGGACCTTGCGCAGAGCGCAGAGGACAAGACTGCGACGTTGAGCGTGCGGGATCCGAATGAGAAGGAGCAGAAGGAGATGTGGGGTATGTATATCATCTTCAGCATCACCTCGATATTGTCCTTCTCCCTCTCTGTTTCTTCCCTTTTCACATCAATTGCTCCCATCGTCATCGATAACCAAACATGGGGGGGAAAGACAAGCTCTCTCGTCTGTTCGGTCACAGCCCAGCTAACCCTCAAATCATCCCAACCACAGGCACGTCATGGTCCTACCTCAACAACCACATCACCGGCGTCTCCGAAGGCCACACGGCCATCCTGCGCCTCGTGGGCGTCGGCTACCGCGCCAGCGTCGAGCAGCGCGGCGCCAAGGAGACGTTCCCCGGCCAAAAGTTCCTCTGCCTCAAGCTCGGCTTCACGCACCCGGTCGAGGTGGGCATCCCGCGCGGCGTCACCGTCACGACGCCCTCGCTGACGAGGATCCTGATTGAGGGCCCCGATCGGGAGGCCCTGATGAGCTTTGCGGGGGTTGTCCGCAAGTGGAGGCCGCCGGAGCCGTATAAGGGCAAGGGGGTGTTTATCAATGACGAGACGATTAAGTTGAAGCAGAAGAAGATTAAATAAATCTGAGCTGATGCGGTGAAATGGTGGGGGGAGGGAGGGAGGGAGTCTTCTGATCATGGGACGGGTTGGAAATGATGGAAGAAAAAAGAAAAACAAGAGGGAAATGATGGGTTACAAGGAGAAGTAGAAAGGAATGGCAAGTGTACAATACGCAGTCTTTGGTACGGGTTACTCTTGACAGAGGCTTGTATGATTATCAATTGAGAGAGAGGGAGATGGGGAAAGTCTCTCGCGAAAACATTCTACATACTAGGCACTTTAGACAACAGGTATTTAAGGTATATATATATATATCTCTTACAGCTTTGAGCTCAAAACCTCCTGGACCGCCTCCAAGACCTTGGCATGCACGGCCAACGGCGCCGCCACAACGCCCTTGTTGTTGGCCAGCGTCCGTCCGACGCTGAAGTCGAGCCTCTTGCCGTTGACATCGGTGACCTGGCCGCCGGCCTCGCGCACAATGAGGTCGCCGGCAGCGTGGTCCCAAATCTTCTCCTGGTACGTGGCGCTGACGGGCAGCCGCAGATAGATGTCGCCGGCGCCGCGCGCAATGGAGCCGTACTTGGCCTGGCTGTCCATGCGGACGCTGGGCGCGGTGATGCCCAGCCTGTGCGAGATGGCGGCCTGGTCGCCGTGGGAGGAGTGGCCGGCCTCGACGCTCTCGCAAAAGTTGGCCTGGGTCAGGTCGTCGATGGCGCGCATGGAGATGGGCTTGCCGAGCTCCGGATCGAGGCTGACGGTCGCGAGGGGCCGGCTGGTGGCGCCGTGGCCGAGGACGGCGGAGAAGAGCACGCCGTGGCCGTCGTCGTCGGTCTGGTTCTCGCCGATGCCGGCCGTCAGGCGGGCGGCGTCGTCGACGGGCAGGTTGGGGCAGCCCAGGGCGCCGACCTTGACGTCGCCGTCGACCATGAGGGCGAGGCACACGGCGTACTGGCCGCCGCGGAGGAAGCCCTTTGTGCCGTCGATGGGGTCAATGGCCCAGATGCGGCCGTGGGCGCCGCCGGGGCTGTTGCCCTTGTCGATGAGCTCGACCATGGCGTCGGCGTCCCTGATGGGCCCTCCCAGCAGCGCCTCGGCGTCGGGGTTGTCCAGCCTGGTGTCCTTGACCAGCTCCCAGACGGTGCTCCGCAGCTTCTCGTCCTCCCGCAGCTTGGCGGACTCCTCCTCGGCGACGATGGCGTCGTCGGGGAAGTTGTGCTGCAGGGCGGCGATGATGAGCGCCTGGGCGCCAAAGTCGCCAATCGTCACGGGCGACTTGTCGTTCTTGTCGACGGTGCCCTTTGCCTTTTCGTGGAAGACGCGCTTGGTGAGGATGGCGGCGCGCTGGACGGCGAGCTGGGCGACCAGCAGCTCCTTTTCGTACTTGTCGCGACGCATCGTGGCGGTTGTGTGGAGGGAGAAGAGGCGGCGGGTTTGGCGGAGGAGGAGGGAGGAGGAGGAGGAGAGATGGCCGAGATGGTGGTGGTGGTGCACGAGGCGGGTGACGGAGAGCGGGAGGAGAGCCGTGGTGACGCCTGTGATGGGGGCGAGGAGGGAGGCGAGGAGGAGGATGATGATGATGGCTGGAATGAAGAGGAAGGGAGGGAGAAAGAGACGGGGCCTGGGGGAGGATGAGCGACGATCAGAGGAGGAGGACGACGACGACGACGACGGATCAGAGGCCGATGGCGGTCGTTTATGTGGAGATGCAGAGGCAGGAGACGACGGCATTCCCCCTCTGTGTATGTAATACCTTAGGCTACGCAGAGCCACTTGAAGCAAATGACTTGAAAACCCCAATTATCAGCTTCGATTGGACAATAACATTCGAGGCAAACGCAAGATGCTGATCCCTCAATCACTGATGTCAAGCTCTTCCCCGACCCCCCGATGGCCCGTCAAGGCAGCCCAGCGCAAAGCTTCCGCCTGTAATTAATCAACCCTCCTGACAACCCCGCCGACGTCCCGCGCTGCTGCTCCTCCATGCCGCCCCAAAACTCCCCCGCCCAGGGACTGCCAGTTTGGTCCTCCAACAGTCCCGTTCCCCTCCATAGCGGCGGGGGGTCCAGCTCCGGCACTCCGGCCGTCCAATTTTCCGGGCCAGCAGCAAAAAAAAATTCCCAGTGCAATGCCCGGTACTATTATGTATTTCTATCAAGCCATCCAACCGCCCAATAACTCGCATCACCACCAACCAGCGACTCACAGCATCCTCCTCAACCACCTCGATTCTCCTCCCATTCTCAAAACCCGACATACAACCAAAAACAAGTCAAAACCCCAAACAATGGCCTCCTCCTCTCCCGCAACGCTGCGCTCCCTCTACCGCTCCCTCCTCCGCGAACTCCCGCCCCGCCCCATCCTCTCCTCCCCGCGAACTCCTCTCCACCACCGCATCCGCTCCTCCTTTGTCGCCGTCGACAGCCCTTCCTCCTCCTCAGCTCCAGCTTCAGCTTCGACTTCAGCTTCGACTTCGACTTCGACTTCGACCTCGCCGCCAGCGGACCAGCACCAGGTCGCCCTCGGCCACCAGCTCGTCGCCTACCTGCGCGCCCAGCGCATGTACGTCACCCTCATCGAGCGCTACAACCCGGGCATGGACATGGACCAGGCCGAGCGCATCCGCCTGACGGCCAGGAGGGTCGGCATGGACCTCCCTTCGTTGGGGAAGAATGGGGCGCAGTAAGAAGGGGGGCGACCCTGATTCTGCTGCGTCTCTTTCTTCTTTACACCTACCTAGTTATTCCTTGCCCCCATCTCTTTGCGAGCCATCGGGTGTCCCTTACCGTCATACCCTCTTCGGCTCAGGGAGGGTGACCTATCATAATCACCTATTACGCCATTCTATGCCATACCATGATCTATCCCGTCCAAGCCTCAAACGACACAGAATCGACCATCATTCGGGGGGACGTTCCGCCCCCACCCCGTGTACCATTACGCGACTCCGCCTATTACACACCATCACGGAGGATATTGGGCGCAGCAATATGCCGCTCTTTGGAACCCCCACAAGCAGCATATCAAGCAGAATCTATCCTATCAACACTGGAGAGAGCAGGTTTAACGGTCAAAGGTTTCAACTGACTGACTGCGCCGCGATGAACGCGCAGAATTGAATATATCAAAAGAGGAGGAGATACCACACAATACCAGTCACGGCACACACACACGAAAACTTTTGCTTCTACGCCCCCTTCCACCAAGAGGGAACGAGTGGAAGAGCCCGAGAGAAGTACATACTAGCAGCGGCTGACAAAGATATACGTCTCAAGAAGACTCGTCAGCCGCCGCACTGCGCAGGGCAAGCAGATCCAGCGCAAACCGGCCATCTACAAAGAGAGTGGCATTCGCAAGTTGAGGGGACCTTCAACCGGCTCTATTAAACGTCATTTCGGATCTCAACCATTTCATCCGCTTCATACTCCACGTGTGGGTGTGTATATACGCCATTCTTTGGCTCTGCATCTATGTTTTTTTTTTTCTTCTTCTCTACATGTAGTACTAGTTGTATATACTAGGTATCTTAGGAGTGTGCACGCTTGTATGTTATCCTCGATATACAACAAAACCTCAGGCACCCAAATGGTCGCCAAAATATGAATATATACAAGTTCCTCAAGGGGGTATCAAAGTAAATATCAGGCCAGACAAATCATGTCTGTAGCTGTTTTGCCGAAAATTCCAACTCTTCGCTTGCCAGTCATCAAAATGTCAAGAAAAGGCTTCGCTTCTTTTCATCCTGCTTCCCTTCATATCTTGCCTCAGGCCTCTCGTTTCTCTGCATCATCATGATTGACTCGTGAAATCCACCTCGCTCCAAATAAAACGAACGTCCCGAACGAAAAGACAAGAAAGAAAGGAAGGAAAAGTGCCAAAGATAAGATCAAAAAAAAAAGAAAAAGCCAGCGCACGCTACGCTCACACAACTCCAACTCCGTTATCCTCCAACGTCTCGTCCCACCCCCCCGTCTGCAGCAGCCACTCCCCCGTGCGCTCCTTGACCGCCGTCATCGCCGCCCCCAGCGAGCTGTCCCACTGGTCCTGCACCAGCCGGACCTTGTCCTTGAGGTCCTCCGTCAGCCGCCGGTTCTCAACCTCCCTCATCTGCTGCGCGCGCAGCTCCCGGTCCTCGGGCCGGATCGGCGTGCCGTCCGCTTCGGCGAGCTGCGTCGCCAGCACCCGCGCCTTGGCGTTGACGACGGCCTCCTTGACCTCGTGCAGGAGGCACAGCTGGTTCGTGTGCGCCTCGATGAACTGGTACGTGCTCTTCTCGGCGTGGAGAAGCAGGCTGTACAGGTACTGCAGCGGGTGCTCGTGATACGCGGGGTTCTCCTCGTACTCTGACGCCGGGATCTGCACCCCGAAGCCCTCCAGGTCCATCGGGATGCTGTCCAGGAGCCCGCACAGCGGTGGAGCAATGTCCCAAAACGCCGACAGTTGCAGCTCGATGCCTCGCGCTACCGCCTCCTCCATCACCGACCTGAACTCGCGCGCCCGGTTCAGCACCTCGTTGGCATACGCATACTCCCGCTTCTCCGCGTCCTCTCTGAAAAAGGCCTCGGCCGACTTGAGCTTCTCGGCGTTTCCAGACAATCGATACGGCGTCAGCACAACGTCGCGATAGCGAGCGTTGCGGTCGGAGAGCAAGTCGTAGATGGCCCGGTGCAGCGATTCGCGCTGCTCAAAGATCCATTTCAGGAGCGTCAGCTTCTCCAGCAGCTCCGGCTTGTCGTCTCCCTCTTCTTGCGGCATGTCGGCGTCGATCTCGCTGCTGTCAAACAGGTGGCGGGCCAGCTCGTCAAACAGCTCGGTTGCTCGAGAGATGCGCTCCGTCAAGATGTCGTTCAGCGGCAGCACCACCTGGTTCTGAAAGTGCTCGTACTCCAGCTTTTCCACCTCCTTCTTCTTGTCCTTTTCCTGTTCGTTAAAGTCCGACTCAATCGCCGCAGCATCAGCGTAGCCCAGATTCCCCAAGCTAATCTCCTTCTGCAGATTTGATCTCAAAGCTTGGCGGCGCTCTGCTGCCGCCTTGGAAGCATCTTCACGGCGTCGGAGACTATCCGCGGCAAATCGCTTCTTTGATCCTTCAATTTCCGCCAGCTCGCTCAGAGATCGCACCGACGCGCGGATCGAGGCCAGCTCGGGGTGGTTGTTATTCACCGCAGGGTGATGCCTCGGATAAGGAGGCGGCATGGTCACGAGTCTGGAAACGTCCAAGAGGCCACGCCTGTTGGTTGCCGTGGACGGCGTAGAAGCCACAGAAGTGCTCGACTGCTGAGGAGTCCACACCTCTCCCTGATCATGCCAGCCCGTCTTTTCCGGGGGATACTCCGACGCAGAGAATTGCTCGCTGGTGGGCACATAGTGCGGCGTCGTCTGTTCCTCAATCCACTGGTCCTTGGGGACGCCCATATACTTGGATTCTCGCTTCGATCTTTCGAGTCCGCTGCGATTCGGGTCGCCATTCGAGTCCGTCTCCCACCAACGGCTGGGAGGTCTCCCTCGTGAGCTGCCGTTTTCGTGATTGTCGCTCACGCTCATGCTAAGGATAGGAGACAATGATGGCATGTAATTTGCGGCACCGCCCCAGTTGGGAGGTTGTTTTATCCCAGGAGACGGTGGCAGGCTGGCTGATGCGGGTGCCGAGCTCGATGAATCGTCCACTTGGTGTACAGAGCTGACAGAGCCCCTGTGAGAACGGTTGGGTTCCGAAGATCCTGGCGTCCAGTCACCCACGGATTGGGAGGTTATCGACTCTCGTCGGATCGAGTCCATCGGGCGGAACAAGTCACGGCTCAGGTCGAAGATTTCCGATCCCATGGCTCCAATGGCCGCAGAGTATCTCTCACGCCGTATCCTAGACTCGGTGACTATAAAGTCTGAAAAGAGACGAACCCGGTCCGCGTCAGTTGCAGCCGAGGCTTCCTTGATGGCAAACGATCGGAATCTCTCAATGGACCCCGTTGCAAATTCCGCCGCGCTTTGGTTCACAATCATGTCCTTTGACGGCAACGCCGCCGTAGACGAAGACAGGCGTGATGCCTCTGCAATGACTGACCCAGATGCAGACCTGGTCTGAGGCGGCGGCGTTGGCAAAGACTTCGGCACGCTACCTTGGCTTCCGCCGCCTTGCCGGTACGGCTTGGCCAGTGTCGGCGAAAACGGTGGTGTTGCGACTTCACGATGCAGCAACGTGGCCGAGTCTGGTGCTCGTGGGGTCGAATTGCGAGAGTCGTGCTGCCCTGATGATTCGCCGGTAAGGGGCTGGTCCATCGGGGCTTTACCGTTGCTCCGGGGAGTCGCCTTGCCGAGCGTGAGCTTGCGAGCCAGGCCGCTGCCATTCGCAGGGACAACAATGTCGGCAATCTGCTGCACCTGTATCGTACTGTCAACAGAACCCCGCGATTCATGCCGGGTGCGACTCTCGCTTCTCCTTTGCAAGATGGTCTTGTCGTGGCGCACGGCCTTTGCACGGTTGAGGCCACTCGCGCTGCCTGAAGAGTTCAGGGGCGGTTGGATGGGCTCGGCAGGATGGCTGGCGCTCCTTGTATCAATTGTCAGGTTGGGGGATCGCCCTTTCGGCGGCGGGATTGGCTGCGGCAGCTGCAGCTGTTGTGACGACTCGCCGGTTTGAAGCGGCGCCAGAGGAGGTAACTGTCCCGACGAGGCCAAAGCCTGCGGTGGAGCGGCAGAAGGCGTATCACTGTCAACCCAATCCGCCGGCGTTGGGGGGACGGGTCCAAGAGACGATATGCCGGACGGCGGGGGCCGGCGCGTCGGCGGAGAGATGATGGGGACATTGTTCCTGTCCATGCCCTGCACGCTTTGCGACCTGCTCGACGACGGCGGTGGTCCCGGTGGGGGTGGCGGAAGAGGCATTCCAGGCTCCCATCTTGTCTGAGAAGTAGATCGAGAGCGAGCAGATGTCGGAGTATCGATGGCGCCAGTGGAGGCGGCTCTGCGAGATGCTGGGGGAACGGCGTCGACGTTGACGATAGAGATAGACGCAGCATCTTGCGCGTGGAAATAGGCCGGTCCAACGCTCCGTCTTGAAGCAGAATGAACTGGCTCTGGTGAGTTGGATGATTCAGTGTCTCTCCGTCTTCCCAGAGACGCCAGCGCAAACAAGCGCTCTCGTGAACTTCCCCTGCCACTGGCGCCCGGCGGCGGAGGAAACGAGCGAGTAGCAGCCGGTGGCTCGGGAGAGGGCCGGTGGCCCAGCAGGCTAGAGAAGCGCGACGGAGGAGCAACGACCACTTGCGCCGGCGCGTAGTCGAAGGCCATGGTGACAGGACGGGGCTGCTGCTGCTGCTGCTGCATGTTTCTCCTCGGCGTGTAAGGCGGAGGGGGAGGGGGAGAAGCTGTCATTTTGAGTCTGGTCAGCAAACACAAGTCCGTCCGTCCGTCTCGCTTTGCCTACTATCCAGGTCCAACATCAAGACAGGCAGGACATGAATAGTAGGAGAATAGAAAATTAGAAACTGTCCCCACCCTGAGCTTCACTGCCAACAAGCGAAAGCGGCCGTTCCGTCGCCGCCATGGCCGCTGGCGAAGCTACCCATTCCTGGGGGTTGTACGGCAGGATGGCGCTGGCCGGCGTGTGTATCGCCTGCACTTGAGAGGAAGCCATGGACACGGCGGATATGGGCGAGACGAGCTGGTTGCCGTAGCCCGCCAGAGACGAGGTTGAGAGCGGATGGAGGGCATGGCGAAGACGCGCGGGATCACGGGGAGAGGTGGAAGACATATTGGCTCGAGCTTCCCGAGGCCCAGCCGCCCTTGCGGTCTCTCCCAGTTCGGTGACCCTTGACCTAAGGGGGTGGGAGAGAGGGGAGGGGGGGCGAGAGGCTTGCTGAGGAGTGCTATGAGGCGTTTCGGACGGCAGGTGAAGGATTGGATCTGGCGATGGGCCACCCCAGGTCGGGGCCTGATGTCAAGACTAATCGGCGCACCAACTGGGAGGCGGTATAAGACCAGGCAGTTCTTTGTTTCGTTCTGCGTTCTATTTGGAGGTCCAGCCTGGCCATGCCCGGATCCACCACAGCATCGACTTCAGGTGGGATAGAAATCCCGGCCTGGCAAGGAGCGCTCGGATTGGCGACAAGAGGCCGAGGAGGGGGGAAGAGCTGGAACTGCTAGCGAGGCGACAAGGAGGCCGGCTACCACCATATGCGAGCACATGTACGGACGAGGTAGCATGGACAAGCATATGCAGGCAGACACGGGCAGCCGATAGTAGGTACCTAAGGTATAGTAGGTAGTAGTCTGGGAAGCCAACGAAGGAATCCAGGACGGAAGAATCTGCAGGCGATCAGACACGGGCGAGTCGCACGGCATCCCGCGGTGGGAAGAGGGAGCGAGCCGCGCCTGAGCAGGTACATGTCGGCACTGCGCAGTCTAGCGTGGCCTTGGGGTACCGGACCGGGCACTACTGAGGTACAGCAGTACCGAACCACCAGCACGAGCGACTAAAAGCATCGTTCGAGAGCGGGCGAGAAACAGCCCGGCAGAGAGCAGCAGCGACAGGCGAGGCAGCATTTGATGGTGATGGCGAGATGTGCTTGGCTGGCGCGAGTCGCTGGTCCCTTGTAGCAAGCGGCGCGCTAAACCGTTGAGGCCCCGCCAAGGGCCTGTAGCGCCTGTGCGCGAATCCCTCTCGGGCTGTCCAGGTACCTGCGACTTGATGTTGAGAATCCTCAACTGTCGGGTCCATGCTGGCTGCCCTCAGTGCAACCCTCCAGCTCCTGTCCAGTGCTTTCTTTCAGTGTCACCGAACCTATCGAAACCCCCTGTAACCACCTGCTGGACCTGACGCTTCGGGGTGGCGAGATCAAGGCCGTCAAGCTTCCTCGCTGAAGGATTCCAGCCCAGGGCATGCAGCGCCGAATTGGTGAGTCGCCTTCAGGCACGTATGTATCCGGGTGTTGCACGAGAGATGCCAGGGACGGAGATGCTAAGGCGTGTGATGGGATGTGACGACAAGGGGGCCGCGTCTTTCTCAAAGAGCCATCATGGCGAAAATGCCTGCCGTTCTTGCATGCTACGGACTCTCAGTTACAGATTGATTGGCGTTTTAGGCCATGAAACATGAGTCGTCTTCTAGTGCTGTACTGTTTGTGGTTCGTCTCAGCTTGTGCAAGCATGATGCGGCTCCATCCAGAAGCGGCAAGCTGCAGAGGAGAGCACACAGACGTGTGAGCACATGCCCGAGAAGCGATGCCATCACCAACACTTGAAGCTGTGCCGAAGCTGCCTGCATCTTCTCTCCATGCTGCAACATTACTCCGTACCTGTAATCAATGAGGTACCTACAGCCGACCAAGTACTCGGTACGCCGTGCCTGCCACTAAACATGCGACCGCCCCTGCGTGGATCGCGCCTTTTTTTTTTTTTTCGCCCTCTTTTTCTGCTTTGGACGCGACTTTATTGACCGACAAACGGCTCTCGTTGGCTGGAAAGCAGCAACTTGCGCTACTAAGCGCCGGCAGCCATTCGAACCACATGTGTTGCCTAATATAGCGCCCAATCACAGCCGCCGTTGGGGATCCAGACTCCAAGAATAGATCGGCTCTCCCACCCCCACACAATTTCTGCATCGTTGGAGCAACAAAGAACGAGGGGGGGGGGAAACATTGATTAATGAGCGGCTTGAAGAAGGCTTTCGATATTGTTTTGGTTGTTGGCTCTTATTATCCCGTGGACGTGCACATATGCAAAGCACATTGAAGATTTATTGTTTCCCTTAATCTCCTTTGCCGGAGGACAAAGCGTTAATACTGCAGCCTCCCTCTCTCGGCAGTTGATGGGTGCCGGGCTCGGAGAACCGCCGGCATAAAGTTAACGATCCTTGACCTCCGTATGCCCCTCCTCGGCAAGATTGCATAGGCAGATCATGGCAAGCAAAACCTCCCAAGCCCTTCCACTTTGGAACCACTCATAAGGGATTTGTGGGCTTTTTGCTCCGACGACCAACTCATGTGCTCTCCGCAGCAAGTGCTCCGAGGCCGTCAAGTCAATAGTACGCTGCTGTTATTTTAGACACCCGTGCTTAGAAGTCTTGCTCACAGCGTTGGATGCGGATGAGGGAGGTCAGCAAGCCTTCATTCATTGGGTCTGCAGGCTAGCACCAGCGATGGCCCAGCAGTCGGCAGGTCTACGGGTCTGACTTTCAGCTTGCCGTACATTGCCCGCAGAAGTCGAGGGCTGACCTGTAGTACTATTACTATGTCCCCGCCGCTTGGTGAGCTTGATGCTCAGTATAAGTCGAGGCGGGCAGTCTCGCACGCCCTAGTACTGGTAGAAGGCTGCGGCGGGACGGCAGGAACAAGTTGCTTTGATGGAGGCAACGTAAGCAGTAAATATTTTTGCAGGTAATCACGCATCGAGACTATCACAATGCGCCTGCGGCAACTGATCCAGCAGGCGCTCGAATGTGAACGTCTGAGTATAGGGTAGGTGCGAAGCATATGTTGACCCGCACCAATGCGCTTGTAAGGAAGAGACGGCGTCGTGAAACGTTGAAAGAGGGTGGTTAGGCGGTCCCTCAGGTTGAAATACACAGGATGTTCGAACCTAGAGAAGTGTAGCCGTACAAAAATTCTGCCGGAGAGTCAGAATTGTCGATTGTTGAAGAAGGCCGATGATCTGATCCCATTGTCCGCTTACTCGTTCATGCTGTGCCTTGCACATGCCCGAATAGGTAACCATGGACCACTCTAGAAGAATGGTTCAATCAGTAACTCGCCAATTCTTGAAACGGAAATTGTGATGTAATCCCCATGAGTTGCATGGTCTCTCCTCGGACTGCACATTGACCTGCTGGTACCTATCATAGCGTATCATGTCACGCCTCAAGAATCCTGAAGCCCGACATCTCCTGGACCGCTCTGGGTGGATGACTTGAAGCTTCCCAAGTCTTCCAATCTGCCTGCAAAAAGAGCTGGGCGGATGCATCGGATGACGTGCGCATTCCAAGCTACCAGTTTGCTCAAGACGGCTGATGGCCAATCGGAGCATCTCCCTGGCATCTCCAGATGCAGGTTCAGCTGGGTCAAGGTGCCAAAAGCCCAGAAAATGTTACCAATCAACAGAGCGATCGAGCCTTTCTGGTCACGTTCTTCCGTCTTCCCAATGCTCAATCAACCGGCATCACATGTCGTCTGGATACAACAGATGCTTGAAACAACGGAAGCTCTAAGCTGACATGCGCATGGGGTCCGCAGGCGTGCCTGAGGCCATTCGCGAATCATGATGGCCAATGTGGCTTACGTAACCCATGAGGCTGCGTTGACTAGCCAATAGCCCCGCTTTCCTGCTGGTGGGGACGAGGCTCATAAAATTCTAGAGGCTTCTGAAGCTCTCTCTCTCTTCTCTTCTTTTTCTCCTTCTTCAAGCAGCTCCCCTCTGCTTCGAAACCACCACTTTCTCTCCCAAGTCTAATCTTCTGTTTCATGCTCTTCTTCGTTGCTCTACCTTAATCAATACGGTACGTTGACCCCCCAATGTCTCCCTTACTGCTTCCAATGTACACGCCAAAACCCCTTTCATGATGAAATACCAGCTGGCACCAGTCATAGAGTGATTTGTACTCCCTTTCAGTGATGACCAAAATTGCTGTGGTCTCAGACCACTTCTGAACCTCATTTGGCCAACTACATGCTTGTTCTTCTACTCAGTCTTTGCTCGGCATTGATGCTAATCCTGCGACTGAATAGGACATTGCCCGCTGCGCGGACGACCGCTGAGAATCTTTTCTTTCTTTAATACCCAAGCCTAACCTTGCAAGATGGTTCTGCACAACCCCAACAACTGGCACTGGGTGAACAAGGATGCGTCTGCTTGGACGAAAGACTGGTTTGGCGAGAACCTGACCAAGCTCGAGGTGGAAGATGGAGATGTCAAGGCTAGGATCACCAAGGTCCAGAGCATGACCGGCGACGTGGATGTCAGCCAGCGCAAGGGAAAGGTCATCACCATCTTCGACGTTAAGCTTGTACTGGAGTACACTGGTATGGTAGACCTCAATATCCTCGGTGAAGGCGTCTGAGGCTGACCTCTCCCAGGGTCCACTGCCGATATCGACGAGGTCTCAGGGAACATTACCATCCCTGAGATTGCCCACGACACGGATGAGGACGACTACGTGGTATGTAAAGGCTGCCCCATTGGTTCTTGTATAACACGCCGCTAACGCGATTGCCTCAAGTTCGAGATCGACATCTTCTCCGAGTCAAAAGAGAAGCAGCCCGTCAAGGATCTTGTGCGATCAAAACTCGTTCCTCAGCTGCGAAAGGAGTTTCAGAAACTGGCTGGTGCCTTGATCACGGAGCACGGAAAGGACATCCAGCATGCGCCTGACTCTAATCCCTCCAGCGGCTTCTCTACCCCGAGAACCCTTCCTCAGCCTGTGCCAAAGGCTGGAACCTCAACCTCTACTTCTCACACCAGCAGCTCCGGCGTCGTCAACACGGTGACAGTGCGTGACGACCAGGAGTTCCGCACCACTGCCGAGGAGCTGTATCAGACATTTGTCGACCCCCAGCGGTTGGCTGCCTTTACCCGGTCGCCACCCAAGGTCTTCGAGGGAGCGAAGCCTGGAGGCAAGTTTGAGCTTTTTGACGGCAACGTCTCGGGAGAGTATCTTGAGCTGGAAAAGCCCAAGAAGATTGTCCAGAGCTGGCGACTGAACCAGTGGCCGGCCGGTCACTACTCGAAGCTCAACATTGAGTTTGACCAGAACGACGTCGACCACGTCACCGTCATGCGGGTCACTTGGGAGGGTGTCCCCGTCGGTCAGGAAGACGTTACCCGACGTAACTGGGGCGAGTATTACGTCAAGAGCATTAAGCAGACCTTTGGGTAAGTCTCGTCGTGTTACAAAATCGCTACAGCCATCCAAGATTCGTTGCTAATTGTTGTTTGACCAGATTCGGTACCATTCTGTAATAACCACGACAACTCGATTGGAAATACCAGCAACAACTCACTTTTGATCAATGCACTTAACCGAGGGTAGAGATGGGGTCGGCGTCTCTGCTATTGGTGGCGGATGGATATACACTTTATTGCTCTTGGTAGGTCTATACAAGGCCTAGATGCGTGAGGATACGACGAACATGAATCATGATATGTAGATACAAAGAAACCAAGCAAAAAAAAAAAAAAATGAAGAAAACACACTTATAACATCTTCAAAAAATATTCCAATAACTTCCCATCTTGATGATTGTGAACACGTTCTGCAAATATCGAAAAGAATGTAAGAGAACATGAAGAGAGGAGAAGTCCATCTTCCCGGAAGAAAACACAATACTTTGTCGTACACGGCGGGATCATCAACAGGCCAGACGCTATGAGTACAACAGCACCGCTTTCGAGTCTTGATGCTCAAGAAATGACAACGACATCCGTGTGCCCCTACTGAGGGTATCCAGACTTGGCGGATATACTCCTTCCCCGCGGTCGACGCTCCGTAAGGGGCTCCCCCGTTCCGTCGCCAAAAGTGTAGTTGGAGAAGAAGATGTCGCCGAGGTTATGCAAAAAGCCCATGTCATATATATTGTCGACGTCGTTCAGGTCCCAGACATGCTCCCACTCGCCCTGGCCGGCAAAGTTTCTCTCCTGGCTTGGCGGCTGCGCGTCCTGAGTCGTGAGTATGATGTGTTCCGGCGACGAGGGCCATCGAGGACAGGGGGGCTCCAGACGTCTGTTGCGCGGCCGGTCGGGGGCCAAGGGGCGCCAGAAGGCGTAGCCGTCTCTCATGTCCTCCTTATAATCGGTCCACTTCATGGATTCGTTGGTCGTGGTGCCGCAGTAGACGAGGAACAGCGTGTAGAGGAAGAGGGCCCAGATGAGGGGTGCGGTGAGGAGGGCGAGGAGGGTGGACGCGCCCATGCGGATGTCGCCGTGGAGGCCCCAGCCCCAGATGGCGAGGTAGCGGTGGAAGTCCATGTCCCTGGCGGGCCAGAGCGTAAAGGTCGGGTAGTCCTCCCTGATCTTGGCCGTGAGCAGGCAGAGGCCCAGCAGGCCGCCGTAGGTGACGAGGATGCACGTCGACAGGAGCAGGAGCAGGAACCAGTGGTGGTTGCCGTAGCCGACGCACGAGTTGATGAAGACGCAGTGGTGGTCGGCGCGGGCGATGCAGCGCTTGCAGATGTCGCAGTGCTTGGAGCGCGGCGGCTTGAGGAAGCGACAGGTGCGGCACTCGTTGCCCGGGTGGAAGAGGGCGTAGTCGTAGGGGTAGAGGGACATGTGGTAGGCGTGGTTCTCGCGCGTGATGTAGCCCGGGTCTGCGGAGCAGGCGAGGTAGAGGAAGACGTAGGGCATCAGGACGGTGACGAGGGCGGTGGACTGCGCCAAGAGGCTGATTCTGGGCAAGACGGCAGGCAGATACATGTACTCAGACACGGTCATGATTAACAGAAAGAAGATCTGTATGAGAGTCAGTCTGAGAGCAAACAAACATCTATAGTAGGGGGAAAATGCTGCAGCCAACGTACCACGATGGTTGGATGGCGGTCATACATGAGACGGCGGTAGAGCCATGCCAGCGATCCGGTCACCCGCCCCGAGGTGAGCGTCTGGTCTATACGCAAGACTGCATTGGGGATATATACCCAGATCAACTTGTGTAGCCAAGCCATGGGTGTGTTCCTGTAGAGCATAATGTTAGTGAAGCCCGTCTGAGGAGGATGCGGACGCTGCACTCACTTCAAAGCGGGAAGCCTGCCGAAGAAGGTGACGAAGACCACAAAGCATATGGCTAGGATGATGATGAGTATCTGCTTGAGTACATCCATCGTGACAAATTGCTTATGTGTTGGTGATATGTCATGACCTCATAACAAGAGGCATCTGTTGAGTCGCAGGCAGAGAGCGTGAGCTTTCTGGTCATATACCTATGACGAGGAGTCTACTGCCGAGAGGCCGGTTCTCTTATGTAACATGCGCTCGCTTCCGATCCGTGAACGAGAGAGTATAGAAGGAAAGACGAAATAAAAAGAGCAACGCCCGTGTACTGCTGCGCACCTAAAAGAAAAAGCAAATGCGCAAATGAAGCAAGTAAAGAGAAGACTGTGGTTGGGTTACGCAGCCAAACCTCCAGCTGTCACCAGCCTTTCCCCCAGCTGAAGCAAAATCAGCGGCGTTATTCGGCCGTGGTGGTGTTATCGTTATCGCGGGTCTTCCCTCTTCCTTTTCAAAACCCCGATAGTTGCCTAGTCCGAAGCGAAGCTTGGGGAAGTACTAGTAAGTTCTACCCCCTCGGCCATGGCAGCCACGTGACTGCGCGACCTTGAGCACGCGTCTCATCTCATGGATTGGTGAATGGCTTTTGAGAGCATCAATGATGCGAAACGATGATGAAAGGGAAGGAATATCGTGAGAGAATGAGTGAGGTATATCATTGATATATGACAATTCCGCAGTCAGATTATTCTGTGCTGTTGGAGGCGAGTTCCGCTCCTTGTACTTCGTCCTTCTCCTTCCCGCTCTGCGTCATCTCAAAGAAAGGTACCGAGACTGTCGCACTCAAACTCACAACAATTGCCGTCAACGAAACTTGCCAGCGCAACGACACTCTTCATTCACTCGAGCATGCTTTGATGGGCGCATGGAAAATCATATTCAACTCGATCAGCTGAGGGTGAACGCGACAAAAGAACTACGCTCAAAAACAGTGCGCGACAATCGATTGCCATGGCATCGCATATCACGTATGACGGAGTGACAGGGTCGGGAGGCAACATCTTTGGAGGCATCAAGTTCTGGGTTTCTGTCAGCGTTCCTCAACGGTCCAGCATCATCGAAAAGATCGAGGTACGTAGATATATATTGTCTTACAAGCCGCCGAAGCAGCTGCTGATCCTCTTTTCTCGTCTCTCCCAGAGCAATGGCGGCGTTGTGGTCCCTCGTGAGAAAGACGCAGACATGCTCATCGCGGACCACGCCAAGAAGAACTCGCCGCCAGAATCGTACTCGTGGAAGTTCATCACGGACTCTGTCAACGCAGGCATCATCCAGGTGGAAGACAAGTACCTCAACGGACAGGTTCCCAGTGCTTCCACTGCGCGTCGGTCGATTCTCGCAGGGCCTCATGCCAGGAAGACTCGGACGCCATTCACGACGCACGACGACGCCCTCATTGCCAAGTATGTCCTTAAGGAGGGCATCAACACGGCTGGCAATGTACTGTACATGAAGCTGGAAGACGAGGTATGTCCGCATCACTTGGCTCACCGCTCCCCTTTTCAAACAAGGCAAACTAACCAAGCCTAGTATCCCCATCATCCTTGGCAGTCGTGGAGGGCTCGTTGGGTGAAGGCCTTGTCCTTCAAATCGGATGAAGAACTGAAGCGGTTGGCGAGACTGGCTAATGTGAACTCGCACAACGCACCGACTACTGCGGAACACACCACCAGGATACACCAACGGGAGGAACGGCCGCAGGCCCCTCGGGCTAATGCTGACTCCAGCGCGGGCAGGGAACCTTCTCGGAATCGTACCCAGCCCTCACCTAGAGTTTCTAGAGTTTCCACAAGCGAAGCAGCTCTGCGCCCAGAGGCACTATCCCCGACACGTCCTCCTGGGAGAAACCGCACGGAAGACGCGGTTCATGAACCAAGTGGCGATGCAGTTGAAGAAGGGACATCTCAATACCACGATGCAGCTGGCTTGGACGAGTCAGCCGCTTTCGAGGAACAAGAGGCAGTGGAAAATGAACGCCAAGGAGAACACGAAGCCCACGATCGCGGACAAGAAGAGGCTGGAGCAGAGCCGGAAGACCAACAGGAAGAGGAAGACACACAAGACGATGATGTTAGCATTGATGGGGGCCCGTCATCATTCTCGGAAAGGGATCAGTTCTTCAGCGACCTCCGGGACTACTGCGAAGCCAACGACAAGAGGCTGCACACAAGATGCGTGATTGAGGATCACGAGGTCGACCTGTTTGACCTGTATCAAGCTGTCAGCGCGCAGTCTGTCCCCCTAGATGAGGTGGACTGGAAGCAGGTGGCGGAAGCCGTGGGCCTTGGCCGCTCTCAACGCAAGGAAGTCACCGCTGGCTTGTTGGAGTCAAGCTACAATCGCTACCTTGGAGACTTTGTAGAGGCCATGATGAGCTTCGAAGACAACGAGGAAGATCCTGACGAGGACATTACGGAAGAAGATAGAGTTGTTTCCGGAGACGAAGAAACTGCCAACAACTCGACAACACCACAGTCCTCCCAGCATAATCGCGTATTGTCTTCCAAGGTGAGCGGTCCCGGCGAGTCAAACTCGAGAAAGAGGTTGCCGGATGAGCGGCCGTCAACGCCAGAAAGAATGCCCAAGCGGAGGCGGACGATGCATACGGAGATTCCGATGACCCCCGAGGACAAGCTGAGGACCACTGCGCGTCTGTCTGCACCGTTATCGGCACCAGGTAATCTGCAGAGGATCACAGACGAAGAACAAGCGGAGACTGGAGAGCCGTCGCAAAGGACTCCTCGACAACAACCACCCGCCGAAGAATCGTTTGACACGACCCCCTCTCAACAACTGCGGAGCGAGACTGAATTGGTCGTGAACCCCGAACATGCCGAAACCCCTACTCTCTACTTTAGTCCAACGGCAGCACGCCTCGGCCAGAGAAACGATGGACGACTCGAAACCATACAAGAGGGAGTCCCGTCTACGTATACGCCGATAAGAAGGCCGCCCAAGAAACGCACGCTACCGGCCTCTTTCGAAGAGGCTCAGTCGCCGCGTTCTCGGGAACAGCGAAGAAGCCAACTGAGGGAGGAGTTGGAAAGACGGCGCCAACAGCAGCGCCAACAACAACAACAGGAGCAGCGACAACAACAACAGCAGCAGCAGGAAGAGCAGCAGCAGGAAGAGCAGCAGCAGGAAGAGCAGCAGCAGGAAGAGCAGCAGCAGGAAGAGCAGCAGCAGGAAGAGCAGCAGCAGGAAGAGCAGCAGCAGGAAGAGCAGCAGCAGGAAGAGCAGCAGCAGGAAGAGCAGCAACGAGATGAAAGGCAACGACGAGATGAGCGGCAGGCACACGAACAAGACCGAGGCCGCACACCACAACAACAGCCGGACAATGGACAGGAGCAGCGGCCGCAGCAGTTGCGACAAGAGGCAACCGGCCCAAGCAACCCAGACGAACAGGATGTTGAGGCAAATGTTGAGGAGAACAAGGAGGAGTTTAGGAGATGCAAAAAGGACTACCTTAGCCGGGGCTATAAGAAACACGAAATCATCGAGGCCATGCGCCGCACCACCATGACCCCCGGCGAGGTCATGGACATTGTCATAGAGAGCCTCCGGGCCGGCCGCGGCGTCCCAGACAACTACGAGGGCATCTGGACGGACCGCGACGACTCCCAGCTGAGGTACGTCGTCCGCGTCGGCGGGCTGGAGCGCATGCCGGGGGACGATCCCGAGGGACGTCGGCGCAAGGAGAAGGCGCAGAAGATGCTGGATCGGCTCCTGCACAAGCACGGCGAGGCGAGGGTCGAGCTGCGCAGGAAGTTTCTAAGGGAGGTGGCGCTGGCGGAGCAGGAGATGGAGAGGGGGCTGCGGGCCTAGGGGGGGAGCCTCGAGCGTTCTCTTTCTTTCTACGCCTTTATTGTTTCGTTATTATGAGGGCCACGATATAGTGCGTGTCCCCTATGTTTTTGTGCTCTTTCGGCCGGTTTCATCTTGCGAGGAATAAGGGCGAAAAGGAGCGGAGGAAATTCATGCGTTTCACATGTTTCTCATTCATGCGGAGAGACTGTCCATGGGAGATGTAACGATCCATCACTCACAGTCATCTTTTCATGAACCTCTCGTTGGCGACCAGTGTATACATCCACATCCACATATATCCATATATATATACAGACTTACAATGATCCATCTCGATCCCTCTCGAAAGCGCCATCACTCCCTCTTACACAAAGTATGCGCATAATGCCACCCCTCCGTCGCAATGTCCGCCCTCACCTTGTACACCTCCTCCGCAATGTCCAACACCTTGCCATCCACATCCACCACGCTCATCGCCTCCTCAACGCCCAGCTTCCCCAGCGCGCCCTGCAGCGGCATCGCAACCTGCGTCAGCCCAATGAACTCGGTGCCCTCCTCATCTTTCCCGCTCGTCCCGCTGCCCAGCGGCGCGCCAGTGTTGCAGAAGACGAAGCCGCAGGTATTCTCAAAGGCCCGCGCAACCGCAACATTCTCAAGAAACAAGCGCTCGCACTCGGGATTCACCTCGGCGCCAATGTCCCCGCCATCGCTGTTGAGCCAAAAGGTAGGACAAATGACGAACCTCGCCCCGTCGGCGACCAGCGCGCGACACGCCTCGGGAAAGGCCAGGTCCCAGCAGATAATCAGCCCCATGCGTCCCCACGGCGTGTCAAACGCCCGGTGAGGCGTCAGCCCGTCGGCCGTCAGGTGCGCCCTCTCCGGATGCCACAGGTTCTTCTTCTGGTACCGCCCCAGCAGCGCGCCGTCCGGCCCGATAAAGTACGCCGCGTTGGCGATGCCTTCAGTCTTCTCTGTTGTCGCTCCGGACGCTGCATCGTGACCGCTCTCGTCGTCTTCGGCCGCGGCGATCGGCTCCAGGATCGTGCCGGGCGCAATCGCGATGCCCAGCTCCTTGGCCAGCGCCTGGTACCGCGCGAGGTACGGCGCCGACTCCTTCGCCGCGGCGAGGAGGATCTTGCTCTCGGGCTTCCAGGACGAGAGGTGGTATTCCGGCAGGACGGCGAGGTGGGCGCCCTGGGAGGCGGCTTTGCGGATGTACGACTCGGCGCGGGCAAAGTTGCCGGCGATGTCGAGCGGCTAAACACACATGTCGTAGACAAGGTTAGTTAGCCCTCTGTGAATTGACCTTGAAGCTTCATCGCTTTTTCTTCTTCTTTTTGCGCAGGTGAGAGGATAGCAGGGGCAGAAGGGCAGCTGCAAAAGCAAGGGACCTGCTGGTGGCATGGGAAGCTGCAGAAGAGTTGCCGAGGCTGAGGCTGGAAGGCGCCCAACCCAAACCAAGCAAAAGAGCTCTCAAACTCACCTTGGAGTACAGCTGAATCAGCGCAATCTTCAAATTCGACGCCATCTTGTCTTCTCTTCTTCTCCTTTTGATTCAATTGACCACAACAGACGTTACACAAGCACACCTTTTCTCGGCAAGAAGACGCAGGTTCAAGAGAAAAGACCACAAAGGTGTCTTGCTTCCTCCTCCTCCTTTAAATTCTTATCGACCCGTTTTCAGCCCAAGGCTAAAAGGCTCCGTCCATTCAATATTGCCCTCTCTTGATAATCATGCCTACTAAATCAGAGATTCCCCAGATAATGGGCCACCGAAAACCGGCGACCGAGATGACATAGGCTGCGGAGAAGGCGTCGCGGCTGTCCAATTGCGCGGCTGCTTATGAACCCCGCGAACTACAACTCGGTCGCTAGCTGTGTTGAATCGTTTCTCTTATCAAATCTTCGCGGAGGCTCGAGTCAGGTTCAGAGCTAACAGCTTCAGACGCCGTTCCGTGTTACCCATTCTCCATATACTACCACGGAGTGATTACACTCAACTGCCCGCTCAGAGGCTGGAGTCTATCATCATCATACGGAACAGATCGGAAGCCTGGCTATAATTAGCTATCTGGGGATGATCTTGGCTGTGTTGCCCACTGCCCACGACGACCCTAGATGCTTGCCTCCCTCTTAACCCATAAAACTCCGTCTCAATAACCGTTGGTAAAACTTGCCTGGAACCTCCACGGAAATACTAAATCGAAAACGCCAACGCCAGAGTCTCAATGTCCCATATACCATGATCCCAATATCCCTTGATATCCCTTGCTGACGTAAACAGCAACCATATAGTTTTTTACGTATAACTTTCTCTTAACCAAGCTTATGCGACCTCGTTGAGCTTGATTTGGTGAATATGGGCATGCCTAAACGAATCTCTAGCGTAATTATCCTCGTCTGATGCTGCAGTCGAATTGGAATCCATTCGAACAGGTGGCTTGTTGGTAGGCGTAAAGGCCGTGTAAATATCGTTTCCGTAATGTTTGGCGATGGATACACCCAAGCCGGCCATCTCTCCTAAATAGTTGGCGGCTGTCAGTACTTCAATCAGCGTCCGCGATACCACTTTAGTCTCACTCACCGAGACCGATGAGTACAACATTTCTCATCGCGGAAGGTGGCAGTCCGTACGAGCCGACGACCAAAGACGTGAGTGGGCAAAAGACATAAGGCCACCAAGACCCCCAACCAAAGCTGTTGTAAATGGAGCTGCGGAGAGTAACGGCCGTGGTTGAGGCTGCATCGAGAATGTCCATCAACTCCGAAGCTGTTTGCTGAGCATTGTTAAGCCGTTCCTTATGGGCTTTGTGCTTGACCAGCAAAGAGTCGGCTAGGCCTTCGAGCTTTTGCATGCCCTATCGAGTTTGCATCAGTGATTCGTGCTTCCTTTGCCTCCTTCCAGTATGGGACCTGTCAACGCGGGCAACTCACCGTCTCAATCTTCTCCTGTCTCAATGCAACAGCTGCAGCGGCGGACTGCGAGATCTCCTAGCCAAACACGGTCAGCAAGGCAAAACTCCATGTGCCAATGTAACCTACAATCTCTCGGCGCAAAGAAGTAGACGAGGCAACTGCTGCAGCCAGCGCTGCCAGTATGACATCAACCTCGCTAGTGATTCGTAGAGTAACCTCTTGTAAAGAGGCCTCGTGAGAAGTTGCCAATTCGCGATTCTGCTTCTGCGCCACCCCAACCAGCATGGCCAGTAGCGTTTGTAGTTGCCTTGCGTCGTCAAGTCCGTGAGTGACAAAGTCCGCCGATTGCTGTAAGTTCTGTCAGCGGCTGACTTGAGCGCCATTCTATTCATAAAGTCCATTCCTTACCTGCACGTTGTGGACGATTTGATCCTTGAAAAGTGCATCCAGCTGAATGATGCCATCTTGCAGGTCCTTCATCCGAGGCTTTAGACTCTCCATAGTAGCCCCGGCTTCTTGAAACATGTGGTTCATCGATCGAAGCCGCTCCTCCATCTCTTCTTCGAGCTGAGTGGTCAGCTTGGCGAGAATGCTCGTCAGCCTTTGGTGGACTCGGATGTTTTGGTCTGGGATCGTGTTAGCTGTGTCGCTATTCCAATGTAGCTAGATATCACTGATAACCCGACCCTTTTCGTTGTCCGCGCGAGCTGCCTCGCAGAATCGCAAAGCCTTGTGGCGGTAGCTCACCCAAGTATTCCAGGCTGAGTCCGACTGTGCCAGGCCCTCGAGACAGGCATCAATCTCGAGTGTCGTTACGTGGAGATGAGGCTTGTTTGGTGGAGGCATTCTAGCCAAGACCGACTCTTGGAACTTGGAACAGGAGGATGGAATAATGAAGTTACCCCTTTCCAGGTCGCATATAGCCAAGCTTGCAGCATATGAATCGATAAAATCACGAGCAGCTCGTCCAGTGTCGGTCATGATCGTTGCCTCATCCCGGCCATCGAGCAGTTGACAGTTGTTCACCAGAAGAAGGGCCGCAGTACGATGACAGAGGGGTTCTGATTCCAGCTCCTGAAGCTCGTTGAGCGCAGTGGCATACATGGCAGGCAGCTCCGAGTTATCGAACCTGTGGCTGCTCGCTGAGTCGCTCATAGACAACGGCAAGCCGGCGGAATTCACGAGTTCTAGAGACAAGTCAGCGTACATCCGACGTCTGCAATTGTATGACGGGTGTGAACTGCAACTTACTGTTTCTTCCCTTACTGCCTCCCCATGAGAAGCCCAAGGTTCCAATGGGGAGAAAGAGGGCGATTTGCAAGGTCCGTATAATGAACGCCATGGTTGATATCATTATCTCGGAACCGACAGTCACGCAACCCCTGAGATGAGTTGCAGACTGTGAACGCTCACGAGGGATGTGTCTTCTTGCGATTTCTGCCCTTGATTCAGGCTCGAGTCGGGTTCTTATAGCCAGATCTGTGGCTTTGCCTGGTCATCAAGGTTTTGGGCGAGCGCGGAAACGAATCGCGGGCGGAACCTTGTATTGATTGCGTTAGAGCGGCGGCGCAAGGAGGAGCTGCTGGTGCCTCGTTATGTTGTGCATGGACTCTGTGAGGGTTCTCCCACTTGATTCCGACAGTGTGTTTGGCAGCTCTGTGTCTTGCGCAAATCATGGTGGAAACAAGGAGAAGAGGCACAAACACGGTGAACTTGGGCATTGGGAAAGCATCGCGCTCGTGCCTGCCTTTTCACGCCAGCGGCTGTCAGTTGCACCTGCCACAGGCAAGCGGGTGCACAACGGCCCGGCGCTCCTTCCTTATCTACCCTTTCGGAGACTCCCTGTCACTGACTGATTTGAAACTGGCTCTGACCTCATCACTCTGGCCTGATCAACGCGATGGCGTGGCATGGGAAACGTTGCATCACAGCATCACAGCATCATCGCTGCGACTTGCTTCCTCCTGGTCAGTGAATCATGGAGTAAATCCCCAGAAATATCAACGTTAAGCAACGGCTATCGCGCATCTCTGACAGCTGCAAAACGCACAAGTATCTCGTCACTGAGAACTGGTGCCCTCGATCGCCTCACATCACCACTTTGAGCCGACTCAGCATCTTCACCTCTTCCGCCCTTGGCCGGACGATGCCCTTCGGTGCGGTCGCTGGCTCGAGAACGTGAACCGGCATCACACGATCGTTCTTCTCTGGAACAGAAAGCCTTCCCCCATCAGGGGCCACCCAGTCAACTCCATGGATAAATATGGCGACGAACGCCAGAATCTCATTCGTGGCAAATTCGCGGCCAGGGCACAGCGTCTTCCCGCCGCCAAACCCCCTAAACGCCGCTGGATGAAAGCCATGGCCTTTGCCCTTCTGCCTGAGGAACCTGTCGGGGTTGAACTCATCAACGTCTTGGCCCCAGATCGTGCTCCTTCCATGGATGGCCCCGCCAGAGATCTGAACAACAGCGCCCTTCTTGAGGAAGTACCTGTCAGCCAGCATCGTATCCTCCTTGATCATCCGCACAGAGAAATTTTCCGACCCGACGCGTAGGCATTCTCGGTAGACGGCAAGTAGTGTTGTGCATGTTTCTTTAACTGCTGTGATGCTCAGCGTATCTGGTCCCGAGCGCTGGCAACTGACTTCGAGCGCTTGGCGAATTTCCTGACGCACTCGAGCAAGAAGGATTTCGTTCGCAAAAATCCTCAATGCTACCCAGAACGTCGTCGTTGTAGCGTTTACGATGCCTGCGAATAGAAACGACAGCGCCGAGCGGGCCGTCATGTCGGTACTCATGCCATATTCCTTCTCGATCCGCGCTCTGCCCTTGACGATTGATGTGGCCTCTTCCAGATAGCCGGCTTCGAGATACTTGCGGAACGCCGCTGTCAGTCTCTCACGGCCGGCATATGCCTTGGGAACTGTGAGGGATGGGAAGATTCCGATAAGCAAACCCCCGAGGCCATGATCGAATGCCCAAAAATCATGCGCCAGGTCAGGCTCTTCGGCAATGGGATTATGAGGCCCAAAGAACGCCTTTGCGGTGCCGACGGTGACCATATGACGGACCCAGGCCAAAAGATCAACCGGGCCAGGTACCGAGCCCGTGGCGTCAGTTGTCACGTCGATTGTCTCGAGCAGCTGAAAGCATAACTCCTGCACGGCCTCACAGCTTAACGCATTCACATAGTCACCTGGCCCAAATGAGGTATACACCAAGTCATGGACGTCGGCAAAGAATCCCCGTGGCTCCCCCGGTTCTGGATCCAGGTTCTGACTGATTACATGGTATGTTTTCTGATCCAGTCCAAGAACCCGCTTGGTTATCTCGGGCAGCAGAGGCGTCATTGACAATGTCTTGGTGTTGCGCTGGACACTAGCGGCTAACGAAGGCTCTGTAACGACATATATTCGAGAGCCCGGCACTGGCAGAGTCAGGATTGGCTCTTGTGGATAGCATAGCCTGACAGAACCATTAGCCCTCTTCATTCGTCGAAGGCTGGATCCAAACCTAACCCAAGGCGCTTGATGTAGCGACCGCCATACACCACCATGCCCAGCAGATGGCCTATGACGGGAATCCATGGCTGGACCACCGTTGGCTCGCTTGGATGCAGCTTTCTCCCTGACGTGTAGCGGAGGGCGAAAGACAGAGTTAGCAAGCCCATGATGATTGTGGCTGAATTTATAGACCACTTCTCAATATCGAACAGCGCCATCGTTCGTGCCGGCGCCAATTCTCTTGGAGGTATGATATAGGTTCTCCACGGAAAGACTCTTGAGTTCGTTTTCCTCCCCGTTACTCATGAAGAACGAACCGACCGAGAGTGGGAAATTAGGCCAGCCAAACCACGGGGTCTGTTGGGCGGCAAGGCGTTTGCTTCTTCAAATGATGGATCTCATGCCGTGAGATGTCACTGATAGCACGTCTAGTCTCAGGGCTGACGCTGGACAGACGTCGTTTGTCGAGATGCAGGGCGGGGTTGGCATCCTGCAGGGGCGTTACGGCATTGGGATGCCTCGCCAGTCTATCATTGGTCAGTTGCTCCTCGCCGCAGAACGGTCAGGCGGAGAAGCTTTTCCGGCCAATGGCCCTCCTATGACAGCTGACAGAGCTCATACTTGTATCCCTGGTCTTGAGTTCCGTAACTGCCTGCTGAACGGTGACAGGGCGGAAAGCGTGGGATTCCAGGAACGGCGCTCGGTCAGAGAGTCTTTTTGCTCTGCCGCGTCAACGGTCAAAGACTCTCGGAAAGGCACCAGGTCATTTGTCGGACGGAAACCTGAGGGCCTCGAAAGCAAGTAACGCCATGTTGTCAGTGCTAGCAATACCTAGGTTCCTCGATAATACATACCTATGTCGTATCCGCATTCGACACGGGTATGACTAGTCATTGCCATGGGCAAGTGGGGGGGATATTTCGATTCGATGCCGCCGTGAAGTGGAGGGTCTAGGCGAAGCCCTGAAAAGTCATAGTGTCGGCGGCATGCGTGTAAACCCTGGCTCACCGAAGTTGTCTCTCCGCTTTCGCCCTTGAGCCAGCCTCTGCCTGTCTTTGTTTTCTTCCTTGTTTCCTCTTTCCCCTTCTCGCTCATCCACGGGTGGCGTGCCGGGCGTTGTCAGCCGCTGTCCTTGACGCCCTGAACAATAGGCTTACTATCTGATACTTTGGGATTGCGCGTGCAAAGAACTGCTGGTTATCGGGAGGGCATGGCCTCTTAGGGACACCGACTATTTTTGCGGGTCCCCCTTTATGCTTATACCCCGGGCCAGACCTATCAAGTCATGAAGACAACCGGCGTCACGAGAACATCTCTGCGGCGAGCAAAGAAAGGACACCGAGCCTCGTCGACTTGGCAAGTGAGGCCCCTGTGAAACTCGCAAGAGGCCATATCCATGATTTATTCCCGGCCCCCCTTTTCATCTTTCGGCACACACAAGCATTGTTACAGACGGGAACGAAAAGCTCATTCATTGGTGCCGCCGCTCCTCAAGATCACTCCACTCCTGCAGAAAACTCGGAGCTGAGGCCATTGCTGCTGCTCCGCCCCCCGGGGGGGCCACGGCCAGGTCGCCGGGACGGGAGGCCGGGATTTACGGGGGCGTAACCGGGAGAGACTGGGAGGGACATGTGCGTGCAGGTGGACAAGCAGTGGTCTTGCGGCCACATCGGGTACTTTCAGATCCGGTGGTGTGAGAAGCTGTTCAATGGATGCAAAGGGACGTCGGCCGCGCACGACATCATCTACGAGCCGCAGGAGTGCAGCGACTGCCTCCGTCGGAAGACGCTGCCCAAGCCTTTCGTTGCGAAGTGAGGTCTCTGGATTTCGCAGTATAGTGGAGGGGGGTTCCTTGACGAGCAGTTGGTCCCGAGTCGAGAAGCAATTTCGAATAGCAATCGGATTCTCTTGGGCGAGACGACGCAAAGAGGTTTGGATATCCTCTGATTTGCATATTGTGGGGGAATAATATGTGAAGATCTTATTCGGCATGATGATGTCGGCGGCTGATACGATAGCAAGTGTGATGAGATACCATGGCTTCAGGCATCGAATAGGGGGTTCATGGGGTCTACGGAGGTTCTTTGGCGTTTGTTAACTCTGGATAGACAAGCTTGTTGCCCTGCTGTAGCAACAGGCAATTTACTTTGGTTGAATCTGACAAAGTCTACAAGCCAAGTTGACTGCCGCTTTTACCGGCCACATCCTGCAGCTGTGACTTGGAAAAGAGTTGCCAAGTGACCTACTGTACGCATTCTGTGATCTATTACATATATGGCATGCTTGACATGGTAACCAATATTGCTCTCAAACAAGCATTCTGGAGCTCAGACTCCGCGCCGGGTCTCTTCAGGGGTGGTGGCTGGTCGATACGGTATTCGCCACTCTTTGATATTGCCATCTGGAAGCAGCCTCGGCACAGATCGAACTGCACGTGGGAGGCATCGTTGGGCGGCAATCTGAAAGGAGCGGAATCCCAAAGTGGTAGCCGAGGAGGAGATAAGTTGTCATATCCATGTTCGACACATCGTATCCTGGGAGACATTTCTTATGCGGCGTCCAAGTGACAGAGGCCGTTGATTGGAAGCCCTCAGCACTAGACACTCGTGTCCTCGTAGTCTGTATATTATGCTGCGGGGAACATCTTGGTCCATCCACAGGCAGTGCTCGCCGTTCGGAGTTGGTGTTGTGGAGTTGTCGAGGGTCGACTAATGTTAGTTCCTGTGCCCGTATATGCAGATCTAGGAGACAGAGAGAGCGAGAGAGAGGCAGCACGATAGGCCATTGCCCGAGAAGTCATCTCGATCCGCATACGCGTAGAAGCAGCTGGTTCCGTCGGGTCCAACGGGGCTCTGGGTGACCACCGACGCAGCTCGGTCCGTGTAACTGGGCAAATATAGGCTCGACGAAGCTCGGAGATGCCACGACATTGGGCCTAGATTCTGCATGGAACCCATTGATAGTCGCCACGACGAGAGAGAGAAAGGGGGACAGCGAAAGAGACCGTCACATGGCCCCAGGTATACTGGAGACCGGCGGGAATGGATTCAGGCTTGTTTGGCCACACAGCGTCTTGCTCATCAGCTTGAACAAACGCCCATCCATTGCTGCTGTCTGACAACGCAGAAGCGCCCAGTTGTGTGATTGCCCTCCTTTGATCGTAGTAGCCACGGGGTCATGAGAAGCGAGCCGAGGATCTGGGGCCCAAGGTATGTATGTGGTGCTTGGTCCGGACATTTTGATTGTTCAACCTCAGCGCATCAAACGCACGCACTCGTGTGCCACCACAAGGTCACACAAGGCCCCTGCTCCTTTTTTTCTCTCCTTTCCTTTCCTTTCCTCCTAGATAGGTAGATAGACGCTGCTGCATCACTGGCCTTCGTTGGTCGCCATCTGCCGCACTGTCAGCAGTGAGTGGAAATGGGCCCATAATCGCGACTGAGGCCATCCCTCGTCTTGTATCTTGCTATGCTATTCGATGGTGGCGAGACCTGATCATATCAGAGCTCGACAGATGGTGAAGACGGGCAGAAAGGGGAGCGAAAGCTGAAAAATACTTAAGCAGCAGCTGTTCCCCGTACGTTCGTGGAGATGGCAAGAGCAGCCGGCCGCGGGGAGTCTGGAGCAGGAGCCGCAGCTGCGTAGCTGCCGGTTGCTGCTGCCCATCTGCCCAGGTTCGTTTGCGCCGGATCCGTCCAAATATCTCCTGATAAATGCGGCCACTTTTCCCTCATGCTCGTCCTTTTTTATTCCCCGAAGCGCAGCAAACGAGCAGCAAGAGCAAAGAGCAGAGCAGAAAGTCGCCTCATCTCGGGCGCCGCCTTGCCTAACGGGGTAGCAATAAGCCCATCGACACCGACGGCGGGCGGCGGGCTGGCCAATCAGCGGCGCGCGGTGCTGTTCCTTTGGCCCTTGGAGCCTTGGGGAATCATACGATGTCTGAGCAGCCAATTCTTGCATTCTTCCCACATGCATGGCATCCCATGGCGCAGGGTCCCCCCCCCTTCTCCCCTCTCCGCTCTCTTCTCCTCTCTTCTTGGCTGAGGTGCTCTGCTCCCTCTGCTCGGCCAGCTAAGACAACCAGCGCTGTGGCCCGGCAAGACAGCCACTCTTGTCATTCGCCAGGGGGGTTGGAGGAGGGCGCCACGGCTCCGCGGAAAGTCAGGCCATTTTCATCAACAGCCGCAGACACTGGCCCAGAGAACTATCCTTATCCTGGACGCGCGCACGTCGAAAATTTTCATTTTTGCTCGCCCAGGCGCGCCTGCAATTCGCCATGCGGGCTGCTCGATACCCACGCAGACGGCAAATGACAGGCCATTCTGGCTCACAGACGCCGCCGTCCCGGCTCTCGCCGAGGTGGAAAAGGGTCATCTGGGTTCGTTGCGCTGAGCTCTAGCTAGGCCAGAAGACACAGCCGAGACATGCCTATTCGACGTGCCTACGGGGCGGAGGCAGAGGGCAGAGGACAGGAGGGCAGGAGGACATCCCAACAAAGGCTCCCCATGCCGGAAACGCAAAGAGAAGCATCGGAGAGCTGCGAAGCACCCGCCGAAACAGCCACTACCTTACCCAGCAAGAGCAGCAGCTCTCTTGAATGGCCTGACTGGCGACACCGCGGGTCCCTAGCGCCGGGGCCTTGCCTGGATGGCACCGGTCCCTGGAGCGGGATCCTCGTCGCTGGTGCTCGACGGGCTGTGGTGCTGCTGTGCGTCTTGCGCTGCCGGCTGGGCTGGGCTGGGCTGGGCTGGATCTGAGCTGCTTGCAGCGCCGTTCCCTCAGGCTTCGGAATCGCAGCCGTCGCGGCGTTGCCCGAACAGCCACCCGGAGCTTGGCCTGCCTCTGCGAGGTGCTAATGCTGAAACTGGTCGACCCTGTATATTACCCGTGATGCTCTGGCACCGCAGCTCCAGACCCAGACCCGGGTCTAGGTTCCCAATATCGATCCTGTAGCATTGATATCGAACGGTACTTGCTGGGTACTACCTCCCACTCTTGCTGCTCGGTACCCTGCCCTGTCTCACCTGTGCATGCACAGAAGCACCATCACTATCCATTGACTTCCAATTTTGCATCTGCATCCGTCGGCCTATCTTGCCGGCATCTACTTCTACTTCTACTTCTACGTCTCCGCCTGCACTCGCATTGACCTCTTTTTGCATCTACATCTGCGGCAGAGCTGTGCGCTATCTACCTTACCTCGTCTTGAACCCCCCTGATCCGAGCATCGTATCCCTCCATAACCACCTCGGCTCGCTACCTCACCTCCTTCGTGATAGGTATTCAATCGTGGTGTCTCTTGCTCATCTGCATCTGGAATTCTTCCCTTTCTCCTCTTGACATCTTCTACCTATTATCGCGCTCTTCCTCCTCCGTCTGCAACCCCCCAGACGCCGCCGAACCCGATCTGTGGCTGCCATTAGCCTTTCGGCGCGCATTCCTCTACGCCACCCGGTTTGGGTCCCCCTTCACCCCCAGCACATATTCCGACAACCCTGTGTCTGCAGCCGCATGGCACAAGCCCTCGACATTTCCTCGTCGTCAGGACCCGGACCCCTCGTCGCCCTGCCCGAGCGAACTCTCGGCCCCCCAGCCTCGGCCATCACGCCTCCCTCGACCGTCCAGCGCTCGGCCTGGACGTCGTCGCCTCGCGCGCCCGCCATGGACATGTTCAACTTCACAACCGCTGCCTCGGCATCCGCAGTCGCCTCGTATGCCCCCGCCGGCGGCAGCAATAGCAATAGCAATAGCAATAGCGGCGGCAACAGCGGCGGCCTGGGCGACATGAACTTCTCTCAGATGCCGCAGTACTCTGGCCGCAATCCCCTGCAGTCGATGCTCTCCCAGACCAAGGAGGGCCCCGATGCCAAGCGGATAAAGGTCGAGTCGCCGCACTCGGCGCTGGATTCGATCGATTCATGGCTTCAGTTTGACGAGGATGCCGACAAGTTTGGCAGCTTCGAGATTGACTTTTCCAAACAGTACAACACGGCCAACCAGCCAAGGTGAGCTGCGCTCCTGAACCGCCAATCTGGTGTTTCCCGCTCTCTAACACATTGCGACATTAAGAGCTTCCACAAACATGACGCCGGGACTGGGCAGCGGTCTCTACGCCAATCCCACCGCCCCCTTCAGAGAAGAAGACTTTCTCGACGACAGCGCCTTTGACCACTCTCTGTCCGAAGACGACGAGATGTTCGACAACATCAACATCAATGACCAGCTGTCCAAGCTTGGCACGCTGCCCTCGACCGAAGCTCAGTCATCCAGGAGTCTCTTCTCCACGCCGTCGATGGGCTGGGAGAAGCCTCAGCAAGGCGTCCAGCCCAGCGCCGTCATGGGCGACGAGATCCCGAGGCGCATGACTAGCGATTCCTGGGACCCGATTCCGCAGGGCACCAATTACACCCTCACGCCGGACGAGCGCCGCCGACTGCTCGAAATCGCCATGGGCCCCGGCAGATTGGCGTCCTACGTCAACCCCAGCCGGTTCAACATGGGCTTCGGATCTACGATGCAGCCCAGCATAAGCCAGGAGTTTGGCTTCGGCTTCGGCGCTCCGAAACAGGGGCTGAGCCATATGGGCATGTACCAGAGGAACAACTCGGCCGACACGAGCGCATCCCCCCTCTCGCAGAGTCGGGAATTGAAACACAAGCAGCCCAAGGTCGAGACGCCGCCGAAGACGGTGCCCACAAAGCGGCCCAGCACGCTTTCGGAGACGAGCAGCATCGGCAAAGAAAAGGTCAAGTCCGCCGACCGCATGGCGCACAACGACGTTGAGCGCAAGTATCGAACCAATCTCAAGGACAAGATTACCGAGCTGCGAAATGCGGTGCCGGCGCTGCAGCAGGTGGCTGAAGGGGAGCCGGACGCTGCGCAGGGCATTGCCAAAGTGAGCAAGGTGAGTTGGAAAACAGCATGCCCCATCTTGTCAGTGACTCGTGAAGACGGCATCACTGACTCTGATCCTATAGGGCACCGTATTGACAAAAGCGACTGAATACATTCATCAGCTCGAGCAACGCAACAAGGATATCATGACGGAGCATAAGCAGCTTATGCGACGACTGCAAGCCTTCGAAGCACTTCTCAACAACTCGATGAGAGTCGACATCATGCCCAGCCATAGCATGACGCTCTTCGACCCGAGAGGATTCTGTTGATCTCTTGTATCAATTTTGTCCTAGCTTGTACATATTGTTTCTTCGACGACTGCATGAAAATGACGGATCTTTGCGTTTCCTTTCGATTTCAGTGGGAAGCATCTCAACGAGCTTCTCGCTCCAGGCAGGCATTTGACCATCTCATCGCCACCACCACCATCACCACCACATCTTTCTAGATCGTCTCTGCCGCCTGCTACCACACACCTCTCACACTACTTCGGCGTTACGGTGGCCTTGTTTTTTCTTTATGGTGTTCTTTTATTTATTTGTGTTCTTTCTTTCGCAAACAAACACGGCATGAAAACCCAGATACAAGGGGTTTGTAACTGGGGCATGGGCGGTTCTTTGTGTTTTCTTTTTTTTATTCATATGTATGGGAAAATGGGACGAGATGAAAAGCGGAACAAAACACGTTAGGGCAATGCAAACCTAGGGAAGCGAAGGAAGGTTGTTTCTTGATGAGGAGAGCCATGACATGGGGAGATTTGCGCTTTTTGGAGGCATAAGGGGATAGATTTGACGGTTCTTGATTGATAGAGATGAAACACATCTTTTAACTGGGGTTTGAGAGACGGGAAAGAAAGGAGCAATTGCTCGGTTACACTTGGGAGTTGTGCATAATACATGAGCATGCGAGGCGCCGTTTTGCCTTGGTGGGCAACTTTAAGTCTCTAACCTTTTGTCTTTGAATTTGGCTGCTTGTGAACAGAATATATGTGAGTGCCGTGTTTCCGTCGCGGTTATGTGGGCGATGTTGGCAAGAGTACATGTATTCTGAAACCCATCCTCCAAGGCTTCAGCAGAATGATGTTTTGCATGATCATGTTCGTTGCAGACATAAGATGGATATTCCAATGACTACCGCTGCCGAGGGACGGGAAGAGAATACTAGCATTCGAAACATTTACATTCAGAGCCTCTATATATAAGACGCTCCCACATGATATACAAGCCCATAGATGGCAGCCCCTGGGTAGATAGTCGTACATGAGCCTCCCCGCTCAGTCCCTCAATGCTTCGATATCCACAACCTCCTTCACAGCCTCCGTGGTAAGGATATACGGCGCATCCTCATCCACGCAGATACTGTCCTCGATCCTGACCCCCATGCCCCTGAAATGCTTCGGCCAGCGCTCATCGTCAGGGACGTAGACGCCCGGCTCGACCGTGACGCAGTGCCCCCTCTTGAGAATCTCCCTCCTGCTGTAGCCCGGACAATCATGCACGTCCAAGCCGATATAGTGGCCGACGTGGTGCGGAAACAGCTCGTTGATGTTATACGACGTGAGGTTGGTGAAGCCAATGGCCTTGAGCTGGTCGAGCAGGCCGCGGACGGTGACGCCGTGGATGTCCTCGAGGGACATGCGCGCCGACTCGCGGCACAGGGAGACGCTGGTGCGCTGGACCTTGAGGACGGCCTCGTAGAGGTCGCGCTGGGCGGGGGAGAACTTTCCCGACGCGGGCCAGGTGCGGGAGATGTCGGTGATGTAGGTGCCGTGCTGGCCGCCGGCGTCGACGAGGATGAGCTCCTCGCCCCGCAGGACCTGGTTGTTGACCGTGTAGTGGATGCAGTTTGCGCGCGGGCCGCCGGCGACGACGGGGATGTAGGCCGGTCCGTCGCAGCCGTTGCGCGTGAACTCGTAGTCGAGGAAGGCGTGCAGGTCCTTTTCCCTGGTCCAGGGGCGGCGCATGGCGTCCGTGATGGCGCGGCCGGAGATGCGGCCCGCGGCGCGCATGTTGGCGACTTCGGCGGGACTCTTGACGGCGCGGAGCTTGTTCATGACGGGGTGGAGCGGGCGGTTGCCGGTGGTGGACGAGGACGAGGACGAGGACGAGGAGGTGGCGCCGGTGATGAAGCGCCACAGGGAGGAGCTGTGCTGGGTCTTTGCGGACTCGGCGGAGACGTCGGTGTAGATGAGCTTGGCGGGCTTGAGGAGCTTTGGGAGGACGGCCTCGAGCGAGTCGATGGACCAGGCCTCGTCGGCGTTCCACACGTCCTGGGCGGCCTGGACGCCGTTGCGGTAGCCGGACCACTGCTCCTCGCGCGGGTTCTTTGGCTTGACGAACATGCGGAAGAGGTAGTCCCCCCACTGGGGGCCCGTCTTTTCGATCACGGCCACGGCATCGGGCTCGTCCCAGCCGGTGAGGTAGAGGAAGTTGGTTTCCTGGCGGTACGGGTGGAAGACGGCGCCCGACTTGTACTGCAGCGGCGCGGCGTGCAGGATGGCGGAGCTGCCGAGGGGGAGGGCGTCGGCGAGGGCGGCGCGGCGGTCGGCGTATTCTTGGGCGGTGATGCCGGGGGTTACTGGTTGTGTGTTGCGGTGCGTGTCAGTCTGATAATGAGCTGTTTGGTTTTGCTTGAGTGTTGTGAAGGAGATGAGCCCAGCGAGAGAGAGAGAGAGAGAGAGAGGGACAGTTTCTTGGGAGGGCAGAGGGGAACAAGGATAGGATGAGGGTTTTGTGAGAATGAGAGGGACAACTTACTCTCGCCGGCCTTGAGAATGTGTGGATGAGTCTCATGGACGGGCTGGCCGAACTGGAGGTCGGCTGCGGATATCACTGAGCTGTAGCATCGTCGAGGGGGGGGGATGTAAGAGGATGGTGATGATCGATTTGAGCGATTGATGTGAGAGATGACTTGAGAGATGCTGCGTCGTTGGTGGTGTAACGGCAGCTTGTGAGGCGGAAGCACGAGGCTTCGTAATGATGGTTGAGGGAGCTTCATTTTATGGGTGCGATATATGATGAGTTTGAGAAGCAGTTGAGAGCCAAGCTCATGATCCAACAAATGTCTTTTTTTTTTTTTTTTGCCTCTTTTGTTCTTCCTGGTACGTACTCCACTTGTTTGCGGGATCTGTTACTGCTTGTCAAAATGACGAAGCTTTGTCAATTCACCTCATTCCGTCATAAACAGCGTTTTGTCCACCGAATCTGTTTGCCCTCGAAGTACTTCAGGGAGGACGGCTCATGGCTCTGAATCAAACTCGAATGTTTGAGGGTGGTGGTGATGGATTGGACTCAGGCGGGTTATGTAAGCAGCGATAAAATGAAATGGACGGCATTGGCAGCGATGGCGCAGGTCTTGATGAGGTAAGGCGGCAGGACTGACAACAAGTACCCCAGAGGTACACTACGAGACGGTCCACGGCGCGTCGTGCATACTGTCGCTAATCAATACTAAGACCAAGTGGTGCTGCAGCAGGAAGTGAGTGTCGGGTGTACTTGGACGGTACAAGCACTTGTGCAGGGGTCTGTCGAGGGGCTGGGTTGGTTCTGCTGCTGCCCCCGCTAAAAGCTTCTGCAGCGCGTCGCAGTTGTTGTTTACTTTGGCTTGGAAGAGGATGCCCTGAGCGTATCGTACGAATGTAGCAACGAGGTTATATGTGAGATGAAACGCTGAAAGGGCCATGGAAGTGCAAATTGATGTACCTTGGGTAGGCCCTTGATTACGAGCTTTACTGGCTGGATTTTGTATCCTTTTCTCGCAAAGTCGATTTACCTGGAGGTTTCTGTTGGTTGTATCATTGGTCAATGGATTGAATTGCTGCCAACTTATATAGTTGCAAACTCAGATATGAGAGACTCAGAACCAAAACGAGCTCCCAACTTTAATTCTGTTAGCCCAAGCTTCACATAGGTACCTATGTATGTCAACACAATACAAGCCATAACTGTTCCTTCTCATATTCTCAATCCTCCCCTTACCTACATCGAGATGGCTTCTCAAGCCTCAACTATTTGTTTGTTTTTCATAGCTACCTTAGTACTTACCCTGTGATACTATTGTGATTGCTGTGATAATATTTGCGGTTGCCGTGCATCGAGCGGGCCCAAGCGTGTTTTGAGCAGGGTGGCCCTAAACGGGCAAGCGCTGTTTTGCCAAGCGCGAAGGCTCCATCAACACTCTCTGGACCTTTCAAAGGCACGCCTCACTCAATCCGATCCATTTCTTTCCCGCACACACGCAAATCCGCATTTCTTTGTCCGCCACGAGAGCGAGAAAAAGGCCTCGACAAGCCTTTCGACAAGCTCTCCAGCCCGCCTGGCCTCCTCCCCAGTGGCTGCTGGATCTTCCAATGTCGCTCTAGGGCCCTTTAGCATCCTTTTTACCTGCTCTTTTCCCTCCGCCGCCGTTGTATCTCTGAGACGTGCAGCTTCCAGCCTCGTCGCGTGCTCTCTCGTCACCTCTCTCCCTCTTTACCCCCCAGCCCCTCCTTGGCTGCTCCCTGTCTTGCTCGTCTGTCGAGAGCATAAGCCGGGGCATGCTGATCCGAGAGGCTCCCGCACTCGCACTCGCACTCATACATGGCCACCGTCTCGCTGCCAGTCTCTGCGTCCTCCAAGGCGTCCGCTCCCGCCATGTCTTCTAAACGGGCTCCTCTCGCCAGCAATCCAAACGTCGCCAACTCGCCTCTGCGCGCTCCTTCGCTCCTCGCCGGCTTCGTCAAGCCCAAGCGGCCCTTTGCCACGGTCCAACGCGAAGAGCCCTATGGGCAGCCGCCGCCGGTCAAGAAGCAGGCCTTGGAGAACGGCGCTCAGAAGCCCGTCCGGTCGCCGTCGAAGCTGACCCGCCCTCCGGCACACATTGTGATTCCTCGCAACCCCAATGCTGCGCCGCGGCCCGTCGTCAGGGATCGAGCTGCCAAAGCTGCCACGGCTTCGACAACCAGAGGCGTGCAGGATGTTGACACGGAGAAGGAGGTGTGGAAAAAGCACCACCGGGCCAAGTTCCCCAAAATGGTCTTTTACTTTGAGAGTATACCAGATGACATACGCGCAAAGCTGACCAAGAGGGTGACATATCTTGGAGCTGTACGTCCTTGCCACGCCGGCATCCCTTTTTTTGAGTGATCTTCATGCTGACCGTCGATCTCTTGTAAACAGCGTCAAGAGCCCTTCTTCTCAATCGAGGTTACTCATGTCGTCACGACTCGAGCGATCCCACCTGAGAAGCCAGCAGCTGGAGGTGCCGAGCCTGAGGTGTCTGAGGAACAGGAGCCCCAGGAGCAGCCCCAGACCATCAACCCGTCTCTTCTAGACAGGAACACGGCTGCCAGGCGAAGGCTGCTGTTTGATTTTCGCCAGGCCTCTTCTGCGCCCTCACAGGTGAACGATCCCGCGAAACGCAAGGCGGCTCGCAACAACGATGTGCTGCACAAGGCTCGAGACATGGGAAAGAAAATCTGGTCTCTTGATAAGTTTCAGAGCATGCTCGCAGTCCTGCTCGAGTCTGAAACCCAAAGCTATGGGTCTCGATCCGCGAGCTCGAGGAGCCATTACGGCACCAAGAGCTCTCACGAGCCCAACCTGTTCCAGCTCCTTCACAACGAGCGTATCAACGGACCTTCTGATCGTGACCCGACCGCCACCACTCGTGAGCTGACGTATTTCAAGGGCCCGTATCTCTACATCTGGGACATGGATGAGAGGCAAAAGCCCATCATGGTTCGTGAGTACGCCAAGGTGGCGAACAAGACCGATGGTGAATGGCCCCAATTCCGCAGCGTCGGAAACGGGCGCTGTCCCTTCGTCGAGGAAGTGGACGCCGCCGAGAAGGAGTACCGCAAAGCACGCGAGCGGGAAAAGGCGCGCTTGGCGGCCAAGGAAGAGTCTGTCCAGATTCTCAAAGCTCCCGAGGTCCCGCCCATGAAGCCGGTGACTGGGAAGCGCACCTTGACAGAGATGGAAGAAGCTCACAACCGAGTTCGTGCCAGTGTCGCGGCGGAGACGTTCCAGCCGATCAAGGCCACTTTCGCGAAGCCGCCGGCACCATCGACCCAGAATGCCTTTACCAGCCGAGCCGAAGGGGGCCGCACGTTTGGAGGAGAGCCTGTGGCCTCTGGTATCCAGAACACCATCACGTCGGCCATTCGCTCACAGATGATCTCGTCGACGTCCGGCATCAACGGCGCAAAGGCCGGAACCAGCAAGGAGGTTCATGGGCTGCAGAGGAAAGTTTTGCAAATGACCCATCCGGCTTCGCACGATGCGTCGCGCCGCCCTGCAGAGGTTCCGGCTGAGGTTGCGTCCAGCCGGTCGCTGAGCCGAACGACGTCCAAGACCATCCAGGGCCAGGAAGACGATGTCCAGAAGGCGGAAAAGAAGGCACCTACGCAGCAGCTTAAGAGCAAGCGAGACTTGAAGCCAGGCTACTGCGAGAACTGCCAGGACAAGTTCCGCGACTTTGACGAGGTATGTTTTGCATTGCTGCCTCTGCAAAACTCACACGACTGACTGACATGTTTCGTTCAACAGCACATCTTGTCCCGCAAGCACCGCAAGTTTGCGGAGAATGACGACAACTGGATCGAGCTGGATGCTCTTCTTGCGCAGCTCAAGCGCATACCGAAATACTCTGCCGCTTCTGACGAATCCGACGGAGAATGGTAACTGCATAGCGTTTTTCTTTTCTCTTGTGTGATCTTTTCCAGTTAGAGACCATGCTGCCACGCATTGGATCCCACTGTCTTGCCCCGATTGCGTTGGCTATCGCATTCCTTATGCCACTTCTCGACACTTTGCAGAAATCTTTGGTCACCATAAACATCGACTCACGTCCTGGGGCGCCCGCCGTGGGAACCAAGCACCAGGCTTGACTTTGATTTGTTTCCCCCATGCATCTCAACCGGACTTGCATGGCGTAGCTCAGTGGCACCTTTGTCAATACGTGCCCGACCTGAGCTTTGCCCCTTTTTGGACTTTCTTGTTCTTTCTTTCAGGGATGCCCCCTTCTTTTTTTTTCCATTTCGAATATAACGACTCAGCATGAGGCTCTGTTTTCCTGGCACAATCGCCGGCATGATTGGCATTTTGAACTCGCATACATAGCAGGAGGCGTTTTCATTTCAAACTCGACCGTTTTTTCTTCTCTCAGGTGGAAGGATCAATTGGCTTTTGGTGGCTGGAAGGATGTTTGGCGAAGATGAAGATGAACGTGGTATGGACATTCGACGGCGGGGATCGGAGCGCTCTGCGTATGACGCAGATTGGGACTAATGAAGGGACGAACAGGGATGAGACGAGGCGAGAGCAGCAGTTGGAGACTGGGGAGAGAAAGTGGGAGGATGTTTGATGCTTTGATGGAGCGAGAGGGCTCAGAGGCGCGGACGGGACGGGACTGGATTGGGATTGGGATTGTGTCAGATCCATGTATGTTGTAGCTGGCATGTTACAATTCACGAAGTGTATAAGCAACGATTGGTCCGGGGCGTCTGCTCGGTGCACGGGACGGACCGGTATTTATGACTTGAGATAGCATTTTGGCGATAGATCTAGGTAGCAGTAGAGGCAGAACAAGCAGGAGCTAATTGGGAACGTGTTGGAATGAGTTGCTGACCCTTGAGGCCTGTACATTTTGCTTGCATGTCCTGGTGATGTTTGAGTGGTAGTAGTAGTGGTTGTGAGAATGATCGCACTGTATGCGCACGGTGCTATCAAGACAAGCTGCCACATGTGACGAGCTCTGTCATCTCACGCAGATCTGGGGCTTGCCTATGATATCTCCTCACACACCGAACCCTCAACCAACGGCTCTGCCGCTATAGCTCATTGCCACCTACACACTCACAAGGCTTCACATCTATTTTGAGACTACAACAAGATCTCTCTCAATACCCCAAGCCCAGCCGTTCCAAGCACGCTCGACTACAGCAGCCATGGATCCCCCCGACTTTACATCCCCGCCATCACCCTCCTCCTCCTCCTCGCCTCCCCTCGCCTCCCCAGAAGACGCCGACATCACCAACAGCAGCAACAACAACAACGGAAACGACAGCAACAGCAACAGCAACAATAACAACTCCTCCAGCACCACCAGCAACCGCAACAGCGGCGCGGCCTCGCCCGAGATCCCCCTCACCCTCAGCGCGTCCGTGATGCTCGCGGACCTCCCGCGCGATGCGACGGCGGCCCTGGCCAGCGCGGGCGAGCTGTTCCCCGCGCACAGCAAGGTCGTCGTCAAGTTCAAGGCCGTGGGGTCGGCGCCGGCGCTGCAGCAGGACGTGTGCAAGATCTCGGCGGGGCGCAAGTTTGAGGAGGTGGTGCGGTACCTGAGGCGCAAGCTGCGGTGCAAGGAGACGGAGAGCGTGTTTTTGTATGTGAATAGTGCGTTTGCGCCGTCGTTGGATGAGGTTGTTGGGAATTTGCACCAGGTGAGTTTTTTTTCCCCAGGTTTCATTGGCTTCTTTCATTATGTTATGATGGAGGTGAGAGAGATGATGGATAGATGGATGGATGAGGGGACTGACTTGGTGGGAATAGTGCTTCAAGAATGCTCATGATCAGCTGGTTGTGGCCTATTCCATCACTCCGGCATTTGGATGAATTCACATGCAACTGACAGACGAGAGAGAGAGAGAGAGAGACAAGAAAAAGACAAAGATAAGCTTTGAAGTGCTATCTAACGCAGTGGTATCCTTCTATATCAGCCCATCCTACTTTTCGGATCCCTCCTCCTCCCGGCTTCGCTCAGAAACTCAAACAAAACGCCGCTACATGCTTGCGCGGAATTAGGGAAGCACAATCTAAATGGACTAGTCAAACAGGGCCAGGATGAGGGTTCCATCAACGCAACCAAACAAACGCCACTGCTCCAAATTTCTCATGCTCGGCGTCACCCTCACAGGTCCTTTGCGGCCTTGGCAAACGCCTCAAACTCTTCCGCAGGCATCGGATACGTGTGCTCAGGAGCAGGAAACTGCTTGCTCTTGACCTCGTCCCGGTAGGCCACGACAGCCCGGGCCGCCTCGCCCCAGATGTCGCCATACTTCTTGACAAACTTGGGCATGAACCTGCCCGGTGGAAAGTTGCCAGTCAGGTCGATCTGAACAAGCACCTGGCCCGAGCAGCCATTACCAGCGCCGATGCCAATGGTGGGGATGGACAGCTTCTGGGTAATGAGGGCAGCGACCTCGGCGGGGACGGCTTCGAGGACCACGGCAAAGGCGCCTGCTTCCTGCACGGCGAGGGCGTCTTCCAGGACTCTCATGGCGCCGGCAGAGGTCTTGCCCTGGACGCGGAAGCCTCCCAGAGCGTTCTGGCGCTGGGGCGTGAGGCCAATGTGGGCAAGGACTGGGATGCCGGCGGAGGTGATTTTGCGAATGGTGGGAGCAAACTCCTTGCCGCCCTCGAGCTTGACACTCTGGGCCTTGCCCTGCTTGACGAAGCGGATGGCTGTGGCCAGGGCTTGCTCGGGCGAGATTTCATACGAGCCCATGGGAAGATCCCCAACCTATATGCAACTGCTGTCAGTCCGGGGGATTGAGGGGTCGCAGAAAGATAAAAGAGTATAGACTCACGGTGAAGGCGCTCTTGGCGGCTCGGGCTACTGATCGGCAGTGGAGCAGCATGTCCTCGACCTCGACCTCGTTGGTGTCTTCCATGCCCAGCGCCACCATGGCCAGGCTGTCGCCCACGAGGATCATGTCGATGCCGTTCTGGTCGGCGACGTAGGCGCTGGGGAAGTCGTGGGCAGTGATCATGGCGATGGGCTCGCCCTTTTGGTAGAGCGACTTGATGGTGCTCATGGTGACCTTTTTGCGGGCAGGGCCGGACTGGGAGCCCATGGGGGAGTGGGAGCTGTATCGGACATGGGAGAGGGTGGGAGCACGAGACGTGAGGGATGATGGACGTCTTGATGATGATGATGATGATGAAGAAGATGGTGATGTTGAAGCTGAGGATAAGAGTGCTGAAGAGGAAGAAGAAAAAGACGCGGCAGCAGCAACAGAGTAGCCGAGGCTGGTGGTGAGTCGCGTGTTGCTGCGGGTGATGGCCACACAGGATCTGGCCGAGGCTCCGATCGGGAACATGGCTCCCAGTTTGGCAATTTTTTGGTGTTGTGTAATTGGCAGGTTTCCTGTAGGTACTATGCAGCGGTGGGTTATATGGGAGGGTACGGGCGGGGTACTTGCAAGGCGAAGATGTGGGACGGGATGCAAGGTGTGCGAATTAGACGAAGGGATGATCAGACGAGGCCTCGGATTGTATTATTGAGAGAAAGCTCGTGAACAAGGAACAGAGATGAATGATTGTAGAAAGAAAGATGAGGAGATTTGGATTTGTAACGGGACAAGGAAAGAAGAAAAGGAGGAAGCAAAAGAGGTGGCGGACGAGGCGCTGTTTTTTAATACTTTGCAACAGGCATGCTGGTTTTTACGATGTAGAATTGAGTATCTCGGGGGAACAAGTCGGAGGGAGGGAAGAAGAAAAAAAAAATTGGTGGGAGGTCAGCAAGAGAGAGAGAGAGCGTTACTAGTATAATACCGAAAGAGAGAAAAAGTACGGGGTACGAGTACGGGCGCTACGGAAAGAGTAAGAGTACGAGGTACCCTGTTCATTTTAGGGATTGACTGTGGGTGTCAAGGTACATGAAAGGTAGGTAAAGTAGGTACCTAGTAGGTACGTGTAAGAGGGCTGGTATTCTTACTACATGTTTGCTGCGCAGCCTTTCGGCGACTCCAGAGGGTCTGATATTACGGATGCTTCTTCTCTATAGTGGGGGAGGCCTTATTCTTGATTTTCCCTGTTGTTTTGGGTAAGGTGTTTTGATGGCCCTTGAATCATTGCGGTGCTGTACCTTGGTTAGACGGCAATTCCTTCTGGCTGCGGCACGGTGCGAGAGATGGGAAAAAGAGCGGACGATCCGGTGCCGAGGGCGAGAGCGGCTTCGGTGTTGCCGCGGTGCGAGCCTTTTGCAAGGCTGACGATTCAACGGTGATGACGATGAAAAAAAAAAAAGAAAAACGTGATGTATAGTGAGATGTTTTAAGCAAAGGGTACTTGTGAGTAGGAGATGCACAATGACGAGGTTGGGCGGTTGTATGATGGTCTTTGTCGGATGGCCTCGTGGTGTAAGTGAGGGCCCGGGAGGGAAGACGGTGAGGCCTGAGAGCTGCTGACTTGCATGAGCTGGATGTGAGAATGCGCTATTATGCGCCTTGTGATAGTGGTTTGCTTGTATGTATGTGGTCGTTGAGAGGGAGAGGCTACGCTGTGTTGAGATGGATGCGCAAGGCTGAGTGTGGCTGGGAGGGAGTGATGATGAGTGTGTATGTAAGTATGCATGTATGTGCTTGATCAGCTGGGCTAAGAATGATGCACTTACCGGACAGTCTTGATAACGGGGTGTATACAGTCGTGTGTATTGCTTCTTCGTCCTAAAAAGCTTTCAGCTCACAAGCGGGTTCAATGAGTCAAACAGACTTACTTGTATCTATCATGCAAGTCAAGATGGTACTATAAAGCAACATAACCACAACCATCCAAAGTCATCATCGTCGTCATTCCAGCTGGAGCACGCCTTACTTGAACAGGAACCCCTGATCCTTGCCCGCCTGCAGCTGACAGCGTGAACTCGCCCCCCTCGGCACAAACAGCCATACAGCATCGTACAGTAGGTAGCCTTAGTACATACGCCTCAAGCACAGATGACAAACAGACGGGCAGCTTGGTCAAGCGGCCACCTGACTGAAGGCCTAATACTAGGTCGGTACCTCAGTCTGGGCTAGGTAATCCATCACCCCCCTCGATAGCGCAAACCGTGATGCCCGCCCCCGAAACCTGCCAACCGGGACACAACAACCACTGTAGGCACAGCAGCACATGATCCAGCTCTCCCTGTACTGTAGCTCCAGCGCCCTTGTCCGCTAAATCCTCGGCGCCCTCCAGCGCTGCCGCTCGCCGGACTTGATGCTCTGATCGCTGTTAAGCCAGTGACTTTGGGGTCAAGTCTGGTCCCGCAGAAGCAGCTAGAGCCCACTGCTGGAAGAAGCCGGAGAGGGGCTGCAAGAGTGACACGCCCGATGGAGCCAAACCTGCTGTGACGGGACTACATGTACCTTCCATAGGTATGATCTTTGCTTCCTCGACCTCGCATCACTCGTCACCACTCAAGACCAGCAACCCGTCCAAATCCACCGACTGACTGACCGACAGACCGACTGCTGCTTGACCGATCATCGTCTCTTTTGCATCGCTCCTCCTTCTGTGATTCACGTCTTCCCAAACCTCGCCTCCGATACTCTTTCTCCCCGCTCTCCCGCTCGACCGTCGCGCTCTCTGTTATTCTTTCCATCGTCTTCTCCCGCCGATCGACCCTCGTCTTCCGAGCCTCATCCGTCCATCCGCCTCTCCGAACCGAAACCGAATCGGCGTGCTTCGAGCCATTTTCGGCCTCCATACAGCTACTGCAAACCACGACGCACGCTGCGACGCCGAGAAAACACACCTCGACGGGCCTCGGACGGCACCCAGCTCTTCTGTACCGCATCTCTTGTCGAGTGTCTATTTCTTTAACGGGCTGAAGAGTCGCCCTTGATAGTCGCCCATCATGAGCAGCCCGCGCCGTCGCATCGAGACTGATGTAAGTGCCGCTTTGTGGCTTCTCCCTGCTATCTCGGGGAGAGCCGGCGAGTCTCTGTGTGGATGAGAGGGCTCCAGAGCTGATGATTTGTCGCCCTTTTCTTGGATGATCTAGGTCATGAAGTAAGTCGGACTTCTCGACTTGGCCCATGAACATACCACAGAGACGCAAGCTTGGCTAACCATGCTGCAGGATGTACGAACGCCGACAGTCTACCGCCCCTTGTCTCGGCTCCGACTAACACGAGCGATGCAGGTTGATGAGTGACTACGAAGTGACTCTTGTCAATGACAACAGTAAGCAGCGGCCTGAACAATCTCCTCCCAAACACTGCATGACTGCTGACTGACTGGCGTTGCTGCAGTGTAAGACGTTAACGCTGACTGCCTTTTGATCCCCCGCCCGTTCGAGCCGATCGGTCTATAATAGCGTTATCGGAGGATACTGACCCTGCTGCCCTGCAGGCAAGAATTTTTCGTCAGATTCAAGGGCCCTGCGGAGAGTAAGTTTGGCATAGACAAGAGGAGGCGCAGGTGTCACAGCTAACACGCCTCGGCAGCGCCCTTTGAAGGTGGTCTGTGGAAAGTGCACGTCGAACTGCCCGATACGTATCCCTACAAGTCTCCCAGTATCGGTTTCGTCAACCGCATCTTTCACCCAAACATTGACGAGCTGTATGTATATACCGGAGGGTCAGGGAGAGAGGAGGCAAGATTTACTAAGGCATGTCGGAAACGACTACAGGTCCGGGTCTGTGTGTCTGGATGTCATCAACCAGACGTGGTCTCCAATGTTCGATATGATCAACATTTTCGAGGTCTTCCTCCCGCAGCTCCTTCGCTATCCCAACCCGACAGACCCGCTCAACGGTGAGGCAGCTGCTCTTCTTATTAGGGAACCGAAGAGTTACGAAGCAAAAGTCAAAGGTGCGCAAACACTGCATGGGATCGAACCAAGGATGGACCACTGACCAGCTGGGGCGGTTCTCAACAGAATACGTTCAGAAATACGCAAACAAGGATTCGGTGGACGAGGCTGGCGCCGAGAGCGAGGATGAGGACGACATGTCCTCGGTGGCGAGTTTCGACGACGACGACGACGAGGAGCCTGCTGGTCAAATGGACGACGTATAGGGTGTGAACATCTCATCTCACCACTCCCCGACCCCTTTCCGGTCGCGGGCAAACAATCGGAATATGTCACAGCATGAGCAGTCACTGCGCCCTAAAGTCAGCAATAACGGCGTCACTTGGGATTATATCAGTCTTAACCAGCCAGCCACATCATCCGGAGTTTTTGACTCTTTTTTTTGTTACCTTTTCCCTCCTCGTTCGTTTTCTCACCACTGTTGAAAAGCAAGATGGAAGAATTCTGCCAGCTGCCCCCTTTTTTCTTTTTACGTCTTGCCCGCGTCTTGTCCCTCATTTCTCTGCGAGCAGCGAGAGGAGCCTTGATGAGCAACCTGTACCTCGGGAAGTTTGGTTCGAATGTCATGGAAAAGAATGGGCAGCGTGGACGAACAGTTTGGGGGAAAGGAGTAACTTTCTGTCAAGAAGTATGTTGAATAAGATTTTCGTCTAGGCGGAACAAGTCGTTACTGTATAGTTTCAATTCAATCTTGATGAAAAGCAGATGGGGGGCTATGCATTCAACCTGGGGTATCATCTATAAAACAGTGCCATGTCCTCCTTTCCCGTCTGAATCTCCTGGTGATAACGCCGAGTCTATCCAGCCCATTCAAACACTACGAAACCCATGAAAAATAAGAAAATAATAAAGAAAGAGAGAGAGATAGAGAGAGAGAGAAAAACCCATTGCTCACATGCTTCAGTCAGAATCATACTCCACCAATCCCTGCGCCGACGACGACACCTTTGCCGCATCAGACACCTTGTCGTCCCTCCTGCCCCCGCCACCATCTCCCTGCTTCTTTCGTTTGATGATGATGCCGAGGGACGACGACGACGACGGTCTATTCGCCGTCCTCGCTTCGCCTCCGCTGAAAGAACTCCTGAGAAAAGGATCCTGTGCCGCGCGCGTGTTGGAGAGGACATCCGCCACAAACGCCTCCTTTCTCTTCGAAGCTGCCTTTTCGGCCTTTGACGCACCAGCAGCAGCAGCAGCAACAGCCGCCTTCTTCGCACCCGTCTGCCCCTGAGCGTCCTTTGTCGTCGAAAACAAGGGCTTGTGCAACGCCCTCCTCCCACCACCATCCTCTTCCTCCTCCACCGCCCCGAAATCGACCAACCTCGCCCTCTGCGCATCCTCCTCCACCTCCGGCACCAACTCCATCCCCAAGCCCATCCTATCCTTGATGTCCTCGGCCTTAGCAGCCTCCATCTCCCTCTTCTTGCGCCCCTTGCGAAAGTCCCTCCGGAGGCGCTGATTCAACGCATACGGATCGCTCCAATGCCGCTCCGACAGCGCCGTCAAGTCCTCGATCCGATGCGCCGCCAACTCAAGCCTCTTCCGGTCCGCAATCGTCTTTTCCAGACTCGCAAACGCATTATTGCGCAGCTCATCCCTCTCCTTATCCGTCAAAATCACCCCCTCCCCCTCCTCCCCATCTTTCGCAGCAGCATTCTCATCACCAGTATAATCCCGCTTTTTAGCCCCCTCAACAACAACATACGCCGTATTCTTCGGATCGGTCCGCATCTCAATCCACCCTCCGCACTCGGCATGCTTGAACCGGAACCGCCAGACGGGCGTGCTGAAATAATTCCCCGCGCGGCTCTTCTCCGCGTTGAAGCGCACCCCCTGCCCGATGAGCGTCGGCCGGGGACAGTGCAGGCACCATACCGCGTAGGGCATCTCGAAGCGCACCGTCAGGATGCCCTGGGAGGCGAGCTTGCGCGCGCGCTGGCCGAGCGGGTGCTTTTGCTGGAGCCGGTTGCCGGACGTGGTGCCCTCGTGCTCCGGGGGCACGTAGCGTCCCATGTTGAAGCCCTGCATGGTGGGGCGATTTTCGTGTGTGTGTGTGTGTGGTGGGAAGGGCGCTGTTGTGTTTTTTTTCTTTTCTTTGTGTGTCTGGTTGAGGGTTGGTGAGGTTGATGGAGACAAGTTGGAAGATGGGTTGAAGTTGTTGTTTTGGGGGATGATTGATAATGGAGGTGGTACGTCACTTGTGCTAGCACTGCAGGACCCTGGATGCAAGTGGGGCGGCATCGTCCGTGTAAGTCATCAGCCATCGATCGACTGACGACTTGATACATGATACCTACCTTTGGATTCATCTTCCATCTTACAAACTCATCGAGCTGCCTTGACTAGAGTGGGTGGTATGAGATGCGAATATCCTCAGTGTCTGTACACGAAAGCCGTTGCTACGTCACGCCAGATCTTGCATCACAGCGACATCGCCTCCTCATAGAGCATCACACATACGCACAAGGTATACAACACTCTGTTTAGTCGTCCATGACCATCATAATCATCCATCATCACATCATCCATCATCCATCATCACATCACATCTCCAGACCAGCTCGGCGGCCTATCCTTGACATCCCTCCCCCACCCCGACTCCTCCGCCCCAAGCACCAACTCCAGCGTCCACCCCTCGGTGAAAAACTCGTGCCCAATCCACGACCTCGTCCACGGCCTCCCATTCACCCTCGCGCTCTGCACATAAATCTTCTCATACGACGCATCGAACCCGATATTCCGCACCGTCGCCGTCTTCCCCGTCACCGGATGCCGGATGCTAATCTCCTCCACAAACGGCGGCGAGATCAGATACACGTTCTGTCCCGCCACGGGGAACAGGCCCATGACGGAGAAGACGAGGAACGCGCCCATGGCGCCCGAGTCGTCGTTGCCCGGGAGGCCGCCGGGCGACGAGTTGAAGTCGGCGGGGACGTACTGGTGGATGCGCTTCGTCGAGAGGCCCGGCCGCCCCGTGTAGTGGTAGAGGAAGACGGTGAAGAAGACGGGCTCGTTGGAGATGTCCGCCAGGCCCGAGGTGTGGAAGAAGTCGAGGCGCGAAATCATGGCGTCGTCGCCGCCGAGGAGCGAAATGAGGGACGAGACGGAGTGAGGGACGTAGCTGTACGTTAAGGTAAGTCAGCTTGGTCGTGACAACTCGGCAGTGGGCGTCTTCGACTTACAACAGATACTGCCAGATGCTGGCTTCAAACGTCTCGCTCGGATTCGTAGTCAGCGAGCAGAATCCAGCCAGCGCAGAACACGCAATCGGGTCCTGGAACCCCCAAGTCCCGTTCTGGTACCGCGGCTGGAAGAAGCCCCTGAACCCCGTGTCGGTGCCGTTGATCAACGACGTCTGGTCCGCCTTCCACAGGTTTTTCCAGTTCATGCTTCGCCTCTGGTACTTTGCCTGCAAGTCCCTCCACCCCAGCCCGCCAGCCAGCTCCGAGAGACAGTAGTCGTCGTACGCATATTCAAGCGTCCGCGAGATGCTGCGCGAGTTGGTCCCGAAGCCGTACGGGTCAAAGTCGAGGTAGGGGATGTAATCGAGCTTCTTCCAGCTGTGGAGGCCGCCTCGGCCGTGATACGACCACTCCTGCGGCTCGTTTTCGGCGTCGGCCATAACGGCTTCCAGGGCAAGCTCCCAGTCGATTGTCGTGCTGAGGTTCTTCGCAAAGGCGTCCGCGATGACAACGTCGGCATTGGAGCCTCCTTGGGTCCAGCCCTTGCAGAGGGACATGCGGCAGTCGGGCATCCAGCCCTCATGCTTGTAAATGTCCAGCAGGGCCTCCACCATCTGCGTCTGAGCATGGGGATCGAGAATGGTCAGCAGAGGATGCTGGACACGGAAGCTGTCCCAGATGCTGCACACACACACACACACACACACAGTCAGATCTCCCCTCGAGCCCTTTAGATTTAGACTTGAGCACAACTCACCAGTAGAAAGAGTCGAAATACGGCTTGTCGCTCTTCCATAGCGGATTCTCGCCCGTGTAGTTCTGCGGCGATATCATGTTGCGATAGACTCCGCTCCAGAAGCTCGTCATCAAGTCCTCTGTTGCACCGCCGCTCTTGACGGATATCGGACTCAGCTTCTCCGTCCACGCGCTCTGCGCCTCGCCAACGAGCCGATCAAAGTCCTTGAGCGGATTGGGAATCTCGCGCTCGGCGCTGCGACACGCCTGCTCGCTGCTGATGTAGCTGATGCCCATGCGCACCGTCACGACGCCGTCCTCGCCGGGGGGCTTGACGCGCACGAAGCCGCCGCCCTCAAGGTAGAACAGGTTGAAGCCCCGTGTAAGGAAGACATGCTTGGGGTCGGTGCCCGCGCGGCTGTTGACCCAGACGCCCGTCTCGTGGATGTCCGGACCGAAGAAGTCGGCGCAGAAATGCATCACGTACGATCCGGCGCCGAAGCTGGGCAGAAACGTGCCGTTGCCCGTCATGCGGCCCGTCCTCTCGTCGACCTGGATCGAGGCGTTCTGCCGGCTCTGCCACAGATCCGTCAGGTCCAGAAGAATCAGCGGATGCTTGTCCCCGTCCGAGTCCTGCGGAAACGTGAACCGATACAGCGCCGCGTGCTGCGAGACCGTCATGTTCGCCGCGACGCCCGACTCCAGCCTCAGCCCAAAGTATCCCGGCCGCGCAGTCACCGAGTCGTTCGCATAGTGCAGCTTCCTGTCGCCGATGCGGAACCGGCACGAGTTGATGTCGCCATCGTCCGGGCAGAGCTGCGGGAAGAGCGGGAAGTTGCCCAGGCTGGGGTTGCCCCCCGTGCCGCTGTCGTGGACGCTCGAGAAGCCGACGACGTTGCTGCCGTCGAGCCCGAAGCCGCCCGTGTTCTGGCCGTCGACGTCGGCCGACGCCTTTGCGAGGCCGTAGGGGAGCGTTGCGCCGGCGAAGACGTTGCCGCCGTTGGTGGTGCCGATGAGCGGGTTGATGTACGAGAGGCCGTTGGACGGCTGTTGTGCTGTCGCGGCTGCGTTTGCGGGCGATTGGCCGGAGAGGATGACGGCGAGGGAGAGGGTGACGAGGATTCTATCAGCTCTCGTCCGCATCCTGACGGGAAGGAGAGGCTGATTGAAGCGACGATGGCCTCAATCAACTCTCGCGAACATATACCATGTATGTATATATATATATATATTCACCAATAATGATGATTTTGCCTACACAGAGTGAAAAAAGGGAGCATCAACTCGGAGAGCAAAGAGACATGGAAAGCACTCCCTATTTGTATTTGTACGACTCCCTTGCCAAGGCTCCCCAATGCGACTGCACTTCTTTTCCGACGATAACCTACCTGCATACATACCTTACCTACCAACGATTAAGTAACTTACACAAAGGAGCCCTGCAGAGGCACGCCGACTTTATGCCATGAACCGTCGCAATCGGATAGGCGTAGACGTCACTGATCTGCATCAGATACGGCAGTCTCCTTGCAGCGAAAAGGAAATGCTAAAACACAACGTACTGTACATGTATGTAGTAGCCAACAGCAATTCTGCCGACGGCTGCAGTTGCCCCTCCAAGTAACCGCCAAATGCAGAGGCCAAGACGGACAACGAGGCGGTCATGATGATCAGAACCCATGGAGTCGTTTATCGTCAACGTCAACCCCGCCCTGATGAACGGGGGAAATCGAGTATCAGTTGCCTATTGTAGACAAGGCTGGTCAACCAACGAGCAGGGGAGAACACATACATACATAGTATTCTACATATAAGGCGCCAGAGAGGGGCAATCGAAAGAGGGGTTGGAGGGTTGGACAGGGGAGTTGAAGAGTGCAGTTGGAGAGGGTTGGAGATGGGACGGGCCTGGAGTTTGCGGTCCTGTCTGCTTGAGCAGAAGCACATGTAGTGAGCGTCACTGAGGCGTACATCCATTACAGTTCCAGAAATGTCATTGTTGCGTCGTCGCCATTCATGCATACTGTGACCCGTGTCCAAAGGGATGCGCGTGTCATGATTCTATAACCCAGACGTGTGATATAACCAACCGTGAATGCGTGTCTTCGTGTCTTCATCCAATCAAAGGAAAAAACAAATGGGAAAAAGGGAAAGCAAAAGGTAGGGAGACCAAACGTTAGCAACAGACAGCAACCAGGGGCAGCGCACGTCGTTCATCAGGCCCTCCATCAAGTCAAGGCTTCTCAAATTCGCCCTCTTCGTTTGGCTTGCCGATAATGGGCTCCAGCAGCACTGGGAGGATCTCGGCGGCATCCTTGCCAAAGGCAAAGTCGCCCGGCTTCACCTTGAACATCTCCGCCTCGTCTTCCGCCTCGAGGTTGATGATGACGATGCGCGCGCCGAGTTTGCGGGCCTTGTCGATGTAGCCAGCAGCAGGGTAAACGCCCGCCGAGGTGCCAATGACGAACATGAGGTCCTGCGAGACATAGAAGCATTAGCAAAAGGCGAAGAGGCCCTTTTCCCAGAAAGAAGACCAAGGAAAGAAAGGGGTGAGGGGGGGGGGGGGGGGGGGGGGGCATTTGTACGTACCACTGGCTGAGCACGCAACCAAGCCGAAATGTCCATCATCATGTGGGCGTCCAGATCCTCTCCGAACCACACCACGCCCGGCCGCTGCAGACCGCTGCTGCACTGCGGGCACTTGGGCAGCTCGTCCTCGGTGATGTGCTTGACGCGGTGGTACGGGTCCAGCAGTGGCAGCGGCTCGCCGTTGGGCATGTCGACCGAGGCCGGGGCGAGCGCGGCGCAAAAGGGGTCGTCAAAGTTGCCCTTTTGCATCCAGTCGCAGCTCTCGTTGGAGCACTTGATGTCGAAGAGGGAGCCGTGGAGGCACTTTAGCTGTGACGGGGGGTGTTGTGCTCGCTGCGAGAGGTCTACGCGGTGGCAGCTCCGTGGTTAGCCAACAACATTGGTCGTCATACGAGCCCGTCCAGGCCCCATTCCCACCGATATCACCATCAAGGTACTGTCCAAACTCACTGTCAACGTTCTGCGTCAGACACAAAAAGTCCGGGTTCCGCCTGGCCAGCGCGGCCAACGCCTTGTGCCCCTTGTTCGGCTCCGCCTTTAGGGCCAGGTGCCTCCGGTAGGCGTAGAAGAGCCAGACCATGCCCGGATCCATCTTGAAGGCCCGCACCGTCGCCAGCTGGGTGGCATCGTAGTTGCGCCAGAAGCCGCCGGCGCCCCGGAACGTGGGCAGGCCGGACGAGGCTGACAGGCCGGCCCCACAGAGGGCGAGGATGCGGCGGCTGGACCGCAGCACTTCGTGGAAGGCCTCGACGTCGTTGTGAGGCGCCATGGGGCTGGAGATGGCTCGGATCTCGGTTCGAACGGCGTCTCTCGTCGTGGGTTCGTGCTCGTGGCTGGTGAGTGTAGATTGCTCTCGGTAGGGCGAGTGATATCTGCTGGTTGTGCCGTCACCAGCAAAGAGGACTGGCTAATCCCACCACGACTTGTAAAGGAAGGTCGAACGGGCTGAGACAACGCATCCAAGGAAACCAATCCCCGCTCAAGAAGAAGAACAAAGAAGAAGAAAAAGAAGCAACAAGCGATGGGACAAGTGGCTCAGAGAAAGGGCTCGACGAAGAAGCGAGGAAAAGCGAAAGGGTGACACAAAGAGGGGGAAAGACGCTGGCCAGACAGAGGCAGGGAAAAAAAAAACAGGAAGCAGCTCAGGTTACTCAGTAAACCCCCGTCCTTTGGCGGCTCGCGCACCAGCAGCAGAAGCAGCGCAAGGAAACTATTAGTGGCAGCAAGACCGGGGGAACAAAAAATAAAGGCAACGAGGCTGTATCACGACGCCTGGCAAGGCTTGCAGGGCGTCAAAGCAGGGCGGTTAAACGAGCGTTCTGGGAGACGGGCGCAAAAAGAGAAAGGCCAGGACGCTCATCACAAAAATTGCAGCGTGGGAAAAGGCGAGCAGCGGCATCGGAAAAAATGCATGCGCGATGCCAGCTCTGGCTGGGTAAGGTACAGTAGTAGGTAGGTAAGTAGGTACTGGCTGACTACTCCATTCGGCGGCTTCAAGTACCAGAGACACCATCATGGCAGCGTCGTCTGCAGGCAGAAGCCGTTCCTGCGACCTCTGTGCGTTGGGTCTCTGGGGACTTTAGGGGAGCAGAGTACCTACCTCTATGTACGTCATGCGATTGGGGCGCTGCTTCTGGGCGCTTGAGGGTCGGGTGCGTCTGTTGACTTGCGATTAATGCTGGGCGTCGAGCATTTTCCTCTTTTTCTCATTGTGTGCGCTCCGCAGCGTGGTGTTGAGATGATTGGCCGGAAGTGGCTCCGTACGAGGAGTTGAAGTACAGGGGCCTACAGAATCACTGATCACCTTGAGCCTCATCAGAAGCTGGACATTATGACAGACAAGACGAGAAACGATGGAACAGAGCTTGAGAGGCAGGGATAGCACAAGTAGGTATCATTCGGCTGTCGTCTTGTATGCCGTCACAGGGCTGATGATGGCTTTCGGGTTCTTTGCTTGAACATTACCTACCCTACCCTACCTAGAACCAGGCCGGTCCCTGAAGCCAGCCCCAGCCATCTTCTATATTTAGCGACAATGGGCGTTTGACAAAGTCCACCAGCCAGGCGTCAACAGAAGGTGGCTTTTCCATCTCGTTGTCTTTGCTTCGCGGAGTGGGTGGGCCATGGCGATGGATGGAAATGTCGTACTCGTCCATGGCATCTTAGAAGCATTGCCTGATTGTTCTGTTGGATTTCAACGTCCATGTTCTGACCTCTATTGTCTGCAACAGAGTTGCTGCCGGGCTACTGTATACATGTAATGTAGACTGACATCGAAACCTCCAGACCTCCAGCTTTGGGCGCTTACATAATAGCAGCAGTTAACGCTGCCTCACCTCCCTTAACTGTAACTGTAGGGTATAGGTAGATATTCACCATTGAGCAGATCCGGCAACGTCATTGCCATCATACATCGCCGAGTGATATATCAGACGTAAACACCGCTCAACCATGTGCGTGAATGCAAGTCATCTGATCTAAGGAACGCACTGGGCACCGCGGTATGCACCTTGCCGCTGCATTACATGTAGGTGGTGCTTCGTCCCATGTGCTGCTCCGTGCCACCAACAAGAGACGGAAATCCCTTCATCATCGATGACATGCCCGCAAATTGGCACAAGGCATATCACGAATGTAAACACGACTTGTTAGCCTAAAATTGCTTCCTAACTCGATGATAGTTTGCCAGATGTTGCATTAGAGATCTTGAGGAATACCTCGCTGATGGGTGCCTGTGTAATCTACAGTATCGGCTTGACAGCTTCATCTCATCTCCCTATAGCCAGGAGGTAGGTACATGTAATTGAGCCGGCATGCGGGCTGCCACCACGACTTCTTCTCGTGCTCTCGCGATATCGTCCCAGGAAGATACATAACCTATATACCTACTGGACTTGATTTTCGTAAAGATGTCAGCTAAACCGCAACAGATGTAAGACGTCGAGAAATACCCCAACAGTACTGCAGTCCAAATAACATAATCGTGAATCAATAATCGATGCTGGCTACCGTCAAGATCAAGAGTCGTGCTACGTGTTACAAAGAAAAGACTTGACGGCGGCCCATCCCGCCCATCGATAACCCAATCGTCAATGTCGGCAATCCAGACGGTAAGCCACAAGGACTAGATGAAGAAAAACAAACAACAAGCGGTTGATTAGGCTGCATTAAGCCGAAACACAGTCTAAGACACTCCGTCCAACGTCAATACCAGTATCCGAGCAGCACTGCTCCCCCGTAGTGTGCGCAACTACCTACCTACGGAGCAGTGTTACAAAACATTAGTTCGCACATGATATACTACAACATCCGATGAGTTGAAGATCCTGTGACCAAAGCTCGGCCTTGAGGCGGGTGATTACGACTTGGCACTCTGCCCTTGATACGAGAGGCAGCCTGATGCTCTGCCATCATACGAGCAGTATCTTCGTCAGGAGTGCCCTCGTACTTGCTTCGCAGGAGCTGCATTGTACGAGATCGTATGCACGTTCCTCGCCCCTCTCGCCTCGACTGTCAACACGACGACAAGCACACACGAGTACATATGTACTGGCATTGAAGTAGATGACCGAGTTCGAACTCGAGCCTCCTTTGTCTCAGCCAAACCGGCCGGGAGAAGGAAAGCCGTGCCCACGACTGTCTCACCCGCCCTGCGAGGAGCAACAGCACATCTCGATCCCCCCCAATGTCGTATTACCCATGTAGTGAACGGCCGGAAGACCAGACAGACGGAATATATCCCTTTTCTTTCTTCATCCCTGTCTGTTTCTGTATCAATATCAGGACTCAAGACAAAAAAGGTCAATGAGGGATCCGGCCGGGCTGAGGGTGAAGAAGGGCGAAAGGGCTGCTGGCTGCCCGAGAAAGTGTTTCGTGTGAGTCGTTGCGCCGATCATGTAAAACACTGGTTCGACAGCAGGTCAGCCAAGGTCACGGCAAATGACCCAACTTTCTTTTCGTCTTTTTTTCTCCCTCCATTTTCCCCTTGTCATGGGTGAGACCGGCCTTTAGAGGTGACTTTGCAAGATCAAACCATATGCGGCCATGCCCGACATGATTCTTCAGCAAATACAGAGTGATTACATGATTGGATAGTCCTTTACGTCACATGTAAGCCTGCTGTGAGATAGAAAAAAGAAGAAGAAAAGAGTCCATGCCCAGGTATTGCCCCCCCCAGCGGTGAGGCCGTATTCAGAAATGAATACGAGAGACGGAGCTGCAGCGTGCATCGTCAACCGCAACAAGCGCACGAGTCTGTGCCGACGATGCGAATGGTATCAACGAGACAGCAATCATAGAGAATGAGTGCCTGAACGCCCAAAGTATTTGTCTGTTGGTGGTGTAGGAGCAGTTTACTTGACCTTCGTAGGCGCCCTGATGATATCACGCAATAACATACGAAGTCCCATGCAGAGGGATGGATTTGCGTGCATTAGCAGGACAGGACAGGTCAGTTCCGGCGCCATGGAATACGAACGAATGCCTTTCCAGACAATAAGGTACTCACAGCCTCGGGAAGTTTGGCTGCCGGAGGAAAGGATCTGAGCATCTGCCAACGTACTTACATCGGCGATAGCCTGGATAATACTCACATATCAGACGTGATGCGAAGTGTAGCACCAGAAGAGGAAAAGAAAAAAAGATGTAAATTTAGGAACATCAACTCATGATGCAGCGAAAAAAAAGTGCCGACGACTCACTCTAGCGCAGCGAGTTCCCGTATCACTCTATTCGTCATCTTCAATACCTCACGCCATCGACATTATCGTGTCTAGAGAAAGGAACGCAGGGAGAAGAAAATGAGGCTATTCTTATCGCTGCAATGCGCGCGTGCAGGCCAGATGAGCTGGCCGTGCTTGAGAATAAGTGGGATCTCAAAGAAAGAAGAAAAAAAAAAAAAGGCCATCAAATCAGATGAGCAGGGCCCGAGTCAGGGCGTGATAGCTACACCTCGGCACTGCAGAGGTTCCATGGCGGCTGACTCCGAAGCTAAATCGGGAGGCAAAATCCAAAAATATCACTTGGAGATGACGCGAACGGGATCTATGGTCATTGAGAGACCGACGGTATTGCAAATAATGCAGATTGGAGGTCAAAGAAGAAAGATCTGAGGTTTCTGCTCCTCGCAACGATGCACGGTCGACTTACAGCTCACCAAGGCAAGAGGCAGAAGAGACCACAGACAAGACGCCAAGCAGGCAATTTTAAATCAACAGACAATAGAACGCTCCCCCGAGGACTAATACGGCAATGGCCGTGCCGGGGGCTGGCTGGGCGTTGTTCGCGCATGGCATCTCATGGCAATTGGACCGGCTCGGCGCTTGTTTTTCGTTGATGGAAGAGGAAAGGAGGCATCCATAGCACAGCCTCCCCGCGACAAAGCAATACGCCAAGGAAGAGGTGTCGAATACCATAGTCGACGAGTGGCCGCTAGGAGCCATTGCCCAATGCTGCGAGCGGCCGTGAAGAAGATGTGAGTTGACCTGGAAGACGGTAAACCAGCCAGTCTGTGGAGGGACGTGCTGAATACGAAGAGGGTCCATACGAAGTACATGTACTTGCATGCAGCAGCACCGCGAGAGGCACCTGAGTTGCCGGAGTGCCGCAGCAAGTGTGCCAGATGTATGCAGCCGGATGGGTAGTCGCCAAGGAGAGCCTTTCCAAGCTCTCAAGATGTGTCTGGGGTCACGGGGCCGGCGTTGAACCACCTGGGGTCCCCGAAGGCGTTTGCTTCTTGTGTCTTTTTTCTGACCTGACTATCAAGGGAGAGGCTCCCCCGGTGCTCCGTGCGGAAGGGGGCTTGACTATGGGGTTCTGTTTCTGGATCCATGATAGTATCACTGTCACGGGCAACGAGCCACCTGGGTACGGGGAGGACGGGGACAAGCACGGCTTCGAAGTAGCTCGTCCCTGAGATGCCAAGCATTTTTTGACTCCTCGTGAAGAGAACGAGAACAAAAGGAAACCAAGTACTAGAAGGATGGAAAGGGTGTGGAGGGGCAGAGAAGGGGTTAGCGAGGGAGGTCGGGCAGCCCTCCTGGTGTAAGCTGTCGACAGGGCAGCTGCACGATTTTCCTACCCAACTCGGAGTCACCAATGTCTGCAGAATCTGAAAACTGAAACCATGACATGTCCTTGGCTTGTGCTTCTCCATCCCGCAGGAGAGAGACTGTGCTGTCAGTACGCACTGGTCCGTGGATTGGATGAGCTCGGAGTGGACCGGTGGCTGATGGTGATCTTCTGATTGGCAATGCAAGTCTTTCAGCTGTGCGTTGTGCAATCTCTGGTGACGAAACCTCGGGGAGCTGTGCTCCGAGCTGGGTCTCATGATTGTGTGATAAAGTCGACATGAAGCAGGTTTGCATGATATACTAGAAGCAAAGTTCTCAGCCAAGGCGTTTTACCGTGCTAGTAGTAGTGGGAGCTCTGGCATCATGGCGGAGCAGAGCAGCCTGTGGAGGAGCAGGAGGAGGGGCTTGATGGATCGGATCGGATCAGAGGAGTAGGAAAAAATATGAAGGCGGAGAGAAGAAGAAGACTTCAGAAATAGAAGAGGAAGGCTGACCGATGTGAGCAGTATGCAGTGTTTGTGACACGACACATGCATGAAGACGACGAAAGCTGTAGATTCGGCCTGTAGATTGGTCTGCGCTCATAGGGTGTAGCGCCTGTAATACGGCACACACAACAGCGCGGATGCAGATGGTGCAAAGTGTTGTAACTGGACTCGGTGATACCAGCCCGGAGACGAAATTGATAAGGCAAGGTATGATTCATGGGCATCTTGGGGGTGGGTTGATGGACCAGGTGGGCAGACAGGTGGGATCACCGTGCCGAGGCGCTTGTCCGATAGAGGCTGGTTGCAACCGGGGCCCTGCGGCGGGGTGTCGGAACAGCGAGGGATGGGAGAGGAAGACGAGGCCGGCGGCTGACAGTTTACGAGATTCTGGCGACGGCTTGTAGCGGTACCTCGTACTCTGTAATTTGAGCCTCTCTTCTGCCTGTTGATGCTTCCCAGGGCTTGGTATATGGGCTAGAAGCGTGACCGGACGACGAGGAGGAGGACGGGGCAAAAGACGAGGGTGCTGCTGGCGAGGGCACCGTGCTCGCGACACCTGCTCGGACGGTGTTTCCAGTGTTTCCAGCTGGAGTGGCAACAAACTCGCAAGGCTCTGACGACGATCGATCTCAGCCGTCTCGAAAGGGGGAGCCACGGTTCCACGGCGTCTGGGCGAGCTGTACGCCGCTCGATCGGAGGGTGCCACGATCACAATGGGGGGAGTTGCGTGTGCGTTATCGCCCTGTTTCGCAACCGCGGCGCTTTTGTGGCTCGTTTGTCGTCGTCGTATTAGTGGTACAACCACCTACGATAGGTTTGCAGTCGATGTCGCTGTACTTTTTGTGACGGAGCTCTGACATGAAGCCCCTAGGCCGAGAGAATCCATGCACATCCAGACCCTGCAGCTCCAACGGGACCGTCATCAGGGGTAAGTCCGCCCACCAATGACGTTGGTGCCTCTCCAGGGTCCTGTTTATCCTAACTGTACAGTAGTAGTAGTACGAGGAGCAGAGGCACAACGAACTGATAAAGCAGATGCTGTAGCACACGATGATACTGAGAAGCTGAGGCAGTACAGAACTCGTACTGTGGCCCGTACTGTACGTTGCGGCAGCCGTGCCGCGCTGTAAGATAAGGCAGGCAATATCAACGGCCGAGCAAAACGGGCGACATGCTACATGCAATGGCCCAGGCAGCGCACATGTAACCTCCCTAAAGCAGCAGGTCGTGTGGCCACGATTCCCAACGGCGGTTTCGAGAAGAGGTGCGAATCACTTGCTAGTACGGGTAATAGCAGTATTTTCTTTTTGATTATCGTGATTGACAAGCCAACGGACCGAAACGGAGCTGCGAGTGGAAGGAATACTGTAAGAAGAAAAAGAATTAGCAGAAGAAAATCAGGCAAGCACGGGGCGCCGTGTGAACTGACTGACTGTGTGAATTTGTTTGCGTGGTTTTGCGATCTTGGTAGGTGTTTGAGAACCGGCGGGCCTCTGCGCGTCATGTGGCCCATCTTTTGTGATTCATAGATCTTCTGCTGTCTCTCTGGCTCATCAATTGCTGCTCATGAAACAAGACAGTGCTGCGCAAGGTCACAGTACGAAACTGCGGCGATGCAGAGACGGATTTGCTCCAGAGAATACGAGTTCTGTAGAGAGGAACTTCCATGGTATTGGATAATCTGTCAGTGTGTGGGCGGCCGCTGCAGATACGCTCGAAACCGCTCGAAGCACCTTCCTTCGGTCGATTTACTCGTACGCGTACCGGTACCGGTACCAAGTCGAGCCACCTTCCACTGCGATAACGTGCAGTACCTACCTCACTGTACTACCTCAATGAGGTAACTGCCGCCCAGGTGAAGTGGAAAGGAAACAGCGGATGACGGGGAAGGAGCGCCACGTTGGATCTGGCAACTGGCTGGGTTGGGCGGCCGTGCAACTTTCCTCTCTCTTCTCTGCACCTCTCACCATTATCTGCTCCTCGTCTTTCTACCCAGAGGCCTGGGCGGCTGCAGCGACATGGGAAAACCGGCGACACGAGGCCCATTTGGGCTACCGGCAAGTCGGAAATGGCAGCCAGCCAGCAAATACGATGCCGAGTATCTGCTACTCGCGCTGGGCGCATAGCCGCAGCCGGGCGGGCGAGTATCGGTACCTCGGACGACGCACTACTCGCCAATAATTGACAGCCCAGCCCACGTCTGGCGGCGCCACCAACACGAGGCCAGGCGTCGCCCACCGTTCTGGACCCTGGGCGCGCTCTCCACTGGCCGGACCTGATGAGCGAGCCGAGGGGCTGGGGGTGATTCAGAGCTTCGACGCTGGCGGCTGCTCTGCTGGTCTCACGCGGCCTGGCTCAGCCGCCCTCGCTGGTTGGCCACCGCCGGCGCAACCAGGCAGGTATCGACAGGGGCCTCCCTCGCGTCGGCGGTCTTGGCCCTGCAGGGATTTGCGACAGGGGGCGCAAGTGGTGGGACCCTGGGCCGGGCTGGGCTCATGAGCAGCAGCACCGGCAGCGGGAGCAGCACCAGCACGGGGACAGTGCCTGCTGTCCAGCACCTGGATTACGAGCACTGCCAGATCCAGCTGGCCAGCCAGGTCAGTCAACCGCCGAGTCGTCCTCACATAATAAGACACGCATCTCACCACCGCCTCGATTCCTGTTCTCCTCCTCTTCTCTCCTTCTTCCCTCGTCCCTCTTATTAATTCCCCATCACCGCTTCCTCGAGCCCCTCCCAACCTTCCTCGAGCCTCCGTCCCGCGTCTTTCTCTTGCGCAGTCTCTCGCTACCAGCTTTCGGCCACTTGACCCGACCATCGCTTAGGTCTAGTAATTGTTTCTCTTCTCGCCAAATCTTGACCAGCCCGTCCACCCGGCTGTATATATATATATACACATACGCATCTTTTCGACAAGCTCTCGCTATCGTATAATCAAATCGCCAAAATGCTTTCCAAGTCCTTCGCCACTGCTGCTCTGGCTCTTGCCGCCTCGACCCTGGTGTCTGCCCAGACCTCTACCGACTGCAACCCCCTTGAGAAGAGTAAGTGATTTCGGCGAGGAATGAGAAATGACGTGTGGGAGATTGCTGGGAGAAGACACTGTGACGAAGTTGGATACCAATTGGAGCATCAAACATCTTGACCAAGCATCAGATCACTGACATTCCACCTCACAGCCTGCCCCAACGACCCTGCCTTTGGCAAGAACTCGGGTAACTGCGACTTCAGCAAGGGCGCATGCAGCAGCTTCGAGAGCCTCCCCGGAACCACTCTCAAGTACAACGGCAACGGCGCTGTCTTCTCCATCAGCACCGAGAAGGAGGCTCCCACCATCCGCACCGGCAAGTACATCTTCTTCGGCCGCATCGATGTCGTCGTTCAGGCCGCCGCTGGTGCCGGTATCGTGACCTCTGCCGTTCTCCAGTCCGATGATCTTGACGAGGTATGCTTCCCCTATTCATCTACCGTTTTTCCTTCGACAGGAAGACTAACTCATGTGATCTCAGATCGACTGGGAATGGGTTGGCGGTGACAACGCCCAGGCTCAGACCAACTACTTCAGCAAGGGCAACACTGCCACCTACGACCGTGGTGCTTTCCACCCCGTCGACAACCCTCTGGGATCTTTCCACACCTACTCCGTGGAGTGGACTTCTGCCGGTGTCACCTGGCTGATCGACAACAACGTTGTCCGCACCCTGACCGCTGCCAACGCCGAGGGCGGCGCCGATGGTCTCCCCCAGTCGCCCATGCAGGTCAAGCTCGGAACCTGGGTCGCCGGCCGCAAGGACGCTCCTCAGGGCACCGTCGAGTGGGCCGGTGGCTACACCGATTTCTCCAAGGCTCCCTTCCTGGGCTACTACAAGAGCATCTCCATTGTCGACTACGCCGGTGCCGATGCCCCCACCTCCAAGAGCGTCAAGGAGTACATCTACAGCGACCACAGCGGCTCCTGGCAGAGCATCAAGGTCGTCCTCGGCGACGGCAGCGACAACAGCGAGGATGTTACTTCCTCCTCCTCCGCCAAGGCTACCTCCACCAAGGCCTCTTCTGCCGCTCACACCACCTCCAAGGCCTCTTCTGCCGCTGCCTCCACCACCGCCGCTGACGAGGAGACCACCACCGCCGACGTCCAGACCACCCTTGCTACCGCCACTGCCTCTCCCACCAAGAGCACCTCTGGCGGCAGCAGCGCTGGTAACTCCACCGTCTCCGTCGTCCCCAGCGGCTCTGCCCAGCCCACCAAGCCTCCCACCGTCCCCGGCAACGCTGGTTCCCGCGCCGCCGCCACCGTCGGCAGCGTCTTCGCTGTCGGCGCTGGTATCGTCCTGGCTCAGTTCCTCCTGTAAACGGGATCCTGAGGCCACAACCCCCCCTTTGGATTTGCTTTCTAGGAATGTACTTATTGCGGACATGAAAAGCATGTAGACTGGGGCCAGGCGTGCGCGCGCGGAGCGGAGAGCGGACCAAGCTAATACTATACAATTCGAGATTTACCCAAGCCGCCCTCCTTTTCTCTTGTTCACTGTACATTTCGACGGGACATGAAAAACTGTGGCACGACTTCTTCTCTCGACCGGTATATCCTTTTCTCTTTACACCTTTTCCTTCACTCTGGTTTCTCCCCTCTGCCTCTGCAGTCCTGGACGAAACGCTTTAATGATCTTTTAATGGGGGAGGTCTGCTTTCTTCTTCCGCCGAGTCGACTATGGTTATGACGTTTGCTTGGATTGACGAAGAGAAGAGGATCGATGATATTTGATGTTTGTTTTCTATCTGCCGTTGGTGTTTTTTGTTTTGGCTTGATATCCTCCTTGATGTTTGCTTTTGCCTGTTTGGACCATGTATTTCGAGTTCGGCGCATACCCGATTGGGATGTGGATGGTTGAAGACGTTGAATGAAAAGCTTTATAACCGATGCCATGCTTTTTGCCATTGCTATGTCGTGTGATCCATTCCTAGTGATGCCTGGTAGTTTGAGCTGTCCGTGCTTGTATCTATTACAACCCACGTCTGGCCGCAACTGTCTCCTGACTTGTCTTCCGTGCTCCACGGTTCTTCGACTCCTGCACCCCATACTTTGGCAGGCAGTCACTCTTGTTGTCGTCGTCGTCGGATGCGAGTGAATACGGGGTAATACGGAGGAAGCACGGAACATCCATGTCCATGTCCATGACCCATGCCTATGATCCATGTCCCATGTCCAACGTCCTTTACCCAACCGGGCAACACGTTTAAATTGCACACCAACAAACGCAGCCTAGTGCCCTTTACACTAGCTTCGTCTTCCCCCGCGCAACAAGGCGCGATAATGGGAATGGAGTCGGGAAGGGTTCGGTTCTTCTTGGGTTTAGACCCGAAGGAAGAGCGGCAGGGGTCTTGGGGCGGAATTCAGATAGTATGGAATTTTGCCTTGAGAGGTGTTACATGTTTTTGAGGTATCTTGAGGGAAGGTGGGTGGTGGTGAGGGTACGAGGTATTAATGTATAGTGAGTGAGTGGTATTAGGGATTCATTTCGTTTTGGTGCCTGCCAAGACACATTACTGATGTGTGAGTGTGTGAGTGTGTGTGGGTAAGGGGATGATGGGATGGACGAGCTGCGGTTTGTGGTTTGTGGTTTGTGGTTCTGTGGTTCGTGATGGCGATGAGGAAGATGATGGGGAGGGAGGGAGGAGCAACGATGGAGGTTGAGGTGTTTCGAGCTCTGGGCTTTGAGAGGCCTGTGCTTGGTGTGGACGAATGTGACGGATGAGCTTGTGAGTTGTGTTTTGGGAGTCCGAGGGTGTATGTCCTGAGAGATTGAGTGATTAAGTGGGTGAGCGGGAATTCAGTTCTGCGCGCGGTTCTGTTTCTTCACAGGCGGTGTTGCAGAGATTACGTGCATGAAGACTCATGCAGCCTGGCGCTGTAATCAATAAAGGTACCTACCTCTCCTTAGTAGAGATGCTACATGTATCAATTATTAGAGATAATATGAGAAAAAGGCAAGACCAAGAACTCATAAGGTACCTAGGTTAGATGTAATAGTATATCCGGTGCCCAAGGATCGGACAATCGGCCCCCTTTCCCCCTGTCAACAAGAAGTAGTACTACGCACGAGTAGGTAGACGCCGAACATGCAACTTATCTGCATTGGGCAAGAGGATGCGTTGCCGTTAATTGCGGATATTACTGGGCTGCGGAGACGAAGTTATCGATGGTCTCTTCCACAGATGGCCATTTGTTTTCTTTCTTTTTTTGCTTCCAGTTTTGACTGACTTGTTCTGTTGGAGCTAGGCGGGATGGGGGATGGGCGGCTTGTGGACGTGGGATGGTGAAGCTTCTACGCGTACAAGTTAAACGTCTGTAAGATGTTCTCTTCGAGTATACGTTGCGATGTGTGATTGACTGCATTGTATGATGCTATTTGAGAAAGCAAGCAACACATCAAGCGAAACCTCGGTGTTGTTTGCTTCATCGTTTCTGTCTCTCTCGTCTCGCATTCTTGTCCCATCTTGTTTTATAGGCTTGTCCTGGGCTGGGTATAGTAGAGCGAGCCTCGTGTGTTGTACGAGATATTAACGTGTGGTGTGGTTGTGGTACAGTAATAGACGTCTGATCGAAACTCACAGGTGCAGTAGGCTTAGAAGTTATTACGTGCTACCAGGCCGGACAAGGCAGTTTTGACTCACCTGGCAATGAACGCACAAGCTTATAAGCCTTGCTTTCCACAGGCATTCCCCATGAGGATTGACGGTAGACTCTGCTGAAGCTGCCCAGAAGCTTGATGATCCGATGCCCGGCTTGGCTTCTGGCCAGGACCTCATTCTCAGGTGAAGCTCCCGAGATAGCTTCTCTAGCCGCCTTACTTTAGCTTGGCAAGCTCAGATAGACAAGTTGAAGTGTTGCGCCGAGCAAGCGCAGAGGCACGAGTCATGGAGCTTCAGCTTTTGCTTTGAGGAGAGCGTGTTTGTGGGACGCGGCTTTACTTTGAGTCTCTTTGCTCGCAAATGTTTTCCTATGTTGGCGCGGTTTTGCTTGAGCTTTTATTGGAGACACTGTATATTCTTTGCTTCAGTTAGTGGAGTGTTGGTTTGTGTGACGTGAGGGTGTAAGTGACGCAGGGTGCGATGATGGAGTCTTGAGTTTGGGCCATTTGCTATTGACGGACGGTTCACATCATTACTTGGCTATTAGGTGAAACCTTTACTTCAACTTGTAAGAAGATCAATATATCTCATGCACCCATTTACACAGTTTTTAGCTTTCACTGAAAAGAGGACGTGGGGAGCGCTGTTGCTATCGCTGGCAAGAGGCGTTCAATGCGTGATGTATAACTGCCTTTCTGAAGCACAAGACACGTGCAGATGCCAACGTTGACGAGATTTGCGTGGTACTAGACGTATCAACAGTTGTGGCAATTGCAAGCTTTCTGAGATTCGCTATCATCACCTTGGCCGGGTGTCTCACTTGGCCATACTCGCATTTGCTGTCAAACTTGGCTCTTATACTACAGTAGGCATCATCGTCAAGCACGATGGCATCACGAGACGACTGGAAATCCAACGTCGTTCCATGACTAACTCAGAGCCTCTGCGCCACAGAGACCTCGAAGCGAGATATCGCTACTCCTGCAGGAAGAAAGACAGGTGAAAGGCCTGATGTGATAGATCTTGCGAGTGTTTGACTTGCCATGTTGACACAAGAACGCATCGTGACTGCCTTGACGTTACTCGACGATATCGCCAATCTGCCATCAGTCGGTGAAGGCACGATCATTTTCACTGCAATTGACCATGATGAAGTCTGTTATAAAAGAGGCAGGAAGGAGACAATGTGATGCTCTGCCTCTTCAAATCCCACCGCCAGTCTACATCTCCTCCAACAAAACAACAACTCATTCGTATAATCTCAACATCAATATCATCTTCTTCATCATATTTATCAATAAGTTATATCACCTTGCTGTATCTCTGGTCTCATCGAAAGTCAAGCATCCTTCCCACGCAACAGACGACATCTGCACCATGGCCCACCGCTGCTACATCATCCCGCCTCACCTCCTTAAGGCCATCTCCGAATCCTCTCACAACTCCGATGCCATCCGCCAGTCAGCTCGAGCTGCCCTCATCTCTCACGAAACGCATTCCGCCAAACGCAGGCTACACCTCGAGGCCGTAGTGCAGAGCCGACGCGCCAGCCGTGCTCCGCCGCCTACAAGTCCCTTTGTTCCCTCCTCTGTTCTTCGCTCCCTATCCCAGTCTGAGCATGTGGACGAGGAGGCTCGAGCGCGTGCCGCCAAGGACCTCGAACATGCTCTTTACCTTGAGGCTCGAGCAAAAGAGGGCATTGAAGCGGCTCAGCCGGATGCCGATGCATCAAAGTCAACGACAAAGCGATCCGTGTACGACGCCGAGCACACCTCGAGCGAGGGCAAGCTGCCTGGCAAGCTTGTCCGGGCCGAGGGTAACAAAGCGGTCACGGACAAGAATGTCAATGAGGCGTATGACAATGTCGGAACTGTCTTGCAGTTCTATAAAGACAAGTTCAAGTGGATTTCCATAGACAACAAGAACTCGGACGTCATCAGCTCTGTCCACTTTGGAGACATGTACGAGAACGCTTGTAAGTGATGACCTCTTCCCCTCAATTACAAGGTAGTCCGTTGGCTAACTTGGAGGTAGTCTGGGATACCGAGGAGCGGCAAATGGTGTTTGGAGATGGCGGCGAGTTCCTGGGCAACTTTGTTGGCAGCATCGACGTTATCGGGCACGAGTTGACGCACGCAGTTACAGAGCATACGAGTCCCCTCAATTATCAGGGACAACCGGGTGCTCTGAACGAGCATGTTTCTGACGTGTTCGGCATCATGATCAAGCAAAAGGTCCAGAACGAAACCGCAGCCAGTGCCGACTGGCTCATCGGCGAAGACTGCATTCTCCCAGGCGTCAAAGGTGTTGCCCTCCGAAGCATGAAAGCCCCGGGAACGGCGTACAACGATCCTCGTTTTGTAAGTTGAGAGCATCTTGTCACGTCAATCATCCCAGACTAACAGCCACCAGGGTAAAGATCCCCAAGTCGACAACATGAAGAACTATACACCAACATTCGAGGACAACGGCGGCGTCCACATCTTCTCTGGCATTCCCAACAAAGCCTTTTACCTGGCGTCCAAGGCCTTTGGCGGCTACTCGTGGGAAAAGGCCGGGCAGATCTGGTGGAAGACGATGCGCAGCGGCCAGGTGTCCGAGAACAGCACGTTCCTCCAGTTTGCCGACGTGACCGTGGACGTTGCAAAGAAGGAGTTTGGGGCCGATGCCGCCAAGACGGTTCGCAAGGCCTGGGATGATGTTGGCGTGACTAGAAGCCTCTAGAAGAGAAGCCCTGGCGGTGGTTGGTGCACCATTTTGTAGGTGTCGTCTCGTTGCGATTCTCCTGTAAACCTAGCCTTAGATGCATTTTCTTCTCCATTCGTTACCTATACCTAGTTTTGAGCTCTACAGTTAGGCTGCCCTGGAATCGAGAGTTGTTTATCCATTGGGTACCTACAGCAACCGAGTTGCGTGTGATGCATGGATATCGGAAATGACTTGACGAGCTGCATACCTAGTAGGTATCAAAGTGTCTTGTCTACCTAGGTAGGTACCCAGACGTCATACAAGATAGGTATCAGAGAGATAAAGCACACCTGAAAGGAAGGTGCGAGAGGACTGAATTGATGAAGAAATGACATGGCGAAGTTGGGAAGGAGCCACCGACCTCCCCCTTCATGCTGGATTACCTACCTAGGTACTAGATGTGTCCTTTTCCTCTTCTTGACTGGAGCATTTCTTCTCTCCTCTCTTCCTCCTCCTCTTCTAATCCATTTTCTCTATTCATCCGGGATTTTTCGCCGCAATAGATGGACACGTGTGGCAGTTGACAGCCCGCCACCAGCTATCAAATTGCCACAAGAGCTTCATCGTGCTGGCCAGAGAGACAACAAACAGCCTCATGGCTTCTTCATTCACGCCTCTCAACCGGACCATCGGCCGTCATGGCAGTTCCACAGGACCGCCGCCTTCTGCCTCAACCACGCAGCAGGAATACTCTTGTCAATCTTCCCCTCAAACTGCGGGAAAGCCAGACACGCCAAAGCATAATGACATTCGACTTCGATACCAGCTGTCGTTGCCGACCCTCAGATCGCTCTCTACGATCGACAAAGCGCCCGATCGCCGAAAGGTTCTCGAGATTGCCTGTCACGCAGCAGAGTTTCGGTCCTTCCCAATAAAGCAAGATCAGAAAAACCTCTTTCGAGAGATCAACGACCACACAGGCATCCCGTACCCGATCAGTGGCCTTGTCACCGAGTCGTGGCAGAAGGTGTTTCTGCTCATCCAGATTGATCTCTCGCGAGGGGGGTGGCCCAACAAAATCTCTGCAAACGGCCGCAAAGAGCTGATGAGAGAGAGCGGCCGCATATACGTCGTGCTGGATCGCGTGCTGAGATGCCTTGCCGACATCTTTGGCGAGAGAGAGGACGGCAGAGGAGTCACCGTCACTCTCGATGTCCTCAGGAGCGTCAAGGCGAAGGTGTGGGAGGGCACCGAACTCGAATTGCTACAAGTCGAAGGAATTGGCGCGGCCAAGATGAAGCGCCTCACTGATGCGGGCATCAAGACCATCAAGCAACTTGCTGGACTGGAGTTTTATCATATCGAACGACTTCTCAGCAGAAATCCACCCTTTGGACATCAAATGCTCACTCAACTGTCGGGGTTCCCACTCCTACACATGCAACTTTCTGTGATTTCCGAGTACATGCCCGCGCAACGAGATGGCAAGCAAGACAAAGGCACATGTCCCCTCCAACAGTCTTGGATCACTAGGGTTCTGTTGGGATATAGCAATGACGCTCTGCCAACCTGGTGCAAACGGAATCCCTGGGCGACTCTGGTGATTGAAGGGGATGATGGCCGGCTCTTGTGGTTCTGGAGGGGGAGCGTGAAAAGGATGGAGACGACCAAGATCATGTTCGTCCGCTTGGACGCTAAAAAGGGGGAGAATGTCAAGGCCACCTTTGCCTGTGAAGGGATCGTCGGGACTCTCATACGAACGACACTGGCCGTTTAGACTCTGCTGGTAGCAGTATCGTCGCAATCGACCCGCAATTACTACCTCGAATTGGCAGGTTGAACGCGCTACGCGACTTCGCACACTTTGACTGCCTCGAACAACACGAATGGATGAATGTTTTGGTAACTTGATGGGATGGCCAATGCGGCTCATCCAGCTGCTTCTTGAGCAAATTGAAAGGAGATTTCCCACCACACCCGCCTGCAGCTGCTCTGCCATTCTATTTTTGATGTAGCGCAAATGCAAGGCAGACTGGCTCCAATCTCAGTCGCTGACAAGTCAACAGACTAAGTTCAGCCGCAATCATCCTGGTTCGCCCCTCTGTAAGAGAGGGAACACATCACGCCGAACCCGGGGGAGATGAACAGAAAAATAGAAGACAAGGTGAAGAAAAAAAGAAAATAGGTCATGAATGGAGGGAGGAAAAGGAAGAAAAGGAAGAAAAACAGACTGCTCTACCTACCTACCTATCGAGAGGGGGGTTGAGCTTCACGGAGTGTCGCAGCCAGTGGCTTGTACTTGCATCGACCGGAGCCTGATTCAGCCCAATGGCATCTTCCCCGACAGGTCCATGCAGGACGAGCATGTCGGCTCAGCTCATTCTTGTGCCACTGGAAAGCAGCAAGAAGGATTCATAGCCCGGGGTGACTTTGGAAGACGGCACAGATACGATATACGATCAGACGGTGACAGAGAGCGTCGGCTGAGGCTGGTGCTTGTCTTAGTGTTGTAGCTAAGCTTAAGTGCGGCTCCGCTGCGACAGCCGAGCAAAGAGCTGCCTGCCCTCATTTCACCAAAAGAACTGTCCCCGTTGACGACGATTGTTCCAAGAAGTATCTGTTGAATGCAAGAGCTGCCAGAGAAGTGGCCGAAGAGCATAGCTACAGCCTCACGGATCAGCTTAACAGTTACAACCCCCCAGCTGTGGACAGCTCCTCCTGGAGACGAGAGCGAGAGCCGGTCCATCGGTGAACATCCGCACTCGAAGCCTAGACCTCGTCCGACCCCCGTCGCTGTTGCTGGGGTATATGCAAGAGGAGGATCGCCTGCAACGGTCTGGTCCAGCCCTGGTCCACGAGGGTCTGTCGCTGGCAATATGGGGAGCTAGAGCAACCCCATGTCTCTAATCTTTACTGCCATCCAACTGTTGCCTCGCACTATTCCTCGAGCAGATCGTCCTGTCCACATGGTCCCCGGGAGCTGAAAGAATCAGACCCGCTTCTGCATGAGTCTGTTCCTCTTTCAACCCATCATGACAAGGCATCGATTGGAGTTGTTCTTGGTCTCCGCCATGTCTATTGTTACTGGCAACAGCAATGCACCACGACTTGACCGCCTCCAGAGACCAGAACAGCAGAGTCAGGCACCCACACCCTCGCCTTTGGTGTTAGTATTGCTTGACAAACCCATTGGCTCAGCCATCCCGCATGAAGCCACACAGCTGGACAGCATGAAGATGGGCAGTAGCTCAAGCCACCGGCTGGCTGTGGCACTGGAATAAGGCTTCCTCTGCCATACTGGGAATGCTTGGCGAAACGGGCTGAAGGATTAGTGCCGGCAGGGGTCTTGTCAACCCTCCAGACCGTCCATGAGCCTCGCCAATCAAGGCAGGATGGAGTGTCGCTTGTTTATTTGGACCCCTGGATAGGTTGGTCTTTTAGCTTGTGATGGCTTCGCAGGATCCCCAGGGTCAATGGATTAGGCACGCAGGCGAGCTCTGGGAGTGATGAATCGGGCATTTTGTTGAGGAAATGTCGTTGCAGCTTTGCGTAACTACCTATAAAGGTGGCCGGGACCCAGCTTCAGCTACGGCAGTTGCACGTCTTTCTCTGTCAAGCAGTCCTACGGTCAAACGGGAATTGCTTCTTCCTAGCAAAAGTCTGAGCCATCGTCGTCTACACGTTTCGTTGCCAGTCTTGTCGACTCTTATACAATCATGTCTGTCTACTCTGCACTCCTCCTGGCCGCAGCTGGGCTCGCCGCTGCCGATAAACTGGCAGCCATGAACGTCGCAGCAGCCAGTAGTAGTCGAAACATCACCGTCGCCGGCCCGGGCGCTGCATCGTTCGGCGTCCACTCTGTCTCTGATGGCTGCGGCATCGGCATGACCACCTGCGACGTCAACTGCATGCCCCTGACTGGCATCTGCTGCGGCCTCGGCAACGGCGCGTACTGCGACATTGGCTATTCTTGCGTCGACGACGGATGCTGCCCCGTGGGCAAGATCTGCAACGGACCGCCCACTGGCTGCAATGGAGACCGTGATCTTTGCGGCGAGTTCTGTGTGCCCAAGGGCACTTGCGATGGAAGTGGTGGTGGTGGTGGTGGCGGCAGCGGTGGTAGCGGCGGATGCCCTTTGGGATATGAGGCCTGCGACGACGAATGCATGCCCACTGGCAGTGTCTGCTGCCACAACGGCTATCATTGCAATGCCGGCCAGACCTGTACATCCGACTTCAAGTGCCGCCTCGGAGGAAGCGGCGGCGGCGGCGGCGGCGGCGGCAGTGGTGGTAGCGGGGATGATGACCCGACTTCTACCATCGGGGACAGCTTCTCTACCAGAGGCTCTGGCGGCTCTCGTCCGACCACTTACAGCCTCTCGCCCGATCCCGAGCCTACTGCTACCCCTACCGAGTCAAACCCCTTTGGCGGCGACGACGTCAGCTCGACTGAGGTTAGCCAGCCCACTGCCACCGAGCCTTCCTTCACCGAGCCTTCTACGACTCCCAGGCCTACATCGAACAGGGGCAGCAGCGGTGGCAGCAACGGTGGAAGCAGCAGCGATGATGGAGGCGATGATAATGACGGCAGCAACAGCGGCAACGACAACGGTAAGAGTGGCAGCTCCAGCGGTGACAGCAACGGCGACAGCGAGGACGATGGAAGCAGCGGCACGATGAATGCCCCGAGCCTCGTCGCCGGCTTCCTTGCTCTCGTTGCGTTCGTTCTGTAAGCGTCTTCTCACGCTGCAGTGCTGCCGATTGCCGGAACCCAAGGGAACCTTGCACAGATATGATAGGATGGGGGGAGTTCCTTGTCTGGTAATGAGTTAATGGGATGAGATTCGAAGGGGAGGGAAAAATTGAAATGATACCATTTGTTGTTATGTGTTTGGTGTCGTGAGGTCTGACCTAGGCCATAGCTGTGTATTGAGGTAGCTGGCTAGCTGCTGCTATGGAAGAGGGAAGAGAGGAATTCCGGAATTACGGAATTACGTAGGAAGGTGTGGGTGGCCTTGCCGACCCAAGTCACGTGCCCCAGCACGTGCAACACATCCCCCCAAGGCCAGCCACGCAAAGAAAGAGAAAACAAAAGTGAAGCTATCGCGGCTTCCAACCAGCTCCTCCAAGTCCAAGTCCTCCCAGTCCTTCTCAATCCATCCGATAAAAATGCTCTAGGCTCCCGGCCGTAGCACTGGCTCCGGCAAACAACGGGCTCTGGCTTCTGGCAACAATGGCTCTGGCTTCTGGCAACGAGGGCTCTGGCTTCTGGCTTCCGGCTATTGGGTCTTTTAGCTGTAAAATAAGGGTCGTAATGGTTGACTGGTGGCTTGACTGGTGATATTGCTGTAGAAAAAGGTGGCTCTTGCTAATCGAGGCTCTATAGCTCTTACCGATCGCGGCTAAAGGCTGTGGCTAGGCTGTGGTGTTGACGATGGGGGTTGTTGTTGTTTTTTAGTGACTGAGGCTGCCGACCGTGGCCATTTAAGGCCGTTGACGATCGCGGCCGTCAGCCTTTTTCTTCTTTTTCTTCATAACAAAGTCTCCCAGCTACTAGCAGTAGCAAAGGAGAGTAAGGTCCGCAGTGGAAATGCGGGGGCTCATAACCTGTCGTGAGGTCTGACCTAGGCCATAGCTGTGTATTGAGGTAGCTGGCTAGCTGCTGCTATGGAAGAGGGAAGAGAGGAATTCCGGAATTACGGAATTACGTAGGAAGGTGTGGGTGGCCTTGCCGACCCAAGTCACGTGCCCCAGCACGTGCAACATTTGGGAGGGTTAATGGGTTGCTCATGTCCGATGAGGTTCAATTTGTCGTATGAGGATACATGAATCTAATGTCTTTAGTCAATCATCTGTTTGCACGCCCTGTCTCTTCTGCTCCTTCTAAAGAAGCATTACCTATGAATCGAGGGATATGTTCATCGGAGCTATCTTAAAACTGAAGTGGTATTCGCCTATTCATACATTGCCCTCCTTCTCACATATCATTGTACTCTCTTCCAGCCCCCTTTTGGAAATAGTTGTTCTTACATGTTGAGGAGCGGAACAGACAAACACGCAAAGAAGCAGACTACCTAGTCAGGTTTTTACAAATGCGTACAAAAAACGAGCAAACACGTAGAAACGTGAACCACCGCATGCGAAACAAGTCGCACAGAAAAAAACTTTAACGCCGTGTCTGTTGGAGTTGCAGTCGTGACATGAGCCAACAACGCNCTTTCCCCCCCCCCCCCCCCCCCCCCCCCCCTCTTAACCCCTGACCTTCAAACTTCTTCACCACAATTGCCCTCTAGAGAATTCTGCGATTCCATATCTGGCCTGTTCGTTATGATTGATACATGTTGGGTGATTTTCCTTTGAATCATATCTTTTTTTTTGTTTTCTTCCCTTCTTTCATTAGATTGGAGATTTTTTCTTTTTTTACCTTTCTTTCACTTCCTGCCGGTGACTTTGTTGAAGCTCTCCAGCACCTTGTCCTTCAAGTCGCCCTTGTTCTCATTGGCATATTCTTCCGAGGGCGTCTCTCCGGATGAAGGCGCGCTCTCGGCTTCGCCATTGGAGGATGATGGTGTGACCATTTGCTTGGCCATCACCTTTGCCTGGGCCTCGCTGACCTTGCCGTAGACGTTGAGGCCGGTGGCAATCATGCCGCTGATGTCGCCGACGTTTCCGGGCACGACGACGGCCGTGCTCTCCTTTGCGAGCTTGCTAAAGGCCTCGACGTACTTCTCGGCGACGGTCAAGCTCATGGCGCCCTGGGCGCCGTGGGAGCCCTTGAGGATGCTGGCGGCGACGGCGTCGATGCCCTCGGCGGTGGCCTTGGCCTTGAGCAGGATGGCCTCGGCCTCACCGTCGGCCTCGTTGATGCGCTCGGCGCGCAGGGCCTCGGAAGCGAGGATGACGCTCTGCTTCTTGCCCTCGGCGATGTTGATGGCGCTCTGGCGCTGGCCCTCGGACTCGAGGATCTCGGCGCGCTTGGAGCGCTCGGCGGTGACCTGGCGGTGCATGGCCTCGACCACGGCGCCGGGCGCGTGGATGTCCCGGATCTCGTAGCGCAGGCAGGTGACGCCCCAGGCCTGGGCGGCCTCGTTGATGGCGGCGGTGATGTTGGTGTTGAGGGCGGCGCGCTCCTTGAGGACGTGGTCGAGCGTCAGCTGGCCGATTTCGGAGCGCATCGTCGTCTGGGCGAGCTGCGAGATGGCGTACTCGGCATCCTCGACGCCGTAGCTGAAGCACAGAGATCTCGTTAGCACTCAATGGCTGGGTGGGATGTTTCAATAATCCCCTGAGCTCTTCCATAGACCTTTGATAGTTCGTCTGGCGAGCAAAGGGAAAGCATATGTAGAGCAACCCGCGAGAAAGAAAAGCTCACCTGGCCTTGTAGGCATCAAACACCCTCGTAAACAGCACGCCGTCGAGCTCCAGCGTGACATTGTCCGCCGTAATGGCGCTCTGACTAGGAATCTCAATGGCCACCTCCTTCAAGCTCTTGACGTAGGCGATCCGGTCAATCACGGGCGCCAGGATCGCCAGCCCGGGCTCCAGGATGCGGCTGAACTTGCCCATGCGCTCGACGATCCACGCCGTCTGCTGCGGTACGAAGCGCACAATCGTGTTGGCGGGCAGCCGCGGCTTCTGGAAGTACGAGGGCAGCGGGCCGCCGAAGCTGCTGCCGCTCGAGGAGCCGGAGAAGCTGGCGGGGAGGAGGGTGCGCGACGAGGTGGTGAAGGACGAGTGCGGCTGCGGAGGGCGCAGGAGGAGGGCCCTCGAGGCTGTCCTGCCGGCGCGGAGGGCGGCTCTTGGGGGCGGGAGTGAGGGCATCGTGGGAATTCGGAGGATGTGTCTTGCTGTATGGTATGGTGTGTTGAGCTGTATGTGAGCTGCCTTGCGTGCTGCTTCAGCCGCCGAGAGGCTGTGAATGTCCGCCAAGGATGAGGCTGCCTGGCAGTGGAACAGCGTCACCCTGATGCCAACTTGACCCGAGGCAGAGCGCTGGACAGAGGACAAGACAAAAGGAAAGTCGTGGCGGTCGTATACCTAACGAGGGAATCAACTTGAAAGGTCTATTAGTTTAGTAAGTAGATGTCAATGATGCCTGCAGGTGCAGCAGCTTCTCCAAGAGCTGCCGCGGGCTTTCTCTGCTCCTGTACCCGGCAATTACCCGACCTGCCGTGCTTTCCATACAGAGCGCTAACAAATGGATGCCCAACAGCTTACATGCCAGGGTACCTCCGCCAAGGTCACTCGACACCCCGGGCCATTCCGTCATATCACTCATCATCGTTTCTTTTGCTTCCATGCCTTACAGCAAGTCCTTGCACACCGAAATCTGCCCCGCGCCCAGACAGAGCTGCACTTTTTTTTTCCCTTGCTGCTGATCCCACGATTAGACCAACCGACCGATTCACGACTGTGACGACCGCTGTGATAGTTTGACCGTTTATTTCGACCAAAGAGCAATATAGACGAGAAGGCCATAGCTGCTACGCTGCTACGCAACCCCTCTCCTCCGTCAACGAACCAGCTCGAGCAACACCCACACAGAGGAACAATATCAGAGGATAAAGGAGAAAGAAAAGAAGCAAGACAGCAAATATAATCGTTCACCATGTCTGCCAAGGTCCCGCGCAACTTCCGCCTCCTGGAGGAGCTCGAAAAGGGCGAAAAGGGCCTCGGCGCCGAAGCCTGCAGCTACGGTCTCGAGGACGGAGAGGACCTGCTCATGTCCAACTGGAACGGCACCATCCTGGGACCTCCTCATGTAAGACCTTGACACACTCCCTCGAACAGGAAGACCATGCTCTTCTCAGTATTTGCGCCTTCTCTCTCTCTCTATCCCTCTCTCTGTCTTGTTGGCATCGGACAAAGAGCGTTCAATATGTCGAGAGACTCAATAGGTCTCTCTCTCTCTCTCGCGAGAGAGACAGACAGACAGAGATGGTGTCAATCATCATCATCAACAACAACACAGAGCATAGGCTAACACACAAGTTCAAACCCACCACAGTCGGCCCACGAAAACCGCATCTACAGCCTCAAGATGCACTGCGGCGAAAAGTATCCCGACGAGCCCCCGACCATCCAGTTCGTCAGCCAGATCAACCTGCCCTGCGTCAACCCCCAAAACGGCCTCGTCGACCCCAAGCAGCTGCCCTGCCTGGCGCAGTGGAAGCGCGAGAACACCATGGAGACGATCTTGATTGAACTGCGAAGGTGAGCCTCTTTTCTTATTCCCCTTCTTTTTCTTCTTCTTTTTTTTTTCTCCTCGTCTCTGCTTCACTGGCGGGAGCGTCGAACTTGTCATGGCTGGGGGCTTGGCTGCACGCATATGCTGACTTTCTTCGGTGTCTGCAGATATATGGCTGCTCCCGCAAACAAAAAGATTCCTCAGCCTCCCGAAGGCTCGACGTACTCATAAAACCCGCAAGAAGCTACAAAGGACGGCCCGGGATGGGAGAGGGGAAGGAAAAGAGACGTTCAATAGATGATGAAGTGGACAAAAAGCAAAAGCAAGAGCAAAAAAAAAAAAAGGGGGGGGGGGGGGGTGGAAAGGAGGAACAGCAGACAAAAAGACACCCGAAAACCCTCTCTTTTCTCTGCAAAGGCCAACCAACAAACCCGCCAAGAAGAAAAAAAAAACGTCACTCATGAAGAACCCTTTTACGTAGCGCCGCCATCTTCAGTCACAGCGCAAATCCAATTTTTCTTTCTTCCGTTTTCACATAGATTGGACGCACAAAGGTCATGGTTCTCTTTTTCTCATTGCTGAGATTGTTAAACTTTGCCCTTCCATCGAACACCTTATTGAAGCTTGTTTCCGTATGAGCATCCCCAAATTTGACAGTGTATATAAGCAATACCGCTTGAAGTACCGAAACTCCTCCATCCATAACCACAGACATTCCATTCGTCCCTCCAGGTCCATACTCCCCTCCTTTCGACCCTTTGCCTCGAGCTTTTCTTGCAGCCCATACATCCGGACCATTCCGCTTCGTTCTCGCTCCATTCTATCCCCCCCATCATGCATTGGGAAGGGAAAAAGTTAAGCCCAAAGGAAAAGATGTAAGAAAACAGGGACAGGATTTAGATGTGGTGATGAAAAAGATACACTCTCCCCTCTCACTCAGTTTGCTCCGGGTATCATATCAGTTTGCTTGTGTTTCCCCCATGACATAGTGACAAACCAACCCATGATATACAGCAATATTCGCCTTGACGGGAAAAAAGGAAAGAAAAAAAAAAGTTATTACAACATCATAGTGATTCAACAACGCGTGGTATAAGCATGAATCGAAAGATGCTCAACTGAGAGCAATTTTGTAAATTTGAGGGGCAGAAGAGACAGGTGTATATTCGAGCAGGGCTTATGTGGTAAAAGTTCGTTTCAGTCGTCGTCTCCCCACCATCCCAGCTCGGGATCTCTCCGCACGAACCCTACAGCGCTCAAACGGGCCGTGTTCATTGCGGCACGGCGTGGCTGCTGCGGTTGTGGGAATGTCTCGTTGGATATTGGGCTGTCTGGTCGGGGCATATCCTCGTTGCCGTCCTCGGAAAGCCTGGTGAGCTTAGAAGGGGACATGTAGTCGGTCTGATTTTGATGTCGCAATGGCGCTCTTGCCTTGGCCTTGGACGGGCGATTCTCTTCTGGGTAGTCCCATGGAACGGACTGGAAGCCCGATGATAAAACCGCTTCTTCTACAGGTTGGCCGTCGCTTCCAACCTGACTCCACTGGCCGCTAGAGTGCTTGCCTTGGTCGAGATAGACGAGGACGTCCTGCGCTTCGGCAAAGTCCTCTGGCCCGCGAATGGAAGAGACAAAAGACGCTCTTTCGGATCCCGTGTCCGCGGTCAAGCGAGAAGGCGCTCGATAGTTGTCGTCTTCGCCGTCAGGGTGTTCCGTAATCGGCGTGCTCATGAACGAGCTCGCCACTGATTGTCGCGATTTCGTTGAATGGGTCGGCGGCGCGGGAAAGTCAAAGTCGAGCATCGAGTCCGTCACTACTTGGGAAGGATTTGAAACGTGTCTTCGGGTTTGGAACGTATCCTGCTGCGGATTGCTTGCGGAAGCCAGCTGCGACTTCTCCCGCATAGCCTGGGTTTTCTTACGGAGGGCTGATATTAGCATCTCCTCCTGGCGAGTAAGCGTCATGACGCAGCCCTGACTGGCAGAATCGTCGACGGACGATCGAGCGGATCGTAGATAACGATTGACTGAGGTTGGGCTCGGTGGCACGGGTACGTCATGGTCGGTCTGGCCGGATGATGTTGCTACAGATCCGCGGCGCAATGACGATCCTGAGCCGCTTGTCAACTGAGCCAAAGCCTTTTGCCGATCCAGCTCTGCCTGCGAAGGGCGACGGGCTGGCAGAACTGTCGTGAGATGCGACTCTTCTGCGCCATAACCGTTCTGGCTGGTCATGCCTGAGCCAGTCGAGTTTGTGGAGCCCACGGAAGGCTTGGGCGAAGAAGCACGAGAGCTGTTCCTCAGAGGCGGGTTCAGCCGAGAAGGGGATGGCGACATGCGTTTCCGTTCAGTGCCAGGAGCAGCGATGTAAACGTTGGACGACGCGAAGCTCGTCTTCTTGCTCGGCAATCCACCCGATGCCTGCCGCGCTCGTGACGGCCTCGTCTGGCCGTGGCCTGGTACTTCTGGCAAGGGCCGCGCGGGAAGAGGCAGATGGTCTCTGGCGGATGCCTTCGCCTCGTCGTCTTCTTCCTCTTGTTCAGAATCGGAAGACAAGAGCAGAACACTCTTGTCGTAAAAGTCAGCTTCTTGAATGATGCCGCTGTCGGTTTGCCGAGAGGCTCTAGAAGTTCGGGTGTGTCTGCTTGAAACACTCCTGGCACCATCGCCTGGAGACGATGAGTACTCCGTCTGGGCCATCGGCTGCGGCTCGTTTGATTCACTGAGGGGCTTGTGAAGCCAGTCGAGGTTTTGCCGTGTGCGCGGCTCTCGCCACTGCGCTTCACCCTGGCCGCCGGCTGAATCTTTCCTGTTGTCAGCGCCACCCATGAAGTCGGGCTCAGCCTCAGCATCTCGAAAGGTCATCTGTTCATAGTGGTTATACAACGTAGAGAGCCTGTTTTCTGAAGCATGAGACGTCATCCGACGACCTTCGACAGCGCTTTGCGGCGTGCTATCCGTCATGAAAGACCGGAAGCTGTCCTTGGTTCGCCGTTTGAACATGCCACGAAGATCGCTCTGCCGATGAGATGCCGTAGAATGTGGTGTTGTGACCGTGGGGTTGGCAGAGTCGCCGGGGATACCGTGATGAATGGTACCAGCCGAATCTAGTCCCGGTATTCGAAGCGGCGGCGCTATCGCGATGGAGTCCAACCTAGGGGGCTTCCTTCGCGACCTGGGAGACTCCTCAGCATCGGGAGCAGCCTGTGTGTTGGGCGAGTGGCTACTGTTCATGACCGGGATCGAAGCTTGTCGCGACAGAGAGCGTGAGTGCTTCGACTTGTCATGCCAGGATTTGATGGTGGAAGACGATTGGGCCTTTTTGAGAGTGCCAGGCAGATTCTTCGCCCCAAATCCAATGCTGTCGGTAAGGGCGCTCAACCTGTTGGAAGGGGACGGTTGGCGCTCGTTTCTCCGTTTCTCGCTGGGCATGTTCATGTCCGGTTCATCCAAGACCTGGTTGTCGTACATGCCAACACTCACGGTTGGCAGCTTAGGGTCGTGATAAGGAGCGTCGATGTTGAGCGGCGTCGAGCCCAAAATCTTATGGGCCTTGCTCATAGGCATCGTACTCGGAATGGCAGGCGGCGGAGGCTCCTGTGGCTTCTTACGCGCCGGCCTCGAGAAAGTAAACTTCTTCATCCTGTCTGATGTCCCCAAAGCGCCGGGTGAGCGAGGGTAGGAAGAAAGAAGAAGCGAAGAGGAGGAAAGTTCCCGTCCCGACCCTGGTGCTATGAGAACGCAACACTACAACTCCGTCATCTGACAAGACGCTCTGATGATGAATGAATGTCCTTCGTGAGAGCCCAGAGCCAAATTGGGTTCGCGGGTTGCGCCTTGAGTCCCTATAGGGCCCCAGAGTCTCGATTGAAGGATTGAGAATTCGAGATCAGTACGGTCGGTGAATGAACGACTATGCAGTCGCGGAAGACGAAAGCCCGTGAGAATGAATGGCTTTGGAGTTCGCGTATCCCGCTAGTGACAGGGGTCCCTTTCGAATGCTTGCGTGTTCTGGCCTCTTCCTGGTCGTGGTAGCAAACTGTACAAGGCGACGAAGCAGAGAAGACGCCGCAGGCAAGTACAGAGCACCCGACTTGTCTGGCTGGAGGCGCGTGGTAATGGCGGGGAAGATGCGAGTTGCAGAAGAGACAAGCAAGATCGGGAATGGGGGCTCTCGTGTAAATGAACAAAATCTGCGGGTACCGTCTGGGATAAGTTGAAGCGAGGCCTAGTGCTCTGCCATGCTGGATTAGACCACTGCAGAATCCGCAGCCCCGTCTCCACAGGTCCAGTTCCTACCTGGAGCAATATAGCTGTGGCCTATGCGACCGGCCGATCAGGGACGAGCCAGGGAGAGCAGAGATGCGAGGAAACGGCCGTGGGTTGTGAAGCTGTCAAGGCCGCCCAGGCCGTGCGTGCCTATATTTGCACGAGCAGGAGCGTGCTCCGAGATGACAGAGCCAAAAGGACAGAGCCAAAAAAGAACAGGCCGTCCGAGAGATGATGAGTGATGCGCCCGCCTGTGGATGAGGTTCGAGGCCTGACGAGCGTTGCAGGCAAAAAGGGACCCTGTCCGTTCGTCTCTTGGTCCTGGTCTGCCGTGATAGGAAGAAGAAGCGAGAATCAGCCCTGGCTGAATCACGAGGGGAGGGAAATGGGAAATGGCGCTGGCATCAACGACCGCGGGAGTCTCAGACGATGTCGACAGGCTTGCAGGGCCAGGCAACCGATCACCGACCTGGATGCAACGCCAGCAGCGTTCGTCTCTGCTCAAGGGCAGGGGTTTGCCAAGCTAGGTGCTGCTTCCCGCTGCAGGCTCAAAGGCAATTGACCGGCAGTAACGGTGATACGACCTGTGCCAGTCCCCAAGCACGCAAAGCATCCAATAAGTATGTATGTATGCCTGGATGCCACCACGACCACCACCACACCCGCGCTGCTGGGCTCCGTACTACCAGCAGTGCTAGCAGTAGCGTGCGTCTGCCGGCCTGGTGCTAATCAGAGGCCGTGTAAGAAGTGGGAGATGAGGCGATTGGGACCATTGCTTGCAGTCGGTCGTTAGCCTCTGGCGCCGACAAGCACCGTGAAGAAAAGGGACGTTGAGAAAGGTAGTATCAAAGGCGATATTACCACATACCACCGACAGGCGCATTCTGTACCTGAATCCCATCCGTGGGCAGCAGCAGCTCCTTGAAGCACGGGCTCGTGCATTCGATCAGTGCTCCTCGCCGGTACTTGGCGCCTGTGAAGCCGAACCAGGCTGGCCCCGAATCATCTCGGCGTGAGGCCCTCGTTGGGGATGCGCTAGCCACGATCTCCACGGCAGACCCATGCACGAGTCTCTGCCTCCCTGTCACCACTGGGTGCGGGCAGGTCCGGGCTCGGTGGCCTTGCAGATGTGCTCGTGCCAGAAGCAATCATGCAGCGAAATGGCTGCGCAAACTCGGCTGGCTGCACCGCGGCCGGTCCGGACGGCTTGTCTCGTACTGTAGGTGGATTGTGCGTAGGTAGGCAGCTTGTGTCATGTGCAATGGCTGAAGCATGCGAACATGTACAGAATGTCGCCTGCTGTCTGTCTTGTCTGCTGGTTGCCCTCGGCCGTGGCTGGGCACACGACGCCATCATCATCAGCATCACCATCATGGATCCCAGTCGCATCGAGTCGGTGTTCGTCGGCTGCTGACCAGGCATCGGCTGTCTAATTTCCGCGGGGACCCGTCCTTTGGGGGAGGGGAGGGGCTTTGCTGGAGCATCTCAGCCTTTCTGCGGCGCGGGTGCGACACATGGCGAGCAATGGGATGGACGACTCTCGCAGAGGTGGGAAATGGCAGAGTTGGTGGGAAATGAAGTCGAGACCAGTGACGACTCGTGCCAGGCCCGTTTGGCAGGGGTTCCCCTTCCAGGCTGTTAGGGCCCTCTCTAAGGGCCGTCTTGGGAGCGCCAGAGGTCGGCGGAAGACGCCCTGGCCCCCTGCACGGGCCGCCCAGGGCCAGGTACGGGCGATGATCAGGGCCCTTGGTGCTCCATTCGTCCGCTGAAGAGTCGAGTTCACAGTTGCGCTGAGCATCATCAGCAGAGGCCTGCAGGTGGCGAGAGCGCCCAACGGCTGTCAAATCAATGTCGACAGCGTCAAATGACCTCCTGGGCACGGATACACGTAGGTATATACTGCCCGGAGCTCGCCGCTCAAGCTGTCATTCTGCTGCAGCTGCAGCCCTTTGTTAATGACCGACCTCCTTTATCACGGTTACCTTGATACCTTGCATCACAAAGCACCTCGAAATGCCTGATATCGCCGCGGGTACTTGCATGTACTCGATTACCCAGAACACGGCATCCGGAGAGGTATTGATTTCATCGAGGCCAATCTCATCTGCATGCGCTCGTCATGGTAAGTCAGGTAGGGCACGCAAGGAAAGGGATGCCGCTTGCCGCTGGGTTGCACCCAAATCAATTCCTGCAGGGCTGCCTTGATACATGTATCAAGCTCATGCCAATTTATCAAGTCATCACCTCAATCGCCTATCTGCCTACAAGTACCTATGACCGCATAGAGGGTATAGACGTCTAAATCCTCGTACTACCTACCTCCTACAAGCAACTGGCTCCCAGCACGAGTCGATACGCCATTTGACTCAGACAAAAACAACTGAGACATCTCACAGCAATCATCACTGCAGGACAACAGGGGATAGTACTACTAGGTAGTAGTAGTAGAAATGATGGCCCAAGCAAGGCCCTCGTCTGCTTACGGCGCCTTTTGATGTAAGTCTGGGGCACCCACGTGTCTCTCTCGCTCTGTGAGCCATCCATGCAATGAAGCATCAGCTCCTCCCCTCGGCATCTCATTGGATCTTGAATGACTGCCGTGTCTTTGGGTCTTATCATTAGCCCACCGACGGGTAATTGGCGTGGCATCCAACGTCATGCATACCTACCTACCTTACCTGTATTCCGCGTATCTTACGGTACATGTAACAGTGCCCGCAACACGCATATAATTGGCAGACGATGAATTTAGCCGGCGAGATGCACGATACAAGTCCAGCTATGAAGAGCTCACAGGCGGGCTCGTCTCTTAAGAGCGCAGGGCGCACATTTGTCTGATCGATCCTGTTGACCTGTTTCGTATCGTCTCGCATATGTGCTACAGGCACAGATACCTTACTTTTAGGTAAGGTAGGTACCTCTGACTTACTCTCACAAGATACCTAGGTACCTACCTAAGGTACGAGGCTGCAATGCCTACCTTACCTTACCTTATGTATTACATCCCTCTGTGCGGAGGGATCGCTGAATCAGAACAGGGAGCAATCAAAGAGAGAGCCGTACTATATACACCACAGACAGATACCTAGTGGATAGACGCAGGGTGTCGCAAGCGTCATGGAAGTTTCACAAGGCAAGGGATTCAACACGGGCAGATTGCCAGTCTTGTTCGTGCTGACGAGGAACCAAGTCAGAGGAATCAAAGTAGAGACAATGCGTCATCTCGAGAGGCTCTGGGCGAGGACGAGCCGCCAAGACGTCAAGATGGATGTCTCCTTGAACATCTTCAGCGCTGGTCAATGGCGGTGACAAGCTGCCTTGATGCCATCCGCAGTTGCGAGGCCGTCTCTGTAGGTATGCATACTATTCGCAAAGTGCGGTTCTACTAACTCGTACGTTGACAGTCTTCCTACCATATCCGTCTTCGATCACCGTTGTCTCGTCTCGTCTCATCTCATCGCACAAAAAAGGGACGTAAAGACTCAACCCGTCGTGTAAGCCGTCTGTCCGCCGTCCGTTAACACCGTTTTTTTTTTTTTTGCCTCCGTTTGGCTGAAACAAAGACAAACACTGCCATCGTTTCGTACTGATCTCATCACCGTCGTTCCATTGGGCCTCATCTTCAGCAGCAAGCCCTCCAATTTCAAATTCCGGTAACATCGCCTCAAAGAAGGAGAGACAAAGGCGTCGTTTCACGCCGTTGCCAACAACACCCTAAAGAATCAGGGCTCTGCAAAGCCCATGCAGAGCTTCTCTCCCCCACCGGCCCTGTTTCGCACCGCTCAAAATCTTCATCGCCCATCATGGCGTTCCCTTTCCTATCCGCTCTGTTTTTTTTTTTTTTTTTTTTTTTTCCTTTCAATTGGTCTTGTTCCCTCCCCTCCCCTGTCCGTTCGCGCGTGTGATTCGTCTCCGTATATTATTATTCCCTCCCCCCTTGTTCGAACGGAACGCCTACTGTACATAATTAGATACGGCTCAATGCGGAGCCCGCTGCTTGTTGACTTGCTGTCCTGGAATCGATCTATTGCTGCACGTACCGTTTGCTGGCCCATTCTTCATTTCTCACTCGTCCTTGAAGGTTCCCGTTCTTCTTCTTTTCTTTTCCTTTCTTTTTTCGAGTTCGTCCTTTGTTACCCTGGGACCCTTCACGAAAATGAGTTCATGTCCTAGACATTCGTCGTATGATACATTACAAGGCCGTTTGCGCTGCGCCTTGTGTCCAATCTTCATGTTACGCACAACCACTACCTTTTCATGTCTTAGCCAGCGACAGTTCTACTAGTTTTCTGAAGCTCATTTCACTTGTTTCCAGTAGCAGCTGGACTAGCCTGACAATGTCTGGGGGAGAAATGGATGACAGAGGGCAGGGCATCGCGTGAATGACTCGATGACAGAGCGGAGGCCGCGATAGTCGCAACTGTGCCCATCATTGGCGTCGACGCCATAGACTGAGGTGCATGGGTGTGCTTACGAGGTCCTCGATTGATAAGCTCTGCGTCTGACATCTTTTTCATCCCCGTAATCTAGAGATGATCAAACGCGAAACGCGGAGAGATGGGAAATTCTGAGCTTCCTTCTCACACGCTTCAGGTCACTGGTAACTAGAATAAGAGAAGTAAGAATGGTGTCGATCATCCCTTCTCCTGTAACATCTGCATCTTCCTTACCAATAGTATTCGTCAAGGATGACTAGATCTACTGCTGTATGATGGAGGTTCAGTACTTTACATGTAATGTACAGAGGAAGCATACCACGTTACGTCTCCTCGCAACACACCAAGCCCTCAGAGGCGCAGAAAGAGAGGCCACCAGTCCTGGCTTTTTCCTAGACTCAGTCTATAGCGGAACCACCATTCTTGAGCTTTAGGGGAGGACTCAACAGCCTCTTGAATCCTCCTAGTTCGAAACTTGACCTGCACTCCTCGCCCATTCATGCCGTTGAGCGTGCCCTGGGCAAATCGGCGCCACCATTCGAGCACCTCCACGTGCTGGCGAAGAGATGCGATGAATATCACTTCCTCGGCGTCAAATATGACGTTCTCGTCGCCCTGCAGCTTTCGCCAGGTTTCCAGGACATTTGCGTGTCCCCACCGGCTCGCTGTGAAAGCCACGCCGCCAGCATACCCGACATGGAGGCCAGAAGCATGCCACCATCTCAGCACATCCTCCCGGCCATTGCTAGCGGCCCATAAGAGAGACCTGCCAGGTTTCAAGACAATGTTGTGATCCGCGGCGGCGGCATTGCGCCACCAGTCAAGGACTGAGATGAGGCCATTGCTACTCGCTTGTTCCAGTGACGCCTTGGTGTATACCAGCGGAAACCCTGACTCCTTCCACCACTGCAGTATATGCACGTGGCCATTCTTTGATGCGCCATCTATCGCCTCTGCGTTGTAGACATGGCGGCCTCGAAAATGCAGACTATTCTTCCAGTAATCCAAGACCTCGACCTGAGGGAAATATGCAGACGCCTTCGTTGGGAGAAATGCTCCATCAAACGCCTTGAACAGCTGGGGATGGTTTTGCTCGAGAAAAGTGAGCACTTCCACCAAGGCAAATCGTGTGATGAGTTTCACAACTAATACCGGTAGCATGTGAAGGTCTGCTGGCACCTGAGATATCTTTTGGCAGATAGCACTGGTGTCACACGTCAGAACCGTCCGCTCGAGCTCGCGCGAGTATACGCGCAGAGGATCACCCAGGTCGTTGATCTGCGTGTTCCACTCTCCTGGAATGGGTAGATTGGTGCTAATACCCAAGGCATTCGCCAGCTCCCAATCGCCCGTGAAGCTCAGTATTTTGCTCCATAGCTCGAATGGAAGCCCTGGGAGAGTGGGCGACCGAGCTTTGGGCATATCAACGACTTCGATGGTGGCCTCTGTGTCTCGACCGAGATTCAACAAGTCTGCCTGATTTTGGATGAGGTCAAGCAAATCCCGGAATCCACTCCAGTTTGTTGCTTGCTGCGGATGCGCCGCATCTTCATAGTGCCACAGTATAGGCTGCATCAATCGAATGCAGGGCCATGCTGTCTGCACCTGGCCCAATTGCTGCTGGACAGACGGGTTCAGCCATCCGCCATCGTCCATTCCAGGTACCATGATGCACGCTTTTTGTGCCTTGGCCCAGCTTTTCAAGAGATCATCAAGGAAAGTCTCGCTAGTGCCGGCCAACAGATTCCCAATACCTTTCATATCTAGGGGCACACAAACCAACAGATCGGCCCATTCGACCAGGTCGCTTATGTCCAGGCCAGATCGCCTAGGGGATGAGTGATCCGGGTCGACTTGCTGCTCCTGTGCTATGGGCGAGTTCTGTATGGTAATGATGAGCTGATTCAGCCTCGGCGGCGGGTCGTCGACCACTGCTCTCATCTCGATGCGACGGTCCTTGGAGAGCCGGACCACGAGAGGTTGAGCCCAAGACGAGTTGCGCGTGCCCGTGGCAGTAACGAGCAGCCGCAGACGGCGGCTTTCCAGTGAGGCTTCGCCCAACGAGAAGCACGCCATCATGTCAGAGGCGCCGGGCCGCGGAGGTTGATGAGACGTAGACTGCATGGTGGACGAGCAACCGAAACAGCTGGCTGAGCTCGTATCACAAGTATCGTAATGACGGAGAGGTTGCGTGGGAGTCCTAGACATCTCAGGTGCCCAAGTCAAGCTGGGATCGTTCAAGCCGGCAATTTGCCAGGACTTTCGATGGATCAATCTGATGCCGTCATCGAGCCTCTGCCGACTCTTCGCGGCTACGAATCCACGGCTCGCATCTTCAGGTCTCTCGAGTTGCCGTTGCGCTGGATGAGGGATGATGAGGTGAGAAGCATCAAGTCGTCTTCACCTCGCCCGACCTCGGCGCCTCGACTTCCGCCGTTTGATTTGAACAGATCCTCGTGGCGACGTTGAGGCAGCCGTGCGGTTGGTCGTCAAGTGGGTGATTCAAGATCCAAGTGACATGCTTGCAGGTACTACTAGGTAATACTATGGGGAGCTCTGAATCTAAAGAGGTGCTGGCCCTAGTCCAGATACGGCTAGAAATGACGGAACGTCGAAAGGCGGTGAGAGTTCTGCCGGCGCTGCTGCACCAGGCATAACAGCTACACTATGCCGATACGCTGTGCTGTCCTTGATCATGAAAGACACCGATTCTACCTACTAGTACCTTATGCGAGGAGCATGAGACTGCAGTATTCGCTCCTATTTGCGTCGCCGAAGCTGCACAGGAACGATCCAGATCTTGCCCCCGCGTCCATTGCCCATGGGCAGATGATTCGGCCTCACCCACGATGACGACGCAGCTTCTGGCCACGGAGCTAGCTAATCTCATTCAGGAGAGCAAGAGGAAGCACAGTGACCTTCGACAGGTAGGCATATTTTCCCTGGCTTTGGACCTTTCATTTTACCAATTCAGTCAGCTCATTGGATCATCTCCTCATCTAGGCGGCTGAGAAGTCTCTGGAAGAGTTAAAGAGCCTCGGCAATGTCCCCGAGACTGCAGCTCCTGAGTGTATGCGCCAGTGGATCCTCTTAAGCCAAGTGACCTCTCATTGACAATGACTCTCCAGTGCTCTCGCAGAAGCCCAGCTTTGTGAATCCCTTCATTATAGCATGCGGCACCAAGAATGCAAAGTTCACGGGCATTGCCATCGTCTGCCTGCAGAGGCTCATCGTTGCCAAAGCTTTGCCTAGGTCGAAGCTCAATCAGGTCTTGGAAGCACTGATGCAAGCATCGTCGGCTGGGCTCGACGTGCAGCTGAAGATCTTGCAAGCCTTGCCATCCTTGTTGCAGAACTACTCCGCGGACTTGAATGGCGATCTTCTTGTGACTGCTCTGAATATCTGCTTCATCCTGCAAAGTAGCAAGAATGCCATTGTGAATAATACCTCAGCCGCGACGCTCCAGCAGCTCGTCGTGTCTGTCTTTGACAAAGTAGTGGCTGAAGACAGTGAGTCCCCTTTGGCGCAGATGGCAGAAGCATCCCCTAATATTTGTACAGAAACTGGCGGTGATGCCCCTATCGCAGGCGAGGCGCCCTCTGCCGATGGCAAGGTAGAACTCCGCGCGGCCGCACTGGATGCCTATCGTGTAAGCAACATCTCTGCCGGAGCATATATCGAGCTCGAGGCTAACGGTGGCAGATATTCAACGATCTATGTCTCTTGACGGAGAACCAGCGGTCCGAGTTCTTGCGGTTCTCGGGCTTACAGCAGACATTTGGGCTAGAGTTGATCGAATCGGTCATTACCAACCACGCCGCCGTCTTCATCACCCATCCTGAACAGGTGCACATTCTTCGCGAACGCGTGATGCCTCTTCTGATGAGTGCACTCAGGGGAAAGCCATCGTTCGCCACAACCGTGAGGCTCGTTCGCATCCTTTATACCTTGTTGCGCCGTCACATCACCGTCTTGCCTACAGAGTGCGGCGATGCGCTGTCGCTCCTTACAACCCTCCTGGATCAGGACACCACAATCTGGAAGCGGGCGTTATGCATGGAGGTGTTCCGTGGCATATTCGCCGAGCATGCTCTCGTGCGTCGCATATTTGCCATGTACGACGCAAAGGAGGGCGACAAGGACATCATTAAGACTCTCATTGCGACTTTTGTCCGGCTCAGCACCGAGAAACCGGCAGTCATCGGCCTTGGCCATCAATCCACGATGCCAGTCGCTGATCCATCTGGCAGCTCCAACTTATCCACAGATCAAGCATTGATCGAAGCCACTAGTGTGACTGGAATCATCGGCGGCTCTGTTGGCTCAGAGGTCGCCAACATAGGCATCAGTGTAGCGTGGAGCTCTGTTAGAGTTCCCTGCATAGATCAGCTGGATAAAGCGGAGGCTCCGACAATTCCCGAATCATACATCTACAGTTTGATTCTGGCTTGTCTCTCATCTCTATCAGATGGGCTTGCCAAGTTCATTCTACCGCTCACGGTCCCTAACGAGAGCCGGGCTCGGAGAAAGGCCTCAAAGCAGGACATGGGGCGTAGCTCGCCTGCTCCCGCCCAGCTGGAAGCTGAAGGCTCATCTCAGGGTCCGCGAGAACGGTCGGCCTCGTTCAAGAAGAACCCGGTGCCCATCAATCCGCTGGACCTCGAAGACCACCCTGCTTATTCGGAGGTGAGGATCTGTTCTGACATTGTCACCGAGTGTTGGCCTGCTATCCTAGCCACCTGCTCAACCTTTCTTTATGCCTCTCTGGACTCAGAGTATTACCATGGCTTGGTTCGGGCATTCCAGAGATTTGCCCACGTGGCTGGCTTGATGCAACTTGCTACACCGCGGGATGCGTTTCTATCCACCTTGGGGAAGGCTGCAGTACCTCCAAACATCCTGAGCGCCTGCGTCAATGCTGGCCAGTCGCGGTCTAGCACGGCTACTACTCCTACGGAGACTTCGAACAGCGTCTTCAGTAATGCCCGTGGTCTCTTGAGCGTCGAGAACCTGACGCAAGTGTCTAGTCCTACGGAAAGGCAGCGGCAAGGGCCGTTAGACCCGTCGACAACCCTCAACACCCGAAATCTCCTCTGCCTGCGAGCTCTGCTCAACCTCGGTATCGCACTCGGGCCAACGCTTGGGCATGCCTGGGGCATCATCCTAGAGACTTTGCAACAGGCGGACTTTGTGCTCTACGTTACGGGTAAAGCACCCGGGAGAGCTTCCTCCATAAGTCGCGGCGGGCAGGACTATCAAAACGAATCAGAAGGCAACTCGCTCATGGCCAACTTTGGCAGCGAAGTCCGCTCCGTCGAGACGGCCGCGGCCAGGTTAATAGAAAGCAGTGTTGACTTTCCCAACGAGTCATTTGTCGAAGTGGTTCAGGCAATATGCGGTTTGCTACCAGGCGAGGGCGAAGCCAAGTCCAAGTCTGAGAATACAGAGGAGCCACGGCAGGCGCAGCACGTGAGATCCTCATCTGGACAACACCGGCGAGTGCTCAGCTTCTCTGGCCAGTCGACAATATCCAATCAGGAACTTCAGTTTGCACTAGCCAAGCTGGGGGAGATTGCCATGATCAACTTGGAACGGTTGTTGAGATTTGATCCGAAAGAGTCGGGCTGGGAGATGGTGGTGCAGAAACTAATCCAAATGCTGGATTGGGGTGTACTCAGTCCACCGGTCAGGACCAGAGCGTCAGAGATCCTGGCTAAGCTGGTGCTTGAAGCAGCCAACGCTGCAGGCACACTTCCTGCCGATATCCGTGGGCCGATTCAACTTCGTTTGCTAGGAAGCCTTCGCGATTCGTTGAAGCCCTTGCAGAAGCGTGGCCGGGACATTTCGGTTGCAAACGCGACGACCGACGTCGAGATTCATCGAATCATACTTGATGGATTGCGAGGCGTCATTGAGGACTGCGGGCAGACCCTCGTCAGCGGCTGGGACGTCACGTTCGATATCATTGGGAGCGTTTTCACGACAAGAGAACCTGATCAGGCAGATCGAGAATCCGTCATCAACGCTCGCATCCTCGGTACACGATCGTCGAAGCTTGTGCGATCCTCTTTCAGCTCGCTTCAACTTATCTGCTCAGATTTCTTGGCATCGCTGCCCAATTCTTGTTTCTTAATCTTGGTCGATACCCTCTACAAGTTCTGCTCTCAAGACGACGATCTCAACATTGCATTGACGGTAAGATCAGACGTTCCCATGACAATGCTGGTTCGCATCGCTAACTAGAGTCGTCTGCACGCAGACTGTGACCTTCTTTTGGACCCTGTCCGACTTTTTATCCGGCAACGACAAGTCGCTGGACATTACCATTGACTTGTTCCAAAACGCAAATGTCGACGCCTTGGAGCGCTTAGCAGCAGATCGCGGCCGAGGATCTGACGCAGCGTTGTGGATGTTGTTGCTGTTAAGGCTCACAGCCGTCGCCTCAGATGACAGGGCTGATCTTCGCAATACCGCAATACAGACCCTGCTCCGAATCTTTGATGCCTATGGCGAGAGGCTCAGTCCTGAAGCATGGTCAATATGCATCAAATCCGTGGTCTTCAAGCTGCTCGCTTCGCTTGAAGAAGAGCTGCGAGGTACCCAAGACGAAGAAGTGGACGAAGGCGATAGGACAGAGTGGCACGATACCGCAGTTGTTGTGCTGAACGGCATATCCACACTGCTCGCAAACAACCTTGAAGTGCTTACGGCGCATTCATCTTTCAACGAGCTCTGGAACGAGCTGTTGGAACATTTCGCCACCCTGCTCGATTTCCAAATTCTAGACATCAACACGGCAACTTTCAAAACATTGGGGCACGTGCTTTCTCAGTCCGGAAACGAGGAGAAGCCCATCTTCAACGAAACAACAGTCAGGGCCGCCTGGGACCTGTGGTCTCGGGGCATCCCAATCACAAGGTCGCCCAGCGGGAAACCCCAAGACAACCAAACCTGCCTGATTGCCTACGTGGCTGCCCTCCGTGAGGTCTACAGGCTGATCAAACCTGATTTGACTGTGGAGAGAGTGCAGCGGATTCTCGGCTTATTGCGTCACACCGTCGAGGAGGCATCCGTGAGCAGCTATGCCACCGATATTGATAACCTGACGCAGCTCCAGGCACAGGTTCTGGATGCCGTCAAGATGATTCGCACCGATATTAGCGGCGTTCCGTCGGCGTTGATTATTCAAGTGTCTGACTTTGTGACTTTGGCGTATGACCAAGACTACGAGTCGCAGCCGCAGTCAAAGAGGACATATGTTGCCATGTCGAAGGCCAGTATGCAAATGTTGGAGGGCCTCGTAGTCAGCCACTCAACTGATCCGGATATCTACACGAGCGGCGCAGTCAGTGCAGCATTATCGGCTCTTCTCAGGCCTATTGCTCTCAAATATCAATTTCCCATTACAACAAAGTCATCCCAGCCCTGGAAACTGGCTACTTCGACAGCATTAGCCATCATAGAGGCAACGTTATCGAAACTCGACGATCTTGATATTCCTACCGACACAATCCAAGGCATCTGGCAGCTGATTGCCGACGTTGCAGATGGTATTCTGAGCGCGGATTGCGGCAACCCACCACCTGGGACAAACATTGCGGAGGATGAAGCAGCAGACATTGCATGGTTCCACAAATTGGTGGAATTGATTATTCCAGGCATCGGATCGGACAGAGTGAAGGAGGAGACTCGGAGCGCATATACCAAGAGCCTATTTAGATGGTCCATCATCCACGAGCCCCCGCTGGCTGACAAGCTCGCCGTTGACGACGGAGGAGCTGGCTTGTCGGAATTGTACCAGCCACGAGCTGGACTTACCGTGTCGGTGCCACCCACCCAGCGCACAAAGATGGCCTATGTCGCATTCGAGGAGCTCTTCCTGCTTGTTTCCACTGAGGCGCCGGCTGCCCACAAGCCCTCCAACACCAAGCTCAAGGAGGACTACTCGGCTGCGAGAACACGCATTGCGTGTACCGCGGCCCCGTTCCTGCTTTTGCGATGCGCGTTGACGCTTCGCGCGTACGTGTCTGACCAGCCGCTCCGGGGCAAGATGCCACAGCCCTTGAGCCAGAGGAAAGAACTGCTCTGGACGTTGCAGAAGCTGGTTGGCCTGCAGAGCCAGGGCGAGGCGATACGGCCTCTGGAGGGGGCAGTGAGCGAAGGCAGGAAGCATTTGCTCAGGTTGTATCCCTTGATTGTCAAGGCATTAGGGGTGCAAGGCGACGAAAAGGTGCTATCGCTTTTGAGAGACGCGTTGGACGTGGTAGGGGGCGAGTTTGGGATTGCATAGACGGTGATGATGTTTCCATGTAGCGTTTCCAGCATGTCGATCATACAGGTGTATATTTAGATAATGGTCAGCAACACATTGATTCAGGCGAGGAGACAGCCAGCATGAAGTTGACACTTTTTTGCCAAGATACGGGAAGGGATGTATTACCTACCTAGGTAGTGAGCTTCAATGCCCGATCATATACCATGTTCTCCAAAATTTACAGTATGCATAAGAGCTTCTACCTTTTCTACCTTGATGAAAACTTGAAAACGTATAATTAACAGCTGTCAAACTCTTTAAAAGCTCAATTGAATTAATTCATACTGAACGCCGAATCTCTCCCCCTTTAATGCAGGGTAGATTGAGCACTACCTCAGGTGCCTATAGTACCTAGGTACGGTAAGGTAGTAGTAGAGATGAAGAGACCCGCCCCCACCACACCACCAAAAAGTTGACATCGCGGGGCAGGAAAAAAAAAGTCGGACATACAACCATCTCGACTTATCACATCCGTCCACTGATCCTCAAACCATACGCCCTCCCTCCTCTGCAGCAGCAAAAAGAAAATTCAGAGGTAGGAGAAGCAAAACCCGACTGCCATGGGCAAATCCTCCAAAGACAAGCGCGACGCCTACTACCGCCTCGCCAAAGAGCAAGGCTGGCGCGCAAGAAGCGCTTTCAAGCTCCTCCAACTCGACGAAGGTCAGTCAGTCAGTCTACAACAACCACCACCACCAACAAAAACCTCCCATATCGTACCCTTCAAAAGCGCCGCAACTAAAACACAGAAATGCACACCTTTGTAGAATTCGACCTCTTTTCCAACGTCACCCGCGTCGTCGACCTCTGCGCCGCCCCGGGCTCCTGGTCGCAGGTCCTCTCGCGCGTGCTCATCAAGGGCGAAAAGTTTGGCCGCTCGGCATGGCAGGATCGCGATGCCCGAGTGCGGCAGCAGATGCTCGGCGTCTTCCCCGAGGCCTTTACGCCCGAGCAGAGGGAGGCCATAGAAAGAGAAACGTCATCATCATCGCCAACATCAACATCAGCATCGTCGACATCTGAAACGGCAGCCGGAGCAGCAACGACGACGACGACAACGAACCCAGACGTCAAAATCGTCTCCATCGACCTCCAGCCCATCTCTCCCCTCGCCGGCATCACCACCCTCCGCGCAGACATCACCCACCCCGCCACCGTCCCGCTCCTCCTCTCCGCCCTCGACCCGTCCTACGACGCCTCCTCCTCCGCCGAAAACACCCAGGCGGCCCAGCACCCGGTCGATCTCGTCCTCAGCGACGGCGCCCCGGACGTCACCGGCCTGCACGACCTCGACATCTACGTCCAGTCGCAGCTGCTCTTCGCCGCGCTCAACCTCGCCCTCTGCGTCCTCCGCCCCGGCGGCAAGTTTGTCGCCAAAATCTTCCGCGGCCGCAATGTCGACGTCCTGTACGCGCAGCTCAAGATCTTCTTCGAAAAAGTCATTGTCGCCAAGCCCAGGAGCAGCAGAGCCAGCAGCGTCGAGGCCTTTATCGTGTGCCTCAACTTTCGCCCGCCGGCGGGCTTCCGTGCGAGCCTCGAGGAGCCGCTCGGGGTAGGGCGGCGGCTGGACCGGATGGTGAGGGAGCGGGAGTTGCAGCTGCCGATCGTCGCCGAAGCGACCATGCAGTCGGCCAGAGGCACCTGGGATTGCAGCGTCGCATCGACACGGACGGCATCTCACGGGGGCGGAATCACAGAAGTGGAAGTCTACGACGAGATGGTGGAAAGCGACAAGGATAATGGGGCACGCTGGATTGCCCCGTTTATTGCCTGTGGTGATCTATCAGCCTTTGACTCCGACGCCTCCTACCAGCTGCCCGAGGACTATGTCTCCCTGGACCCCGTCCAACCTCCAATTGCTCCGCCGTACAAGCGAGCGCTCGAATTGCGCGCTGGACTATCTAAGCCTTCGAGGTAGAAACACGTGCTGCAAACTATGAAAGAAAATGACGAAAAGGGGAAACAGTCAAAAATGCAAAAGAGACCCAATATGCAAGCGAAAACTACCCGTGCCCGTCGAAAACGTGTCGACCGAGACTATGCAATGCTGAACCGACATGACGACATGATGAGAACAAACAAAACAAACAAGATCTGGGAATCAAGAAAAAAAAAACGAATAAAAAGAGCTCTTCAATCGACATCGGCAGCCTCATTTGTGATCCTCCGGGACATCCTTGACGCCCCCGCCGGGCATCTCCAGCAGCACCAGACCGGCAGATGGGCCCTGGTCCCAGTCGAGGGCGCCGAGCTCGCGCTGGTACATCTTGGCGGCGGCCTTGTCGTGCGTCATGAGGACGAGGCCGCGCAGGTGAGGCCACTCGTCGACGACCTCCTTGAGGCCGCGCATCATCCAGCTGGCGAGGCCGCGGCGCTGAAACTCCTCGACGATGAAGACGTCGGTGAGGTAGGCGAAGGTGACGTAGTCGGTTATGACGCGGGCGAGGCCGACCAGCTTGATGTCGGATCCGTATGGGCGTTTCGGTGGGCCGTTTGCTATTGGTTGAGGAAGGGGCAGAGGTCAGCTTGGTGTTTTCTCGTGGAATCGGGCCAGGTCTGGGCCAGAAGTGAGAGTTATCACGCTCCACGGAATGACAAAGGAAAGGGGAAAGGGAAAACGAAGGGTTGAGAGGGGTGGGCTGAACGCACTCTGCATCTGCTTCTCCGACTCGGGTACGTGGTATACGCTGACCGTCATGCAATTGGCGAGCATCTTGCGCATCTGGTCCTCGGGCAGCGGGTCGTTCCACCACATGAGGTCGGACTCGAAGACGGCGTTGACGGCCTGGGGCTCGAGATAGGCCTTGTCGGTGGTGAGGAAGAAGTTGTCTCGGTACCAGTACCGCGGCTTGCCCTCTGGGTGGGAGGCGGTAGCAGCAGCGGCGGCGGCGGCGGCCTTGGAGCTCTTTGGGCTCATTGTTGAGACGAGGGAGCCCATGGTTTGTTGTTGATTGCTGTGCTGAGGTTGTGTGTTGCGGTTTTTCTCGATTTCTCTGATTTGTTTTGTTGGACTGGACGGGTGGCTCTTTGGCGTTATAGCTCTATGTCTAAGGTTCTCTTTTATTTGCTTCTTCTTCTTCTTCCAGCAGTAGAGAATGGACGGACTGTGGTTTATAGAAGGGGAGGGAAGGAATGGAGAAGATGATGGCGGCGTGGTAGCAGTACGATATAAGTCTAAAAGGTCGGCGGAACGACAAGCTCAAGTCAACCACCCTCCTCCTCCTCCTAAACACCCCTCCCCCTGGTCCATCATGCTTCCTCTGTTTGCTCTCCACCCCTGGACGTTTATCTTTACCTGACTTTTCCCCATCCTCCCGCCTTCCGCCCTGCTTCTTTCTTTCTCTTTTCCCCCCGGCCAACTCCGTCTGATTACCTACTGCGTGAATGACCTAGATTGAGAAACATCGGGGACAAAGTAGGCAAGTAGTACGTGCATAATACGACGCAAGGTACATTTGTTTTCCCCCCAAATGCATTGAGAGCCAATCGTGTGGCGTAGCTTTTCTCGTCCAAGCTAGACGGTTAGCTGCGGCTCTTTTGGACGGGGATTTTTTAGACTGAATGACACAGTTGAATGTGGCTTTACGTTATCCGATGGTTTGGGGGGGGGATTGTCACTCTCTCTCTCGCCTTGGATTGTCATGTGCGCTGCTTCTTGGCTTTTGTATGTGGCTACGACATGGAGTATTACAGTATACACACATACACACACATATACACACACACACTTATACACTCACAAGTGCCAAAGCCAACCAGCATGCGAATCGGCGGCTCAGAATGTAGCATAGAATAAGGTACCCGGGTACTCGATCTGGGCAAAGGGCTGGAAGATGGGGGAGATCTGATCGAAAAGAGATGTTCGGCGGAGAAGGCGGGTGCTTCGGGAGAGCGGGATGAGGAAGGTCGGCGGTGATGGAGGCCCGGATGACGATGGTGATGGGATCAATTTTTCGTTTTCCAAGGGGCTTCTTCTTCTTTGTTTGTCCTGCTTTGTTCTTTTCAACATTTTATCTTCCTCCTTCTCTTCTCTCATCTTTCTTTGATTGGTATTATGCTCATTGACTCCCCGAAGAGTCTCCAACCAAGTATCTTCATCGGAGCAGCCATCAACCACTAGCCGCCAAGGCCCGGGCATTCTGGCCTCCCCAATCGGCAACTTGTTGTCACCCCCAGAAAAGGGAGCGCATGGCTGATTGCATTAAAAATGGCTGGTCTGGCCAGTTGATCGTCCGGCTGGCCCTGCGTCTTCAGCTAAACCGCAGCATGACCCCCTCCTCCTCCTCCCCTCCTCGCCTCCCCCCCCCCCCCCCCCAGCAGCCCAGAAGCAGTAACTCTTAGGCAATCATTACATACTAGTACTTGCCATCGTCCGCGCGTGTTTCTCTTGTCTGGCCGGCTTTTGAAACCCGTGATCGCAAGCCCGGAACAAACGCCGACCGGATCGCCAATTCCTACTTGTTACAAGTTGCTGTATTACTGGCTGGACGCCAAATGGCATGTGGTGCTGTAATATGATCAAGTACCTGGTATGTAAGTTGAGTGTGAGTGTGAGTTGATGTGTGTGGGGTTTTAATTCGACGCGGGTCCCCGAACCGGTCTGACGGCATGGGTGGGACGGAAAAGACACTGGATAGATGCCGAAAACAGCGATTAATGGTAGAAAAAACGGGGGTTGGTTGGGGTGGTGCATGGCTTTTTTGGACTGGGGGGATGTCTGGAGGTCAAGGTGATAATAATAGGTACTATTACTGGGATGACTGTTTGATGCTTGCATTGGTACGTACTACCTTGTATGTACAGTACTGCTGTTATTACCCCAGACATTGCTACCTACTATCGGCTCGACGGCCGTGACGATAAGGACCAGATGGCTGATCCCTGGTTCGCTGCTTATGCTCCTCCTTGCGCCAGGGCTGAGACTGACAAGAGATGGTCGGTGAAGACGAAGCCCTCGTCCATCCCTCGTAATACTAGGTATGTTAGTTACTACATGCATGTTGCTCACAGTGATGGCAGCCCCCTTTCGCCGAATCGAGACAACAGCTTGTTTCCCACCGTATGTATGACGGCATGGCTCTGCAAGGTTACTTGTATGTACCTAGGTAAGTAGGTAAGGTATGTGCGCACAACAGCTCAATCACCGCTTCAGACATGGAAGTTTCTTTTACACGATAGACGCCTCTTCCGGATTAGACAGATTCAAAGGGGAGGGGAGATCTAAGGTAAGGTAGTTGAGGTACGTACCTGAGGTGCGTGTTAGGTAAGGTAGGTTAGTAGGTACCTATCTCATCTGCGTCTAGCCGTGTTGGGACGGGGGTGAAGCTGCCGACTTACATAATAACAGATGGCTTGCCTTGCTTGCCGTTTGTCACACTGCTGGATTCTTACCTACTACTGCTGCATCTGCTGTTTGATTAGGACTCGTGATGCTGCATCAACAGCTGGACAAGAAGCCACGGCATTTGCATGCAGCCGTTGTTCATTCGTCGATGGACTTGGGTATGTATCTACAGGCACTCGTCTCACATACTGCACAACATGATGCTATCCCGTGCGGACAACTGATAGTTACTGGTGCTACCATGGCATCATGACGCAGGCAGAAAGCAGACACACCAACTGTCCAGACAAGAAGTTCCCAACAAGGGCTCGTTTTGTCATTGAAGGCATTAATTCTCTCCTCTAGCTACCACTGCCACTCTCCTCCCTTCTCCTCTCCTCTGCATCATTACATACATGGTTCGTCAGTCAAACAGCATCCCTGCATCCCTTCTACAGGAGACCAACGGCCGCAACGCCGGCAATCAGGAAAGATCCGAGGACGGCAGCGCCGGCGGTGGGAGCAGCGCCGTTGGTGGTGAAGGTGCTGGTAGGGCGAGAGCCGGTGACGGTGCTGTTGCGGCCGGGGGCGCCCGTGGTCAGGCCCTGGGAAGCAGTGGCCGTGGACGACGCAGACGAGCTGGACTGGACGGGCACGACGGCGCTGGTGGTGCTGGCCTCGGACGCAGTCTCGGACACGGACGTCTCAAAGGTCGTGGCCGGAGCGGCGGTGGGCTGCGACGTCACTTGGGCGTCGCCGGCGGCGGTGGTGGTGGACGCGCCCGACGACGATCCCGTGGCCGTGGCAGAGCCGGCGGCGGCAGCCTTGGTGTGCAGGTCCAGGTAGCTGGGCGAGTACGTCTCGGTGCCCGAGTACAGCGGGCAGCCGGGCACGGTGGTCTTGGGGGGAGCCCGGCCGCCGCCGCAGTCGAGGAACTCGCACAGCTCGCCGGAGCCGGGCACGTACCAGATGCGGCTGCCGTAGGCCTCGTACGAGGGCCGGCCGCTGGGGAAGACGACGACGTCGGTGTAGGTGCAGCCGGCGAGGTCCGTCTTGGCCAGGGCGGACGAGGCCAGCAGGAGGGTCGCGACGAGGGATCGAACGGCCATTTTGTTATTGGGGGGAGATTATTAGAGAGAATCGGAGACTTGGATCTGGGACGGAGTCGATTTGGCAATGTGATGTGCCTGGACGTTTGAGCGGCAGAAGTCGAAAGAATGGACGATCACCGGGGTGGGCGATCTTGCGGATGATGAGCGAGCGAGCGACTTGCAACGACGGGAGTTGGACTGACACGAAGCAAAGTCGCGTCTCGACGGCGACGGCGCCCTTTTTCTATTTCCGCGCAGCTGGGAGGGATCATGGGCCGACTTCTCTCTCTGGTGGCTCTAGTCTGCCCGTCGCCTTTCGGGTATTTCGAGATGAGACGCCACTAATGCGATCCCGTTCAGGCAATCGCCGAGCCACGGGGGGGGCTTCTAGACTCGGTTTGGCCATGGAAAGCCCTGCTTTGCTGCCTGAGATACGGAGTGCTGGAGTCGCAGGTGAGTCCCAAAGGTGTGTTGATGGGATGAATACGTTGCTCTACAAGGTGAGTTTGCATCGGCAGACTGTCCATTCCATCAGTCACAGCATCACTTGTGCCCCTCCCCCCCCCCTTTTCCCTTTTTGCTGCACGAAAGGCTCTTGTCGTTCAGGTGTGCTGCCCGTCTGGACAAATTCCGCGTCTTTTGCCACTCCACCCCTTGCAGCTATACCGTACAATCGCCACTTTTGCAGTCTTGGCCTCGGCGTCATGAAACTCACCATGAGGCATGCATTGAACCCCAAGTCCCACGGGACCTTTCACAATCGACTCTACTACTACTAGTATCGTAGGCCCTGCCGAACTTGATGGAGCATGAAGCATGAAGCATGAAGCAAAACGAAGAAGAAAAAGAATTGGATTCGCGAGTGGAGCGATGGGATGAGACCTAAAAAAAAATCCCGGAGCTAAGCACATCTCCAGCTGAAGTGCCCCTTGTCCGGAATACACACAACTTGATAGGATCAACCCTCACGTAGCTTGCTCATTCAGATCTATAAAAGGTATTAACAAGAGTGAAGTCAAGGATAGTAAGAACAAGATTCCTTGATATGGTCTGTCAATAACACACAAAAGTATAATTGAATCTGATGATGCTCACACTGGCCATGTGCAAACGAGTCATGAGGGTGCCCCCCCCCCCTTGATCTCCAAAACACTAGGGCGTATTATCGTACATACTAATTGGAGACTCGGGAAAGGCCCCCCCTTGTTCGGAACCTCGGCAGAGTTTTTGATGTGATGGGCTGCTGCAGGTCATTGCTGAACAAACAACCTTCAAGTAGTATGCATACCTTTGAACAGTTGGGAAGAGCGGGCAACGTCTGCCGTGGCTGCTTGAATGTCTGTTTGGGGCTTTGATTCGAACCAGGCATAGTATACAAGCTGTCAGAAATGATTATAGTATAGTATGCAAGTCATTAGGAATGAATAATGATTCTACGAGGGTGAGATTCATATTAGCGAGACTATCGTGTATGTATCTAGACGTGGAAAAGGGTATAGAAGTCGACAAGAAGAGGTCATTTGAATGGCTTGCTCAGCAACGACCGACTGACCAAGATGCAGTCGGATCAATAACCCCAGATATTCAGCAACAAGAGATGCAACAATAGATACAACGGGGGATCTCGACTTGAAAATCACCAAAGACGCAATAACTCGCTTCTTCCCATCTACGTGCTTGCTCGACCTCCTCCTCCTCCTCCTTTACACGCTCAGTTATAACTCCCAGGGGCAGGCCCAAAATACTCTCCCTCAGGCAACGTCTTGAGAATGCAATCATGATCCTCGCATCCCATGCTCACCACGCTGTTCCCCCACCAGTCAATCGTGACGCCCTGATACGTGACGCCAAAGAACTGCACAATGGCCGAGATGGCGATGCCCGCCGAAAACGCGGCAGACAGCACAAAGTTGTACTAATAAACCAAACGAATTAGCAAAATCTCTTCCCCCTTATATATATATATATATATATATGGATTTCCTCTGTCAAAACAGTAGCCTAAAGTGAACCCCCCCCCCCCTTCCCATGTCCAAGGCGCTTGCTTACCTTTGACCACAGAGCCAAGAACCGGCCCTTGATATACACCCACGAGAGCAGCGCCACCGGCACCGCAGGGAGCAGATAGGTCATGTTGTACGGAGCCCACAAGATGCCGCCGTTGAGCAGGGCAACGGGATGCGTCGCGCGAAGCACCCGGCTCTTGGGACACCACCTCCCGAGAAGCCAGAACAGGACCACGACGGCCGCGCCCAGCGGGAACCCCAGCAGCGTCGCCGAGTACTGGCCGCCCACGCCCCAGATCCTCTTGGGCCCGACGGTGCCCCAAAGGACGGCGGCGGTGAAGAAGGTGTTCTCGCCGGGACACGTGAAGCGGAAGGGCGCGTCCGGCGTGCAGACGCCCCTGAGGTGCACCTGGTACGAGACGATGCTGACGCAGACAAACGTCGAGACCAGCGTCGGCACCATCTGCGCGAAAAAGGTGATCCGGGGCGGGATCTTGACGTAGTGCGCAATCTTGAGGTCGTTGGCAAAGGACAGCGCGTGGGAACACGTCACGTAGCCGTACGTCTTGAAGAAGCACATGGCCAGCGCGTTGCCCTGCACAAACGACCCGCCGACGAACTCGGCCAGCACGTTGAGCGTCACCTCGATGCCCGTCATGGCGTAGATGATGCCCGTCGGGATCATGAAGATCAGACACAGGGCGATGCCGTAAAAGACGACGCCGGGGCTGGTGTGCGTTGGCCAGCAAGCAATCGCCGCGCAGCCCAGCGCAACGCTCACAACGAGCACAATCATGTACCACCACTCTGGCACTTCCCGGTACTTCTTCATCAGACGGTTATGCACGTCCAGGACCTGTCCTTGCTCGACCTCTGCCTTCTTCGAGGGGCGGAAGCTGTTGACAAGGTCTTTGAACCCCATGGTAATCTCCAGCCTGTGGTACAGTAAGCCATACGTCAAAGCAGCAGTATAGATGCTGAAAAAGAACATGTAGTTGACGACGTTGGCAGCGGAGAGATATGGCGGCGAATAGGCTTGATACTTTTCAACGTCAATGATGCCCCTGTCGTCGAGGATCGCACTGACGTTGTAGCGCTTGCCAAAGTGATCGTACGGATGGTTGGAGTTGATCGGTAGATAGGCAGTGTGATACGTGTTGGTGTAATAGATTGCGATGATAATCACCGACGTCAGCAGCATACCGATGAACAAGTTGATCGTACTGAACAACGGCACCATCAGCGGGTCGAGATTGTAAGTCAGGACGTTCCAGTCAAAGGTGGGCACCGGGTTGATGCCGAGGCCGTTGTTCGAGCCCGTGATGCGAGTCAAGTCGGCATTGTCCGGGGCGATCCAGGTCATCCAGCTAAAGGTGCCCAATGCTTGAAAGATGTAGTTGGGAAACCAAAAGTAGACAAACATGAGCGTGAAGGCATAAAAGAAGAACCTGAACCGGGACATTCGCCACATCTTCCCAAAGGGACCTGATGCTGGAGAGTTGCCCTCTGTGTGGAAAGCACTGTTCAGCGCAATGGTGACGAGAGCCTGCGGCCAAACACAGTAGGACGGGTATACGAGAAACCTGCGGCAGATTCCAGCCAGGCTGTAGCCGATAAAGTTGCTCGACAGAGCAATCAGGATCTGGTAGCCAAAGTTGATGGCCCACCGCTGGTTGAAGAATTGTGGGAGAAACTGGATCCAGACGATGTACTGAGTATACGGCGTGCTCTTTGCAATGCTGGCCATCAGCGTGATGAGCATGTGCTCCTTTCGGTTGAACGGGCCAGGATTCAAGCTGTGCCGGATACCAAAGAGAGTGATGCCCACGTCGGGCAGCCACCACTCCATCATCTTCCCCAGGGGATAGGCCAGTAGCTGAGGGACGTTGGACGTGACCGCAATGGCCGGCTGGCGAATGCTGAAGAAGCCGTTGATGAAGGCAATGGCGCCGGAGAACATAATGCCCAGGATCCACGCTCGAATGGTCGAACACGGCATGGTAGGGTCGTCGTGGGGGGAGACGACACTCCGGACCTCTGCATAGGGGCTATTGGTGACAATGAGAGCGGCCTGGATCTTCATCTCGGAGATTTGTTGCTCATACATGGCAGGCTCATTTGCAATGTTCTCGTTGTCTGCAGACGACTGGTTAGAGCACGGCGTGATTCAATGAACTTTGAAAAGCTCTAGCAGCATACTCAGAAAGTCCTCAATCTTCTCGATGACGTCCAGGGGAAAGTTGGGGTCCCTCTTGTGGAGCCGATGAAAGGTAGTCAGGAGCTGTTGAGGGAGCAAGACTCTAGTAGTCAATATCTTTGGATCGGGCTGCCGGATATGTCATGAGGACTTACACTTCGCACTTCATCGAGAGAGTAGCTTGCTGCAAGCTCCTTGGCCTCTTGCAGGTCATCCTCCGTCACGTGGAGGTCCCTCTCCGCAGTCACATCCTCTCCCGCGAAAGGGGGCACCTCGCTGGATTCGTTGTGAGTCTATCGAGGTATGAGTGTTAGTCGTCCATCTCGCATGCTTGGGATTCCAGAAACAACTCACGCCAGTCTTTTCGCCTAGGACGCCGCCCATTGCCATTGCCGCGGCGACAGGTCTTTCGGCCTGCTCTGACATGACTGCAGTCTCCGAGCTTCCAATGTCTCTTTCTCTCCGCGTGTTCTGCCGTGGCCCAACAGCCGGAGAATCTATTGCACCCCGGGTGGAAAGGATCAAAGACACTTGCAGGAGGTATAAAGAAAGGGTACACAACTGTCTGGGGGGGGCTGAGGAGACTTTATGTCTTGACCTCGGGTCTCCTCACGTCAGTGTCGCACAACCTGGCTTCTGCCGTTGGGTCTGAGACAAGAGCTGGAGTCTGGGTTGAAGCTCGACTGCCTCTAGCACAAAGGCCTGGAGTCACCCAAGGGGCTGATGAGGCAAGGTAGCTTGGGCAAGAGCCTGTTACAAGATGGCTGCTCAAATGGTACCTCTACATATCGGACTGGAACTCATCCTGTAGTCGAGACTGGAAGAAATAAGTTGTATCGACACGCTTAGAGCGGGTCGTGCAGCCATGGCACCTTTGGATCAGCGGCTGAGGCATTCAAACACGCGCAAGTAGATGCCGCAGGCAGCAGATGTCGATGCTCCAGCTTCATCCAGGGCCTTTTGTCAAGCGTGACACCTAGTGTCATGTTGTCATATGCTGCATGGGCCTGCCAAGGGCCTCGACTTTGTGTGAGTGTCAAGGTCAAGACCAACGACTGTTGAGTCTCACAGACGGATGATACTCCGAAAATGGCCATTGTGCTACTGAGACAAAGGTCTCGACCATGGATATGGACGTCCACCTTCGCTCGAAGCAACAATAGAGCGCCGAGAGATGTGGCCTAGATACAGTCATGGCACACCACTTACCATTGAACCACGGGACCTTTACTGATACACAGTCGAGAGCAACCATTGTTGGCCAGCGTCAGTTTCCCTCCTCTGCAGGATAGTTCAAGAGTGAAAATATCCGGAAAAGCATCATACAGGGGGACTGGAAAACCCACAAATGGGCCCGAAAGATGGAACGGCAAGACGAAGCCACGAAACGTCGAGTCCAGGTACACCGACTGACGCGAGACATCAAGCAGCTTTGTCCCCTCGGTCCCCTGCCGCGAACCTGCTGCTGCTGTAGCACACGGCCCAAGTATAGCAGCAGCATGCCTCTCTCCACATCCTGGGAAGTTGTGAGACACCAGCCCGCCAGAAACAGCAGAGCCAAAGCACCAACCGCGAAGGTGCCTCAGCAGATGGACGCTGCTGGATAAGAGGAACTTTTGATGCTCTTACGTTCCCATAGGGGAAAACAGGGTGGCCTCCGCTTCGTGTACAAGAGATTTATAGATGCGCTTGTCCTCATTCCTCAAGGCCATGGGTATTACCGAATCCCAGCGAGAAGCATGGCCAAGTCCAACCTCGGGCCAAGGCGTTCCGTCTCCGCCGTTGGTCTCGACCACCCGGCTGCATCATCCGCTCGGCGATTGACATTTTGCCGCCCGCAGCATCTGAGCGGATCGCTGCTCCTGTTGTCGGCCGTAGTTCATGTAGGGACGGCTGGTTCGCGAGAGGAATGTATGCAAGGGATCACGGTCTTCGTATCGGCGAATCAATGCTTTCGGATGGCTTATGATGAACGAGCGGGTGGGAGGGTGGTGAGCAAGTTGATGCTCATCCGACCGCAAACTCGCCTGTTGGCTTCGATATCCGACACTCCAAGTCTTGAAGTATCAAGCTTCAAAGTGCATAGGTGCGAACATGTCATCATTGTCCTCAACAGGCAACTTCTCAAGGCCTCCAAGGTTCGAGATGGCGAGAACAGGATCCGATTGGAGACGTGGGATCAACCGTACCTTATTCAATCATCCGAAAACAAACTGTGGTCTGTGCGCGCCCACAGTCAGCCATGGCGCTGACCAGGCACAGGTTCCCCGCCGGTATTCCATAAGCTGAATTGGGGCAGCACTACTACGTAGATCGGATATCGGGGTACGACGGAGGTACGCTACAGTAGCCAACATCAAACGGTCAACTCTCTCCGCCTCCTCTACCCGAGAAAGTCAATGAGACATTTGAGAAGTCGCTCCCCGTCCAGACTCAGAGCATGGGCAAACAAACTGGGTAGTCTTCACGGCACAGCTTCCAACGTATATCAACGTCAATTTTGAATAACTGCCAATTCAATGATATCACAATGTCAGGGTAGCCTGAACTAGGTAGCTAGTAGCTTGTATTGTATTATAGATTAAAGGCAGCGCGTCGTATGAGCGCTTGCTATGCATCTTGTTCTGCGTCTCTATCACCGACTTGATATCCCCGCCAATGTGACCATGTTGGTGTAGGCGCTTAGGTAGTTTCAGAAGCATCATAGAACATTGAACCGCAGGCAGGTAGTCAAGTCAAATGAGCATTGAAGAGCTTGGAATTAAGGAAAGAAACAATGCACCACATTGGTGATGATATACACGCAAACAATCTTCCCCCGGAAACCGTTTTAGTCAAACAATATAGCGAAAAGGAAAGTGAGACAACTTCCGTCTCGAGAACAAATGCTTTTACTCCGTCAAAACACCAGATTGCGACAGTGCAATCCTCTTCCAGTGATCACGCTCGGCCTCGAGCTTCGCAATACGGTCCTCCAGCTCTTCGAATCGCTGAGCCTTTCGCTCACGCGACTTTCGAGCAGCCAAGGTATTGCGGGCTCGCTTCATGGCCACTGTGTCGTTGGCGTCTTCAACAATGATGGGGGGCAGGGGCTTGTCTCGGCGGCGAGAGTTGACACCGGAGACGGAAGAGTGGCGAGTGCCGCTCGTGGGCGAACCACTCGCAGGCTTCTTCTTGCCGCTGCCACTGCCACTGCCTGAAGAAGACGATCGGTACATGGGCTCTGATTCCAAAGGCTTCTGGACGGGAGACTCGCTTGGGTTGACAAGCTCGTGAGGGACCGTGTCCGCAGAAGGGAACAAAGGATACCAGGGGTCGCTAGGACCGTTGTCAAATTCAGCAGTGCCAAAGTTGGGAGAGACGTCAAAGGAATCGAAGTCGGGACTGCCATTGTACAGCGAAGGAGACGTCAAGGCAGTCAGGGCCGCAGAGTTGGGCGCCGACATGAAGGGCTCCTGGACCAGAAGGTCCTGGGGAGACACAGTGCCAAGGTTTGAAGCTGCGCTCGAGGCGCCGCTGCTGAAGTCGAAGCTGGAAGCGACAGCCGGAGAAGAGAAGGCCGTGGAGGCACCTCCTTCAAAGACGGTGAAGTCGTCCAAATCGACATCTGTTGAGGGGTATGAGCAAGGGTGATCAGGAGGAGACGAGTTCGAAGAGTGGCACGAACCTGCAGCGTTCATCATCTTGGCGGCTTGTGTCAGGTTACCAGTGTCGGATGGAAACAAGGGTACTGGTGGCCGTGCACTGCGAGAAGACCGATTCAAGGAGACAGTTGAGGGTGGAGCCGAGGATGCGTAGAACTGATTCGATAAACGATTGCCGTATGCAGAAGACAATGCTGGGTGCCCGATAGCCTGGAGAATCTGGGCCACTCGTTGGTTCTGGACTGCGGGTGAAGCGTGCTTCTCGCGACGGGAGTGACAAGAGTGACGACGTTGGCTAGGTACTGCAATGCGACTATTATGATGTTGACGAGGCGGCGGGTTGTCGAACAGAACAAAGTCCTGCTGGGGATTCTCGACGGGGTTCAGGGACAGATGCTCGGATGGTGCCGGCAGGGCGGAAGCTGAGTTGGGAAGCCATGTTGACTGGGAATCCGTGGTGAAGACTTGAAAGTCTTGAGAGGAAATGTTGGCGTTGAGGAGAGAACTCGTGCTGATGCTATTCAAAGCAGGGCTGAAGTTCAGGTCGACCGAATGGTGAGCTGAACGAGAAGATTGAGTGGGGAGAATGTTGTTAATGTCCTGGGACTGAATTTTGACGGAGGGGGAAGAAACGCTCTAAAGAGGTTTGTTTAAATCATCTTGAAGGCAGCCTGAGGCTTCTAACGCTGTTTGTCTTGTATGAAAGGGACGTTTGGGGGTGGAGGAGAAGAGAAAAAAAAAAGAAGGGGACAAAAGAAAAGGCGTGGCCATGGCTTGTTATGTATTTCTCAGGCAGCAACTTTTTGGTGGTCGCGCACGACCGGGTACGTACCCGGCCAGCGGTACAAGGCCAGGGCTCTGGAGGCTTGCGCAGCCCTAACACGCACCGGCGCCAGGCAGCGCGTCAGGCTGTTAGGCACCCGCTGGGCGGACCACTAGCAGCCGTGTACTCGGGCGTCGTAGGCGCTGCAGCGATTGGCAAGCCAGAAGCGCGCCCTTGCCAGCCGTTGTGGCCCCGCCGGTGAGTCACACTTTTCAGCGCCATGCCGCTTCAGGCCTGGCCGCGAGAGCGCCAGCCCCAGTCGGTGCCACCCAGGCCCTTTGGCGACTTTCCCCAGCCGATCCAAATTGATTACGGCGAGGAGCGTCACAGTGCCGCCGACACGGTGCACCACAAACTCCTCCCAACGCCTCAACCTGGGGCATCACGATGCCGTCGTGCCGGCAGTCGGTTGAGGAATAGACAGGGCGATTGTGTACAAGTCAGCTACAGGAATGAGAAGACGGAGAAGAAGGCCATCGTAGTATCAACAACATCAACAACTCCGTTCACTTGTGAGCGCTTGCGGGGGCATTGCGCAAAAAAGGAACAGATAGGGAAAGGGAGCAAGTGCAACGTTGGTTGGCTATCGAATCGAATACTCCATACTGGATAATTCTTTGGTGTTTTGGGTGGATTAGCAATCCATCTTCTGCTCTCGCTACCAGCCTCTAGCCTCGATTAGCCCCCCCAGACCAAGCAAGGTGCAAATCCTCCTCCTCACAAGTGCCCCATCCCGGACCAAGCCTTGCTGCACAGTATCACTCGTCATCCTGCACGCCGGCCAAGTATATTGCTCCTGCGCGGCGATGCTTGGTTGAGACAGCATCTCGGCATGAGAACACGTCAACCACATCAGTTTCAGCTTCACCACACGTTACACGCGTCGTCTTACCGACGATGGCTTGTAATTTCACGCCGACATGGGGACAGCCCGTCTGGATGCCCAACACTGAGGCGCAGACACAGGTCTCATTTTACCCGCTGCAGCTGGAACTCGGCCCCAAAGATAACTGAGTAATGAACGAGCACAGTGATGCAGTTTCCTAGTGATACGAACATGTCCGGTCGTTAAAGTCGCCCCGAGCTTCAGTAAGCAAGACTCCTGACAGACTATGAGTATGTATGCTCGCCTGCCCGTTCGAGGAAGACGCAGCGCACTACTACTACCAACAACCGGCTTCACGGCGCAAACCCCGGACAATGGAGGATCCTCCTTTCGTGCCAATGCAGCCCTTCGGAGCCCGTCGAAGCCCGTGAAGCACATGCTCTGCACCCGTAGCCTTGCACACGCTGGTGAATGGCCGAGCAGAAAGCGCACGCAAGCAAGTGACGACGGCGCACACGACCCAAACAAGCTTTGCACGCTCAATCAAAGGGAAGCTGGCCGTCACATGGAGGAACCGCCCGCAAAAGGCCTCATCTGAAATTACTCCGTACGGATTGTCCCGTCCGCCAACTGTGCGGCTGGTTGGAATGTCCTCTTGTTCCTGGCTGTTATACGATGACAATACGACGACATGCCTGGCCATCTCTACAGTAGACCCTGGTGGCGCTTCTTCCTTACGTGGACTGGATAAGGCAGTCAACATGCTGCGTGGATGCGACGTGTATCTTCTTCCTGTCTCTTTGCTGCTGGAAACAGGACACGATGTCCTTCGTTTTCGTCCTTCTGTCGATTCGTCGCGGGCACCATGAAGTCCTCCTATTGGCTCACTGCAACCCGTCTGCCATCCAATTCAGCCGCAACCAATCAAGAAGGCAGGGCTGGACGAGGGGCTTTCCCAAAGGACAGTATCATGGGAAAAATGACCAGAAAAGGCCTCTTCTGCCGCTATTACCAGCCCGCGGTGGAGGGTATTGAGCCGCGTGGCTGAAGCCAAGGCGTGCTGCTTTCAAAGCTATCGCATGGCCCGGACATTCTGGTTGGACGTGCCTGATTCTGTCGTGCAAGCCGCTCAAGTGGTGGGCAGCTCTGGTTCGAACAAAGTCGCAATGCAGAACCGCCGGGCATAAGCATTGAGTCCTGGAGCGAATGCGACCGAGCGTTTGGCAGAATATACGAAGTCCTGCTATTCCGCACTCCGCAGTGTCCCTATCGCCGACTGCCCTCTGTACAGGTATAGTAGGTCCTGTAGGGCCTTCTCGTTTCATAGTCCTTCCAGGAAGTCGTCGGCCTGGCGCTTCGCCCGCCTCTCTCCCATGTCCTTGCGGCGCTGCTCGATTTCGCGCCGTCGCGCAGCCCGCTGCTCCTCGCGCTGCTTGCGAAGCTCCTCGGTCCTAAGCCTCTCCTCTTCCAGCGACTTCATTTCCTGCGTCCGCGTCTCCTCGTCCTTGCTGAACTTGTAGAACCCGACGCCCTTGGTCCGGATCTCGTGGTCGGCGTCGTAGTGCTTCATCTCGGGCGGCGTCGCGCTCCTGTCCCGCTTGCGCGCCAGCTCCTCCATCTTGTCCGGGTCATCCGGCACAAACGCCATGGCCTGGATCGCGTCGCCGTAGATGAGCTTGCTCGGAGCGCTTGGCCGGGCGGACATGCGCTCCAGCTCCTCGGCGCCCAGCAGCCCTCGCCGTATGCGACGCTCCATCTTTTCCTTTTCCGCCCGCGTGGTTCGCCGCGTACGTCCAAATTCGTCCTCGTATTCCACAATCTCGTCGTCGCCGCTGCCATTCGCGTCCTCGTCCGAGCTGGACGTCTCGTAGTCGTCTTTGCCCTCCGTCGTCTCAGCCCACTTGCGGTCAAAGTCCACCAACGGCGCCGCCTCGTTCTCCTTGGGCACGTAGTCTCCGCGCTTCATCGCGGCGTAGAGCCGTGCCTTGCTCTCCATTTTGCGCTTTGCGCGCTCAAGCTCCCGCATCTCGTCCTCCGTCCCAGCCACTTCTTTGAGCACCAGCTTTTCTGACTTGGCGTCATTCTCCTTGTTGCTAGTCGGTGTCTTTTTTGACTTGCTCGTGCTGCGGAATATGTCGTCCTTGGCCTGTTTAGAGGGTCTCGGGCGCCCAGAAGTCGTTGACGTTGATCCCTGGGCGGCGGAATTTGATATAAGCGACGTGAGCTGTGCTGTAAAATCCAATGAGGAAGAGATGGCCTCTCGTTTGTGCCGCTTTTGCGGCCTCTGGCCGTAAAGATCTGGATCTTGGGGCATGTTGAGCTTTCTTCTCTCTCCGTATCTGCGTGAGCTTCTTGGCGTGCACCTTCCAAGTCGACTTTATTACCCTCAGATCGGTAATATCCTCTTCAAGAGAGAAGAATAGAAAGACCAAAGAGCTGGAAGAATCGCGTGGAGACCAACAATGATGTCCTGAGCTGGGTGAATACCTGCTTCGGTTTCGCGTCAAGAAGTATAAAGTTTGATATTGGCCTCCGTGTTACTGACAAGCCGGACGTCACTGCCCTCTCCGATGACTAAGCACGTTCTTCGTGAACGGTTCTCCAGCACGAGTTACGATACAACCCAACTGTACCCAGGTTGCCAGGCACGAGATCTCCGCAATGCTGCCCAATTACCTAGAATTTCATGATTCTATCTGGATCTATATTCATTGATTGCAAGAGTACCTAGAAGATCAAGCGAGTTCAACCATTGTGCCCAGAAGCACGGAATCGACGCTGGGTCATGTAGCTCCAAGCTTGCCTCAAGCCCTATAAATCAGATGAGGTCTGGCCCAAATTCAGGATTCGGGGAATTGGTGTAGGGGTATCACGTTTGCTTTGCATTTGTTCGGTCTGGATGCAGGTCTGTAAAAGGTCAGGGGTTCAAATCCCTTATTCTCCAATCTTTTTGCTCTCCTTTCAAACTGCCGGCTGTATCTTTGGCTGCTCCACGAGAAAGAGGAAGGTTCTTTTTGTCTATTGGCGATTCTTCATCATTGGTGTCTAGAGATGGGCTAGGAGGGGCTCAGAAGCGCCGAGACGACATATCATGAGAATATGGGCTTGACTGCCTTGAGTCGTATACCCCGTGCTTACCCCAAGGCTCAGCAGCACCAAGATTTCATGCACCAACGCGTCACATACCAAACTCCGTGATGGCTTGCAACCACTTTGTACAACCACACGGAACTCGTCAGCGTACAATTGAAGTGATGCGGCGCCCATCATGTTCAAGTTGGTCCACTGGCCTGTGCTAGCTTCAGCATAAGCTCTGCGAACCCCACCATCAAGCACACCACCCCGCTATCGGACCTGAAACCCATCATCTTCATCCTCGAGCTCTTTTCGCAGCAATTCGTCCGCCATCAAATACAAAATGGCTGCCGTCAACCAGGTTTACATCGCCGTCATTGGTACATGCTCCTATGAGACGCTCAATCATTCGATCAATTCAGACTAACCAATGGTTGTACATTAGGCGCTGGTGGCGTCGGCAAATGCTTCCTCAACCAGCTGCAAGGCCTCGCTTCTCGCAGGCCGTCTCCCAAGCTGAGCCTCTGCTACATCTCGACAAGTCGCAAGGCTCTGTACAACGTCGACTACACCCCCGTGAGCATCGAAGGCGTCACCGAAAGCCTCGCCGCCTCTACACAGGCACCTCCTCCTCTGCCGCAGGTGATTGACTATCTGGCCGCCGCCCCGGCAAAGGTGGTCTTGATCGACAACACAAGTTCCCAGGATGTTGCCGATGCCTATCCTCTGGCCTTGAGCCGAGGCCTCAGCATCGTGACTCCCAACAAGAAAGCCTTTTCCGGCTCGTACAAGCTCTGGCAAGATATCTTCACAGCTGCAGCAACCTCGGGCGCCAAGGTGTACCACGAGTCGTCAGTCGGCGCTGGTTTGCCAGTTATTTCCACATTGAAGGATCTGGTTGAGACTGGAGACAAGGTCACCAAGATTGAGGGTGTCTTCAGTGGAACTATGTCGTTCCTCTTCAATTCCTTTGCGCCTACTGAGGGTCAGGGTGGCAAGTGGTCGGAGGAAGTGAAGAAGGCAAAGGCCCTCGGCTATACCGAGCCGGATCCGAGAGATGACCTGAACGGCCTCGACGTTGCCCGTAAGCTGACTATTTTGGCCCGCCTGGCAGGTCTGCCCGTCGAATCGCCGACGTCTTTTCCTGTTCAGAGCCTTATTCCAAAGGAGCTCGAGGCTTGTTCGAGCGGAGATGAGTTTCTCGACAAGCTGCCCGCTTTCGACCAGCAGATGGAAGACACCAAAGCTGCTGCGGAAAAGGCTGGAAAGGTTGTCCGATTCGTTGGCAGCATTGACGTCGCTACTCAGCAGGTCAAGGTTGGATTGGAGCAATTCGACCGCTCGCACCCCATTGCCTCCCTCAAGGGCAGCGACAACATCATCAGCTTCTATACTGAGCGCTATGGTAGCAATCCTTTGATCATTCAGGGCGCGGGTGCTGGCGGAGAGGTGACGGCTATGGGTGTGACGGGAGACCTTATCAAGGTGCTTTCGCAAATCGCTTAGAGAGTATCCGAGATATCTTTGTGCTTTGTCAAGAATATGTCCAATGCAAGAAAGAGACGCCTAATCGAAGAACTTTCGGTCGCTTATCGTCTTCTCGCTCGCAGATCGTGATGGTCGGAAATGGTAGTCGCCGTCTTCGTGTCGACGCTCGCTGCCATTGTGTCGGCTGTCGCAGAGATTTGCGCCTCTTGCGTCGAGATGCAGTACGTTCTCCAGATCCATAGCACAATGTCGAAAATGACGCAAAGCACAAAAGGGACACTGAAGAAGAGGCCCAAAGCCAGCTATTCCAGAGGGTCAGAGCAAGAAGAGAAGCAGAGACGTCCAGTCCAGCACTCACGCTGATCCACGATATCGTGTTGACGAGAAACGCAGAACCGGGAAACGAGAGAAATGCGAAGAAGCCAGAGGCATCCCAGAGTAAAACAGACATGGCGCAGAGCTATTGAGGAATCAATCGTGGTGGTGAACAGAAGAGGGAGGCCCTTGCTTGCCCGCGGCGACAGCAAAGACAAAGAAAGTGAACATAAGGTAAGGTATACAAGCTCAGGAGCTGTCTCAAGTGCTGCTAGCTGGTAATTTTCGGGCTGGTCTGCGCAAGGTGCTGTCGCGATGTCCAGGGGTGGGAACGGAGCCCTCCAGTGATTTGCGACGTTTTGTACTCGGTACTTGAGGCCTCGTCCCGGACAGCTTCCAGCAGCTCCGGTCTCACCACTTGATCCCGCCACGCTAGAGGGCGATTACCTCAGATTGCCAGTGAGCTGACATTCGTGATCAATCGACCGTTGCGTGCTCGCCGGGAGTTGTTGATACGAAAACGTCTCAGTTCTGGACAGACGATACTGGTGCCATACCGCAGTCTCTGGTACCTGATGGAGCTGAAGCTGTTTGGGTGGGTAGCATTGCCGCTAATCCCAATCAAGGTTTGTGCCATCAAGCGCATGCTCCCTACTCTGTGCAGCTGACCGCTTTCCTGTTTTGTCATGCCAAACCTTTCCTCAGTCGCCAGGTCAGATATTGACTTCTCATCATCACTTGTCTGTCCCTCCAAGCTCACTCAGAAGTATTGCCAAAGAGGCTACAAAAATACAATGGGAAATCAACGCAATAAGAAAGTCAGGCGAGATCAATTTAGAGAGAGAAGAGGCCAGGATGGCGTCGTCTTGCTGCCCCGGAAAAAGCTCTATCGCCAACGAGCTCATGCAAATCCTTTCTCAGACCATCTATTAGAATAGTGAGTGTGCGTTGACGAGGATCGCATGTGCGTATGCTAACTTCTTGACAGCCCAATTTCGCCCGAGCAGATGGACTGGTCATCATATTACCCGGCTTTCGTGGATGAAGAGGCGCCGAGGGAGGAGTCTAAGCCTCCACGGATGAAGCAGGATGTTGAGGTTGTTGACATTGGATGTGGCTTTGGAGGTCTGCTGGTCGGCCTCGCTCCGGTTCTACCGGACAAACTCATTCTTGGTGCGCCAATACCGCCTCTACATGCATTGAAGTAACATAGATTGTCGACTAACGCCGTGTAGGTCTTGAGATCCGTACTACAGTTACACAGTTTGTGCAGGAAAGAATATGGGCGTTGCGCGCACAAAACGCCGACAAGCTATATCAAAATGCAGCTTGCATACGCGCAAACACGATGAAATTCCTGCCCAACTTCTTCAAGAAAAGCCAGCTGAGCAAGATATTCATATGCTTTCCGGATCCGCACTTCAAGACGAAAAAGCACAAGGCACGGATTGTCTCAACAACCCTCAACTCCGAATACGCCTACGCTCTACGTCCTGGAGGCATCATCTATACAATCACCGACGTCGAGGCGCTGCACGAGTGGATGGTGGAGCATCTCGATGCCCACCCTTCCTTTGAGCGTGTTAGCAAGGAGGAGGAGGAGAGCGACGAGTGCGTCAAGATTATGCTGAGCGAGACGGAGGAGGGCAAGAAGGTGGAGCGGAACAAGGGGCTCAAATTCGTAGCCCTATTCCGCCGTTTGGAAGATCCTCCGTGGTAACTGGACATGTATGAGGCGGATCAAATGATAAGTCGCATAGGTACTCTGTTGGGCGAATTCATCTTTCCAGATGATGACCCAGGGAGGACGGGCGATGTGAATAGTAGTACATTAGCACACAATTGCGCATCATATCCTGTACTTGTTTGGTGCATTCCCGGGGAGCTTCACGCCATTTGTGAACATTTCAGAAGAAATCAGTTAAGAATTCATGAGCAGCCGCAGTTGACTTCATGTGAAGTGGCATCATGCATTCTGTTATGTACCAATCGTGTGTCTGGCCTGCTGTCAGCTGTTCATGCATTCAGGGCGCCTTAGGTAATGTACTTCTTCAGTTCCTGCTGTTGAGCCCAAATGGAGTGCTTGCAGGTCGCTACTACTAGTACTACTGGGTAAGTGCCTACGTAATGGTGGGCCGGCCGCTAATCGATAACGACTGGGGGGGTTGCAACAGCACCCGCTTGGAGCATCGCAGTCGCAAAGCTCCAGCCCCATACGACTACCTACATGCCGCCGCCGCTTCCTCGCTCACCGCGTCTTTCAACAATGATGCTCAGCAGGAGACTATGGCCCTGAAGCGAAGAGATGCAGTGCTTGCTGCAGTGGCCTACTTCATTGCCTGGGGCTACGCCGTCAGCTGCTTCTCGGCGCTGCGCTGGGTGGGATATGCCTTCGTGGGCGGCATCGTCATCAGCTTGCTCTCGCTTATCGCGGCTCTCGTCCTGACCACACAGCATCCTCACAGCGATCGACATGCACAACCACCCAGAGTCTCCTTTCTGAGCTCGCAGAGATGGAACGCCGAAGCAGAAGCACTGCGACAACGACAGGCGTACCACCGGGACCCCATCGACCCCAGCTTCCCCCAGGCGTCTCGAGCTCTCGACGAGCTCCTGGAGCTGATTCTCCGCGACTTTGTCCGCTCGTGGTACTCTCACATCAGCCAAAACCCGATATTCGAAAACGAGGTGGACAAGGCCATCCGACAGGCACTCCTCAGCCTGGTCGATTCGCTGCGCAATAAAGACCTCGCTGACGTCGTCACGAGCCGCTTTGTGCCCATTCTGACGGCCCACTTCCACGACTTCTACGAGGCCGAGAAATCAGTGCGGGGAAGAAAGCTGAATCGATCAGTCACGGAGTCTGAGGAGCTTGATCTTGCCATTGCGTCCAAGTTCAGAGATGGCAAGCTACATCCCGCTGCTTCGCTCTCGTTTCCGGACACCAAGATGGTGCAGCAGGATTATCTACGGTCGTTGGTCGAACGGCTCCTACCTAGACTTCTGCCGAAAAAGCTGCTCTCCAGCCGGGCCGTCTCCATCGTCGTGCGGGAGATTGTAGGCTGTGCAGTCTTATTCCCTGTCGTCCAGTTGTTAGGCGATCCTGACACATGGAATCAGTTGATCGAAAACCTGGGCCGCTCAATGCTCCAAGATAGATCTACCGTTCGCAAGCTCAGGGCTGCACTGGACCAACATGCATCTCCTACCCCAAAGTCCAACAAGCAAGCCGTGGCACCGCGGCTAGCTCCTGGAGACAATGAGCGCAAATTCGAAAAGTTCATTCGCGCCATCCGCAGGGTCGCTAACCTCTCTGACGCACGGAGATTTCGCAGCGAAGTGGCCAGCCAACTCAAACGCGATTCCTTACAGGAAAACCAGGATCCAGTCTATCTGCGCCGGCTCGAAATGGGAAAGCGACTGCTGGATGAGAGAGTACATCACCTAGCGGCGGGAGGCAACCGTCATGCTCCTCTGCCACCTCCTTCTGCAGCGCCCAGCTCTACCTCGAAGCTCGAAAACGCCTCTCTCGTAGAATTGTTACGGGATCCGGCAGGTTTATCATACTTTATGGAATACATGGACCGCCAGCGTTTGATGCCTCTGGTGCAGTTTTGGCTCGTCGTCGATGGCTTTCGCAACCCGCTGGAAGATGACGGCCAAGACGACGAGCTCCCTTCCACATTGCCCATGTGGACAGACTCGGACCGCCTGGACTTGCTTCAAATCCACCAAGCATATCTCTCGAAGCCGGAACTCAACGTCCCGGAGTCGGCCAAAAAAGCTGTCAAAGAATTTCTCCAAGCCGGGGTATCTGCCACACCCGCAGAATACTACAAGGCCAGAAGAGCCATCCTCAGAGCGCAGAGTGCAGTCTTGGAAACGATGCGCTCTCGATACTTTGAGGGGTTCAAAAAATCAGACTTGTACTACAAATGCCTGGCATCGCAGGAGATGTCGCGTGCTGCCATGTCACCACCTCCCCCTTCTCACCAGAATCCTTCAACGTCAGGCAGAAGTCATTCATATCAGTCCAAGCCCAAACCCACGGCACGATTTGCTCCGCTGCCAGCCGGCCCATCTAGACGACTCTCTGGTTCCATCTCTGATCTCAGATCTGCGCATGCGAACGGCAGTGGCTCGGATTCGCTTACCGCCTCAAGGAGGTCGCTCGACGACGATCGACCTGCGAACCCTCTTTTTGACGACGATGATCTGGACAATTACGGAATGATGGATTCAGTGCAGAGCTTGGACCAGGGTCTGTCGAGGCAGCAGACACCCGATAAGCAAGTTGTGCAAGCGGTAGAGCAAGCATTGACGGACATCTTGGAGCACGACAGGCCGCAGACTGCCGAGGACCTCCGAGCCTCTCTATTTGATACCGAAGACAACACGTCGAGCCTTTTTGGTAACGATAATGACTCTAACCGAGGTTCGTTTGATGCTGGTAGACCTCAGCCTACGACAAAAGAGGCTGGTAAGCCTACTCTATCGTCATTGGGGCTGGTAAGCGCCGCCTCTCGAATCGGCGTCTTTGTTGACGATGACCTCTTTGGGGACGAGGACAAGTATCTCCCAGAGGGCAGTGACGATGTCGATGAAGATGGTCAATCCGACGAGGATGATGAGATACACGAAGCCGCCCCAGGGGACCTCGGATTGGCGGAGGCCATTACTGCGCTGACAAACGACATTGATCGCTTGGTGGCACAAGAGGCGGTCATAGAATCCTTGACGAAAAAGGCAGAGCTCACAAACAATGCAGCGGAGTTGCGGATCCTGAAAAAGTCAAAGATGAGTCTGCAAAGGGAGATCCGACGGAAAGAATTGCAGCGACAACAATACGTGATACAGGAGAGCGATAACAGTCTCTACGGACGGTCAGAAATCAGGATCAAATCGATCCAGGTGGGGCGAGAGGATGATGGTCGGGAATTTGCTCTGTATGTCATCGAAGTCCAGAGGAACGCGGGTGAACAGATGCCGGCGTCGTCCTGGGCCGTGATGAGACGATATAGCGAGTTTCACGAACTGCACCAAAAGCTGCGCTCGAGATATCCCTCCGTACGCAACCTCGATTTCCCCCGCCGCCGTGTGGTGATGAAATTCCAGAGCGATTTCCTCCGCAAAAGACGTGCAGCACTGGAGAAGTACCTGCGGGAGCTCCTGCTTCTGCCCGAGGTGTGCCGTAGCCGTGAGCTGCGAGCATTTCTATCACAGAGTGCCATCGCGCCAGGCGCGGACCCGATGGACCGGGAGAACAAGAAGGACATGATGACTCGTCTGTACGACTCGGTGGCTGACGGCATGGAGGACATTCTCGGCAACATCCCGGTGCTCGATCAGATCTCGGTCGCGGGGCAGAACCTCATTGCGGCGGCAACCAACCAGCTCAACACGATGCCGCTCAATACCGGGGAAGAAACATTCCCTGCCGCGGAGGCTGAGGCGGAGCTGGACGCCTTTGAGAACAAGGAGATGGAGCCGTTCATCAAGCCCATTTGCGACATATTCCTCGAAGTGTTTGAGCTCAACAAGGGGAACAACTGGCTGCGGGGAAGGGCTGTTGTGGTGGTGCTGCAGCAGCTGCTTGGCGGAACCATTGAACGAAGAGTGAGAGAAAACATCAAGATGGCGGTGCAGGAAGAGTCGCTGCTTCGGTATATGGGCTTGCTACGCAGCGCACTGTGGCCGGACGACGAGCTGGCTCGGGATCGGAAGCCACGCAGCGCTGCAGAGAAGAAGAAGACGCGAACTGAAGCCAGCCTGATGCTGGCAACGCTGGTGCCGGACTTGGCGGGAAACGTTGTAGGACGAGTCAATGCTCAGGCGGCAAGCCGACGCCTCTTTGCAACGTTTAACAATTCGAGGCTCAAGTACGAGAATCCGTCTAATCCGCTTTCGTCTTGTGTCAAGGTCAATGTCTTGCTAACTCGGACTTGCAGTTCTCATCTTGTGTTTACGATACTCGACGAAATTGTGTCGGTCCTCTTTGACGAGGCTTGAAGCGTTCTCTGAGCATCCATTATATTCGCTGGGGTTGACATTTTGAAGCATTAACAAGCATGGCGTGGGCGTTTCCCATTCAGTTCAATCATTATTTGCTCTTTTCCTTATATCATCAGTATTCTGCTGATTTTGTTGTCTTGTTGAACCTTGCTGCGGTTTATCTAGAGTCATTGAGCGTGCTCTCTGAGAACTAGTTGATAAGAGCCTTGCATGAGCCTTGTATGACTGTGATGCTTCAGAAGACTGGCTGGAGGCATATGCAAAAGCTGTTCGTGATTGACGCAGGCTCGTTTCACTCGTCCTGGCAATAGAAAGGGCTTGATGCGTACCATAGCTCGCTGAATATGATACATCTTTTCTCTTGGATGCCGTCTTCCCTCTCTATTAGTTTTGAACCTGGTGTGATTTGAAGGCTCAACCCCAACGGTTGCCATGCCGCGTAACTAGTAGATCTATGAAGCACGAACCACCTGGAAATGCAGCGCCCTTAGCAGAGATCAGGAATATGTATTGGTGCTCAGGTTTCCTGGACATTGGCCAATTGGATCGAACTCGGATGAGAGATCCGTGATCTACAGCGTCGGTCTTGTTCAGCCCGCGAAGAGCCTCACCGATTAGATACTACCTTAGGTACCTTGGGTACGCAGCTGTCGGAGCCTGGTTAATCCCGATCCGTGTGGGCTCCCGCACGTCCTGGGCGCAGTGGGGGGTTTGTCTTGACCTTAAGCCATTCTCTACTAGCATCAGCCAGCACAGCTTCCTTCAACAGCCACATCCAGCCTTGATTTGTGCCTCTCCTTCGCCCGGGCAGACACTCTTTCTCGCTGCCATCTCATCTCCAGCGACCGCCAACGAGACTCGCGATCAGAGGGCCCACGAAGAATCACTCGCCTCGCCTCGCCTCGCCTTTCCCGCCATAGCCTGGACGCTTCAGCCTCGCAATCCCGGCCTTTAGCCGCCAGCTGCTCGACAACCATCCCTCCCTTGGCTCGCTTCGAGACACGGTGACGACGAATTCTCTCGGCGGAGAATCCTCTGGCAACACGATATCCATCCCGCGCTGCTGCCAAGGCGACAGCTCCATCTGCCCAACCTCGCAGCCTGCGAACCCCCTCCAGCCACTGTCGGGCCGCTAGGGAACCCCCCGAAACCGCCAGGATGATGCCATCCGCGCACGTCTACGGCCACCACCAGTTCAATCCCCAGGCGGACTCGGCCTGGATGCACCAGCAGGCGGGCCATCACCAGCAACACGCACACCAAGCCGCCGCGGCCGCGGCTGCGGCTCAGCAGCAGCAGCAGGCTCAACAGGCCCAGCAGCAGGCTCAGCAACAGCAGCAGCATCAGCAGCAACAGGCGGTCCAGCAGCAACAGGCCCAGCAGCAGCAGCAGCAGCAGCCCCCTCACTATGGACGGATGCCGGGTGGCCATGCGAACGTCAACAACAGCATTGCGGCTACCCATGGGCAGGATGGTGGACATGACAATATTTCGGAGGACAACCGGCGGACGATGGCGTATATTGCAGATCTTTTGAGCGAGAACACTAGGGAGGCGGCTCTTCTAGAGCTTAGCAAGAAGAGAGAACAGGTGCCCGAATTAGCTCTGATATTATGGCACTCTTTCGGTATGGAATCTCGTTCTTTCCCGAGCTTTATCCCTCTTGTTTCCCTTCCCTCGCACCTTTTCCTGTTATTATGAAGGTGATGCTAATTAGGACTCTGCCACTTTGTAGGCGTCATGACCTCTCTCCTGCAGGAAATCATCTCTGTATACACACTCCTCAATCCCTCGCAACTCACAGCGGCCGCATCGAACCGAGTGTGCAATGCACTGGCTCTCCTTCAGTGCGTGGCATCGCACAACGACACGCGCACTCTGTTTCTGAATGGTGAGCCATCCGTCATCGAAGATGCTTCTAATAAACGTTGGCAGAGGGCCAGGGATGGCTAACGCACCGCATGACAGCGCACATTCCTCTCTTCCTCTATCCTTTCCTGAATACGACGTCCAAGTCCCGACCGTTTGAGTATCTCCGCCTGACAAGCCTAGGCGTCATCGGGGCCCTAGTTAAGAACGACTCATCCGAGGTGATCAACTTCCTTCTCACAACCGAGATTATCCCGCTGTGCCTTCGCATAATGGAGACTGGATCGGAGCTCAGCAAGACCGTTGCCATCTTCATTGTTCAGAAGATACTGTTGGATGACAATGGCCTCAACTACATTTGCGCCACGTACGAGCGATTCTACGCGGTCGGCACTGTCCTGAGCAATATGGTTGCTCAGCTTGTCGAATCCCAGACGGCTCGCCTGCTGAAGCATGTAGTGAGATGCTTCCTTCGGTAAGGCTTTCCAGAGACATTGAAGACAGAGGAAAAAAAATGCAGCCGAGAGTGACCTTTACTGACTCAAAAACAACGTAGATTGAGCGACAATGCCAGAGCGCGAGAAGCTCTCCGTCAATGCCTTCCAGAACCCTTGAGAGACGCCACGTTCTCGTCTGTTCTCCGTGACGATGCGGCCACTAAGAGATGCCTCGCTCAGCTTCTGATCAATCTTTCCGACAACGTTGTGGACCCTAACTCTGCCGGTGTCTCTGCTCTATAAAGGACAGAAGAAAATGAAGAGGGGAGAACAGAAACGAGACGTGCGGACTCGGGAATACGAAGAGCTCCCCTGAGTGGGAGAGAATCACACGGAACTTTAGACCACGGTTTTTCACGAAATGATATTTGACGGCAAAGGAAGCAGTTGACGGACAAAAAGTATTGTGCCTTATTGATACCCGCAGCATATTTCTTTCCATCTTGATCCGAGGCGCTCGACATTGTCCTTTGCCTCGGCATGCCGCGAAGGAGGCGGGGAGTCGTGCTCTGCGAGGCCTGGACAAGATCTAGACCTTGGATGTACCATTTTCTCAGCCAGGGCGAGGCGGATCATGTATGCACTGGGATCAGTGCCTTGTTTTTACAATGGGGTTTAATTTTTCTTGTTTTCCTTCTATAATGTTTTTTTTTTTTTTTCGCCTGTCTTACTTCTCTTTACACTTGTTCCTACGGAGGACAGGAAAAAAAAGCAAGGGTATATCAGCGGGAGCGGGTTGCATATCCAAGGCGAGTCTTCTCTCGAACCGCGAGCGGGATGTGGTGCTTCAGGGAGGGATCTTGAGCCATCAGCAGGACGGAGCATGCGCCTGGCGATAGCTTGCCCAGTTCCACTGCTGGCACGGATCTGGATCCGCCTGCTAGCTTTCTCTTGGACGGGCGGGAGAAGACCGTCGTTGGAAAGGGCGTCAAAGGTCACACACAGGGTCAAAGGCGTTGGTTTTAAGCCAAAGGGGTGGGAGGGGTGGCAAGAAGGCTTGGGACAGTTGAGATTTTTTTTTTTTTTGTTTTCTTTTGATTTGAACATCTGCCACGGCTTAAAAAAAGAGAGAGAGAGAGAGAACGAGAGAACGAGGTGTTGGCGAGGAATGGAATTTGGGGTGAGAGATACAGGGGGGAGGGAAATGGTGGGTGGGTGTTTGTATGTACGAAGTATGAGAAAGAGTTGATTGTATGTAAGTATGTATGTACGCGTGTACGTATGGGCATGGGCAATGTAACTGTATTCGTTTTTTTTTTTTTTTCGTCTGGTTCGATTCACTGTATGAGCCAGTGGTGCTTTGTTCAAGACGATTCTTGTAGTCGAATGTGTGTGGTGGTGATACATGGTTCTCTGAGTTGGTTCGGATCGGAGAGGGAGGGAGTTGCATGTGGTTGATGGGACAGAGTTAGATTCATATCGAGAATCGAAGTTATCAAGGTTGAAAGGGGAATATATAGCCTTTTGATATATGCGAAGTGGCTCGTTTTCACCTTCTTCACGACGTCGAACAATCAACTTAGCCCCCTTATTCGAAACGACACTCTCTAACCAGGCCGCCTCCTCCACTCAACTTCGCCCTCAGCATTTCTTCCTCATTCACCATCAACATCATCCTGATATGCCCAACTTCAACGATGCAGCTGCTATAGAGTCAAGGCCTCCCGCACGCCTGCCTTGATCGAAACTGCAAGGCACAAGGAAGAGGCCGGAAACACACAAGGGCACACACAAACTGCAGGTCAGAGTTGGCACTCTTCTTTCTTCTCGCTAATCCGGCAGATGGTGTTTGCGATGCGCCTAGCGCAATCTTCAGATCAGGCATCTGCTAGGCTTGGAGGGGGAGACGAGACGAGACGTGACGTGACGTGACGAGGTTGTCTTCCTTCTTTCTACCTGGGCCAGCCCTGGTCATGTCTGGATGACGAGCCTTCAAATGCCGGCTGCGAAGGAGCAAACGGGTATCAAGTCGATAACCGTCCACCTCGATTGAAGCACGCTAGGAGATAACGAGAATTACATGCAGCGCCAAGCATAACAGGCAGTTGTTATGCGACGACTCTTATCAAGGGCTCATGAGTTTACGCCTCTTGGTTCACGCCTCTTGGTTCACGCCTCTTGGTTCACGCCTCTTGGTTCACGCCTCTTGGTTCACGCCTCCTAAAAGCGAAAGAGACTCGTGTGGATCCCGTTAATACATATGAAGCCGCCAACGGTTTCTTGGCTTGAGAAGCAAATAGCGCATGTGCGTGTGTATTCAATCTTTTGCATCTTGCATCTTCCTCTATGGAGACTGGTACTTGTACCCATACTGTTCCTTGGCGGCATCGACAATCTTCTTGTCCTCGGCGATCCTAGCAGCCTGTTCGGCATTCAGGCCTTGTCTCGGGTCAAAGAAGGGGGGCGAAGGGATATGGAAGCCTCTCTGCACGGCAGGACGGGCCCAAAGCCGGAGCAGCCAGGCCTTTACGTTGGGAAACTGGTCGTGAGAGACACTGATAAAAGGGAGGCCGTTGACCCAGCCAACCAGGGCAATGTCTGCGATGCTGTACTTGCCGCGCCCCGGCCCAACGACGTAGTCACGGTCGGCCAGCCGGGAGTCGAGGATGCCGTAGAGGCGTTCGGTCTCGCCAACGTAGCGCTGGATGGCGTAGGGGATCTTCTCCTTGGTAAAGCGAACAAAGTGGTTCGCCTGGCCCTGCATGGGGCCAATGCCTCCGTGCTGCCAGCCGATCCACGAGTCGGCGCGTGTGTAGTCGTCCGAGTCAACGGGGAAGGAAAAGAGGTTCTTGGTGTCATAGCGCCGTGCCAAGTACCCGAGGATGGCGTTGCCCTCGAAGACGGCCAGGTCGTTGTTGTTGTGGTCCACAATGGCAGGGATGCGGCCATTGGGGTTGATGGCAGTGAACCACGGCTCCTTCTGGATGTTCTGCGAGATGTTGATGCCCTGGTACGTGTACTCAAGCCCATACGCCTCCTTGAGCTCCTCGAGCAGGATGCTGGCCTTGATGCCATTGGGTGTGCCTGTTTAGCTCGGATAGAATCCCTGGTCAGTTACAGATGATCCTTCAGGAGCGGGAGGGGGCGTGTACGCGAGCTAATGGGGGACGAGAATCTTCCATCTCTCGGAGAATGTTGGATGCTCTCTCTCTCTCGGAGAAGAAGCATGCAGATGTGCTATAGCCGCTGGATGGGAAGGGGGGGGGTTGAAAGCGACCAAATACAAACAACTAGAGGCCTGTATCTAGCAGGAACCGTGCGATTTTTCGTGGCGAAACAAGGTTTCAAGTGGAAAATTTGCATATGATGCCATCGACCACTCGGCCGATAACCGTGGCGAGATGAGAAGCCCAAGAAGGATCCCCAAGATGCCAACAATGGACTGCCAAGGTTGAATTGCTCAAGAGAAGAGAAAGCCATCGAACCGCATGGCTGTCTGCCGAGCCTTGACTTGTCGGTAGACAGCCTTCGGATGCGTCCTCAATGCTCGCTTACTCGCATCATGAAGAGCCTTCGAGGGATCTCCGTGACCCTTTTCCAGTCATATTTGCACATTACTCGCACTCCAATATAGCCATAGCCGCAGAGGAACTTGTCCCCTGGGTATACGGATATCCGAAGCCAACCGACGAGATGCCATACATAACAAGGTATGGATGGACTCGTATCTGCAGAGATGCCAGATGGAAGTGCAGTCCAATTGGAATCAAGATAAGGATGAGGTAATACGAATGAATGTACTCTCGAATCCGAGCTCAGAAGGGTGTAGCAGATGGCAGCGCTTCAAAGTAAGACTGTTTGTTTGTGTGCTTACCCCAGGTCAAGAGCTCGATGCCCTTTGTGGCAATGAGGCCAGTCGGACGCGCCATTGGTGCTGCTGGTGCTGGTGCGATATCGGAGGTGGTGCAGGCGGTCCGCTGACGACACAGGTATAGAGGAGCTGTAGTAGCTGTAGCTGGAGTTGTAGTTGCGGTTGTGGTTGCGGTTGCGGTTGTTGCGAACAGAGAGACGACGAAGATGCGACTGAGGATGAATGAAAAAAAAAAAAAGACGAGAGAGAAAGAAACGTCGATGTCGTCATGTATCAAGGCGCAAACACTCGAAGAAAGAGCGGCCCTCTCTCGATTATTAAATACCTGCCTACTTCTAAGGTACTACCTCATAGGTAACCTACCTGACTAACGCAGCAGCAGCTTCATTTGCCTCTGTGGCCTCTTCACCAACACCCTTTTTTTCTTATCCAGATCTCACCACGACGTAATCCAGAGCAGGTCTTGCGAATGGGAGATGAATGGGGACGATTATTACGGGTTTATTTGTCAGGAAGAGGGGTATTTGGAGCTGCTGCATTATTACACATCAGGATAAAGAGAGACGGTGCCTTAAATCATCGGGCGGCGTATACACTACTACTAGGTAGGAGTATTGCGGCTTGGAACAACGACAATCAAGCTGATGGTGTCGTATTTCTGCCCTTCTGCGTACCTTATTCTGCGTATTCTGGTTAGTTTGAGGGCGCATCTATCCGGATGAATCAGCCCTCGATAATACATACGTCTTGCTCCTTGTGGCGCCCGAAAGACGTGCTTCTGCCACGGAGATAGCTAAAGGCCGCGTCCCATCATGGGGAGCGTCGTGCTGCGTGTCCTGGATGTCGTGCTTTGCTCTCTTCAACTTGTAATGGTGGTGAATAAAATGGACGCCGATTACTATAGGATCACCGACCGTCTGCATCTGCATCTCCTCTTTGCTTCTCGGGAGGATTTGGCTCGGCAGATGGCTTTTGCCGGGACTGTCTCGCAAACCGGGCGTTTGATTTCGTGTGGCAGCGAGACGCAGCATAATAAACGGGCAGAGACTGGTAACATTATCCATCATGTTTCGTCTCTGCCCTCAGCTCTCGACCATCGGCCTTGCTCGGGCGTTATCATAGCCTGCTCTTGGAGCCTTGCTTCTGTTGCTTGTTATAGATACCTACCTACATGTAGACACGGATTCAAGTCATCCGTGATGCTATTCCCAATGTGGCATCTGCCCAATATCATCCCTTATTAGGTAGTCCTACCAAGTTACTCCATGATTCACACGCGCGCGTCTCTTTCGTGTGCTCGCAAATGCCTCCCCTAAACAAACAAATAAACCAACAAGCATCCTGACAAGCATCCTCTCTCTTTGTCGCATCTCTCTTTGCCCCGACGGGCATAATGATCGCCGTCCCGGGCCGTCACTCCCGCCGGGGATCCAACTGAGTTGCCGCATATCGCATGGCAGCGACGCCTCACACAGGGGAAAGACTCCAGCGATTTCTATCCCGGTTCCCCGGGGACTCACTACATGTACCTACCAGAGGTGTGGACAGGCTGCAAATCCTGGCAACGAGATGCAACTGCCGCTTCTTCCTGCTGCTTGCTGCCCTGGAAGAATGCCACCTTGATGATCCCTCGGCTCCCTCGACATGCCTTGTCTATCATCCCATCGGAGACGATGGATTGAGGCAATTTGAGTACATATCAGAGACGGGAAGGACGTGCACGCGACAAACCACCGATGCCAGCCAGGCACCTTTCATGCGGGTGGCAAATAGAATGTTGGGAAGAGTCCGAGAATGGCAAGGGGAAAAGAGGGCAAAATTCGAAGAGGAAGCACTCGAGGAAAAGAGAGAGGAAGGGGGGGAGGAAGAGAGCAAGAACAAGGGTCACTGATGCACCGACAATGCAGAGAGACCAAACAGACGCCCCCCCAAAGAGTCACCAAGACGGAACAAGATAATGCAGACAAGGGAGGGAGGGAGTGTGAAGAGACGACGAGAGGCGAAAGCGAGGGGCAGGCCATGGATGTGCAGACAAGATGGCCTGCCAAGCGTGTCCACACCTTGGAAATCCCTCCTCCCCCCTTCCTGGTTCGTCTCTATCGATCCCATGCTGGGTCTCTATCTGCATCGACGCAATGGCCTGGCGTTCGTTGCGCCTCTGGATGCAACGTCCCTGTATTCCAAGTGGCGTATAAGGGACGGACAAGCACCTGGGATGGAACAGATCATGCACATGGATCTGGTTGTGCGAGGCTACACCGGAGTTACATACCAGCAAGACTGTAGCATTGCAGGGCGCGGTGCCTTGCCGTTGGGACAGCGCACGGGGCAGCAAGAGATTATGCGGAGGAGGAGGAGGACGACGACGACAGAGAGAACACAAGCAACACGGACACGACAGCAGAGCAGACCAGACCAGCAGAGAGAGACGCAAGCTACAGACGCAGAAGTCGGACAGAAACAGAGCAGAGTCCCTAGAGGCTCCCCATCTCGTCGTCCCCACGCCGCCTCGCCTCGCACCGGCGATTCCACTTCCGCAACGGCAGCCGTGCGTCTGTAGTCGCTCCTCGTATGCACGCATACATTGCCGTCCCGTCCCTACATGAGTACAGACCTCCTGTCAACATCACATTTCATATCTACTACATACCTACGAGTAGGGACTTGTATCTACCCAAGTATCTACGAGTACCCGAGGCAAAGAAGGATGTAGGTCGGGGGATATTGCGTGTAGGCACCTTGGTGCAAGCAAATACGCACCTTGTGTCTGTCTGCGCAAGTATGCATGATATACGACTCCTCTTCTACGAACCATCACCGACATTCACCACGTTCGAGACTCAATGACATGACAGCATGTACGATCAATACGCACAGTGGCAAAGCCAAAAGCCACCCATGAAAGGGATATCATGCAATGACATGCATGCATGCATTCACGCCTCCCCGTCCACAGCACTCGTATGTAGGGTTGTTCACCCTACAGCGACCTTTGCAGCTACATGTAGGATAAGATATGTACGCTCAAACGTTCCATCGCCTTGTCTTGCCATCCCAACCCCGACGAAACCGGAGGGAATCACAATCCACGCAAATGAAGGAACAAAACGTCATAACAGCCAGAAGAAGCTACTCTGAGCAGCAAACGGATCCGGGAAGCATAAGTCTTTTTTCAAGGCTCGCTGGCGTATCCGCGCGTACTTTTGAGGGCCGGTGGGAGGCGCAGCTACTCTCAAACTTCCTCCGCGAGCTATACCGAGCAAGCCGTGCCGCGTGGGCAAAAGGATTGAACAAACGGGCCAGTCATGTTTAAGCATCACCAAGAGCAGGGTTAAAAGCAAGGTGAGTCCACTGGCGGTCGATCAGAAGCAAGTCCTACGGCGCTAACAGTATGTATTTACGAACCCTCGTCGAGCTCCTCCTCCTCCTCCTACTCCTCCCCTCCTCTGTCTGTACACTACGCTGTTCTAGTCAACTGGTAATACAGTCTTGACTGTTCTAGGCCCCTGTCCGTACATGTAAATCCAAGCGGGCATCCCGGTCAAAGATCATGGCATGGCAAGGTGTGCGAATCGTGGTGTGGCCTTACGTCTTTGTACATACGAGTCGTCGTCCTGAATGTATCTTGCTCATCTGGCCAGATGCAGCAAATCGTATAGCCGGCCCCCTGTAGTCAACGGTCTCTCCATGCTCCGTCTACTCCATCGACTCCATCCGGCTCTGATCCTTCTCCATGCGGATGAACAAGACCCTCGTCGATGCGATACATCGCTGCTACTACAATATGTACTACAAGCCTCAATCTAAGCCATACACCCCCGGCTGCAAGTCTCTCAACTCCCACCCCAATCCTCACGATGGATATGTATCCCACGCCTTGTTCCTCAACGACTTTGACTCCTCGCAAGCCATGTAACCCTATCAAACAACCATCATTTCCTTGGCCTCTCATATCGAGCATCCATCCACCCCCATCTACTACGTCTTGCAAACCCCGACTCAAACCAGACACAATCGGCGACCATCTTACACGAGTCGTTAAAAAAACGTGGCCCATCTCCCCTCTTCTTCTTCTTCTTCTCCTCCTCCTCCTCCGCCCCCCCTGTCCCGTCCATCCTACCCCTTGTCCTTGCAACCTCATCCGCACGTGTTCTCAACCCCATCCATGTCCATCCAACTGGAGACGCTCCATCTGCCCCCCCAGCCTTTTCCTTCTTTGATCATCATAGTAACACGCACCATCGAAAACACCATTCCCTGCCTCTCTTCCTCATCATCTTCTACTACTACTACACACCTCTCTACCTCTTGCGTCTTCATCCTGCATCGCATCTTTTTCTTTTCTTCTACGACTACATGTACCTGAACGTTTCAAAAAGCTGCAGATGCACCATCTCCGCCATACATACACGCCCCCCTCCCTCGGATTCCTTCCGCCACCATTCGTCCCCGTCTCTCTTCGGACTTCCTCTCCCTTTTTTTTTTGCTTCATGACATGTAAAACCATGCGTTCTTGTTTCTTGCTTTATCTCTCGTTGGTTGCAATCCCTGCAAACATGCGATGCCCCTGTTGATGATGATGATGATGGGCCGCAGTGACATTGTCGCCAAAAAGCGGCACGTGTAGTACAAGTAATAGTATGTTCTCAACATGAAGTTCTTCGGCATTGCATGCACCATCATGCGATTTGTGGCATGGGGCAACACTTGAGACGCCACACCAAGGCAATAAGACATCGACAGACAGCTTGATCGCGAGATGGATGCACAAGGAAGCGCAAAGAACAACAATGCCGGCTCGGCTTTTCCTTGCTGCTCTGCAGGATGTTTGGTCTAGTCAAGACTCACTTGATCCCAGTTTTTGCTGTCCAGCTACGCACAACCATCTGAGAGACTTGCCACTTGCAATTGCCGTGATAAATCACCGCTTGATTCCCTTGAAGATGATCCTTCACTCCCACCCTCCACAGCTTTGCACTGTTCATCCAAAGACCTTCCATCGACCTTCCACAATGCAACCCAAAACAAAACAAAAAAGACACGGACCAAAACACAAAAGGGCTGAGAAGGAGGACATCCAACATCAATGCCTTACACCTCGTAGTAGTATCGCCATTCCTCAGCTCAAAGCCCCCCCTCCATCGCCTCGCTTGGATAGAGAGAACATGGGACGAAGGAAGCCAAAAAAAGACAAAACCGGTTGGGTGGTGGCGGCACCTGGTACTACTATACGCAAGGCCAGAAACAGAAACATTGAAATCCCTCCGGCATCCTCACAATCCAGCTTTTTCTACACCCGAAAGCCCGCGCGCCGCCCCGTCTTTTGTCTTCCTTGCGCTTCTAGACGATTGCCCTTCGCAGGAAAAGAAGAAAAAAAAGGCGCTGGAATCCTATCAAACAAGAAATTCACGCCTTCTCTGCGTGACATCGGCGAAGAGCCTGAAGGATCGCGAGCTGCAGATCGTCCCACCAAAGCCCCGTTCCGTCTCCCCTTGCTTGCCTGTGGTGATACTGCAACACTGTAGTCAACTCACTGTCATGTTTCCTTCTGTTCACAGTCAAATGGCTGTGCTGCTTGCTGCTGCCTTGTCCTGCCTAGACGTTTTCATCCCATGCACGCCCTTCTCTGGGATGTTGCAGGCCATTGCGCGCATTCCTTCTCTTGTCCATCCTGTGCTCATCTGGACGCGCTGCTTCTTCTTCTTCTTCGTCTTCTTCTTTGGGGATCGTGGGCAGAAGGAGGGTTAGACGGACTGGAGATGGCGCCGAGTCGAGTTCCAATCCCACTCAACTTCATCCCACTTTCTTCCTCCCAACACGCCCCTCGTCCGTCATCCCGGGATGAGTCCATGCTGCGTCCGCATCGAGCGCAGCGTGCGTCAACCACCATGAAGTTGAGCGGAGTACCGAGTAAGGCAATGTCCGAGACGGCGAGTCGTATGTAAGGTATGTATGTATGTATGTATGTCCAGAGTACGTGTATCATGCGAGCAGGTCCCGACGGATATCCTCGTCCTCTCGTCTGGGCACAAATTCAGCCAAGGGCAAATTCGTGGCCATCTGGCTTGCACAGCGCGAGAACATGAACCCTCAAGTCATCCATCATGGCTTCAAAGACCCCCAACAGCAACTCCAACACCACCATCCGGCCCCCCAGCCTCTCCGCAGATTCGGCGGCACGCAGCGCTTGCTGCATGAGATTCTCAAACAAGCAACTCTAGCGAAGCAATAAACAAAAAAAAAAAAAAAAAAAAAAAAAAAAAAAATCAGGGAAATGGAAGGAAATCCCACGAGACGCCCATGTCCGCTCCCTTTCCTTCCCCCCCTCCAACCTCACTCAATCCTTGGATGAACACGCGTTTCCCAAGAGCTTTGACGTATGGAGCAGACGAAAAAAAAGGCACACGGGGTTCGCTCAGTGTTGCTCCTCTCTGGCTGCAACCCTTCCTTCAAAGGCGTGTATGTAAGGTACAGAGGGGAAGGACCAGGAGTAGAGCGTGGTAAGACACCACCACCTCACTCACGTACACACACACTCGCGCGCGCAAAATAGAGAAAGAAGAAGAAAGAAAGAAAGAAAAATAGGGTAGTATTAGCAGAACGTATATCCGCAGCCGTAGCCGCAATACTAAATCTGCAATGTAATACCGAACTGCAGAAGCCGGCCGTGAAGCAACGGACAGGCCCAGGGCAGAGTGTCGCTAATGCTGCCCTGAAACGTGCAACAACGTGGGATTTGGGGCAGAACCTCGTGGGAAGAGAGAGGGTGTGATGGCGTTGCAGTTGTGAAAGAGGGGGGGAGGGGGGAGGAGGAGGAGGAGGAGGAAGAGGAAGAGGACCTGGGAATAGCAGAAGGAAAATAGCATCACCACCATCTGCAGGACATGACAAAGCGGCAATAGTCTCTGTCTGTCTGTCTGCTTGCTGCCCTGGATGATGGTGCGCTGATTTCTCTCTTTCTGCTTCGCCTTCTTGACCTCCCGGAAGGATTCACATCGCCGTCCATTACCCTGCGCAATGCCTCCAGCGAATGGGTATGTATGTATGTACATGTACGCAGTTCAGTCCATCTATCTGTCCGTCTCCCACCTCCTCCTCAGTCAAGGTCATGCCGTCTCCGAACCCCCGTTGCAGCTGCTATCCCACATCCTTTCCCATCTCCCGCAGCCCATCCCGCATCATCTTTTGTCTCCCATCCCACTCCACGCCGGTCGATGAATCAGCACAGCCGGGGGGGGGGGGGGGGGGGGGGCAAGACGATGCGAAGAAAACGCACGAGCCCCCCCCCAAGACGACGGTGCCATCAACTCTATCCCGCGCCCTGACAGGGCACATAAACAGAAACCTACTACATACATACATACCTCACTTGTACTCAGCCGCCCCATCATCAGCCCCAGACCTGCTGCTCCCTGTGCAAAGCAGCGCGGCTCGCAATGCCGGCTTTCACTGTCCATGAAACGGGCCTGCTTCTCTCTCTGGTCAACAGAGGCTATTCTTCTTCTTACCTACTGTACATGTACCTATACTGTATGACCAGGCTGGCCCCCTTGACAGCAGGCGGAAAAGAAAGAACCCACTTGCCTGTCAGTTCCGGCAAATCCTCAACCCCATGCTGCTGCCCCCTCCCCGCCCTCCAGTCCCTTCGCAGCCCCTCTCGATTGAGTGCCATCATTCGTATCACAGCCATGCCGTGGGTTATTATTATAGTAGGGTAGCATTGATGTGCGGACTGGGACCTGCTGGTGAGTTACGTTCTGCTGCCTTGGCCATGTGGAATGTCTAAAAAGGGAAATTCTGGCGGCCACGTTGCACACCCCAGGAATGATCTGAGTGCTGTTCTTTTGAGGTTATTCCCAAGTCGTTTGTTTCTCATTTCTTGCTTCTGATATTGCTATGAGAGCACACAAGTGGCATTGCAATTGTTCTCTTTCCTGTTGATAAATGCTTCCTCCTCCTACATACCTGGTTTCTTATAACTGCTAGTGCAAGATGACAGGGGAGGGGGCCATGGCGATCCGCCGAAGGAAAAGAAACGTGAAATTGCTCGGAAACGGCGCGGCTAGAGGATGAGCTAGACATGGGGCAATTTGGAATACTAACATAAATCAAACAATAATAATAGAGAGAGGCAAAGAGAATGGGCATCCCAGGTAGACTAGGATCAACGGAAACTGGACCGGCAGAACAGCCATCTCATCTGCTCCAAACCTCCCCCCCCCCCCCCCCCCCCCCCCCCCTCTCGAGCCCTCACTAACATAACATGATCATGACGATGGAGAATGACGCATCCCCAACAATCCAGCAGTCCTTACATACTACAAGCCAAACCACACTCCCTCCAAACTTCCCCGAAAGCAATTGGAACCCCCCCCCCCCCCCCCAGACGCCACACCCATGACAACAATGCCCATGAACCATGACAGAGATGCCCGCCTTGTTAATACTGCACTGCAATACTAGTAGTCACTCGTAATGCCTGTCCCGTCGCTATTTGTCCTTTGGTCTCCCACGGTTCTACTCCCGGTGGCTTGGCACGTCTAGTGCAAGACGGCAAAGACAAAGACTTGCAGTCTTTTGATCCAGCTGCCATCTTGAGACTTTGACAGTGGCAAATTGGAGCAGGGCCAAGACCATCCATTGTTGCAGGGCAGTCCGAGTCCGAGTCCGAGCAGTTCAATTGGCTTGTCGATTAGCCTTCTCTTACATCTCATTCGTTGGTCCATGTAAAGAGAAGAAAAACAACATACCCTATAACACACGCAAACAAATAGACGAATAACAAAAATCGAAGCATACAGATGCAGGAAGCTCAGTATCCATCGATCAAGACAACTCACGATGGAGGTCCAGTCTAAAGCAAAGCACTCTCCAGAAGCCTCCAGAATGGGGGCGAGGGAGGGAAGCGAGCCCGGCAGACAGACCGGCAGACAAGGATACCACGACGCTTCAATCCTTTCATCCTCCAAACCACACCTCGACGACACACCTCACATTTTTCCCGACTTCGCCTTACCAGTATAGTCAAACAACGTGCTGCCTCAAATCAACGCCCCCTCCATCTCCTTCTCCTTCCCGTACCATGCCCCATATCATGGAACGGTACTGAACGGACCAGCAATTACCTAGTGCCACATGCAAGAGTACAAGTATGTAGTAGATGCAGACCAGAACCAGGATGAGACAGAAAGTGAAGCAAAAGAAAAAGCCACCACATCATGATATACAGGAAACTCCGGGCCTTGCCTCTCTCATCCCTCAGCTCAACAACCCGCCGTGACAATGCCTCCCCGTCATCACGCACACTTCCCCCAATCACACCACGAGACAAAAGCAAGGCATTCTTACACCAGCGGACCATTTCCCGCTCTACCAAAAGGAAAAAAAACCAAGTGTCAAGACTGGTAAAATACGTACATCACAGTAGCATCGCCCATCTGCAAGCCGCTTTGCCCCCCTCTCCCCTCCTCCCCTCGGGGATCTCAATCCTGCGTATCCTCTCCCACGCTGCTTGCCACGTTTCTTCTCACAAGGTAATGCCACCCTCCCTTTTTCTTTCTTCTATTCTGCTCTTTCCGGTGCCATTGCCCCTAGTACTTTGTCAAAGGCAGCTCGTACCTGAACTAGCTTCACTTCCCTCGTTTTCGTTCATCTCCAGCCAGGTCGGGGAAGCTTGCCTCACAACCCCCCCTCTAAAAGCCATCTCCCTCACCATGGGTATACCCGAAACACAATGCCGATATAGTACGTGTGATAGCTATACATGCCAAATCACCCTCAATCTCAGTCCCTTTGTCACCCTATCCAGTTCCCCAAGCCCACCCAGAGGCTTCTTCAACAAAGTATCGAGGCTCCCACACAACTCATCCATAACCGCCACGTGCACTGCCTGCCCTTCCAACCTCTCCCGAGTTAATAAACACCAATGCCTTTGCCGCACACACACATCAGGCAATTGAGTGACGCTTTCCGTGCAGCAGCAGTAACTGTAACGCGTCCAACTAGAGGGACAGGGGCCCTGGTTGCGGCTCACCAAGGCGCTCTCCCCCATAAGCCCCCCCCCCCCCTCCCCTACCCCATGCTCACGGCCATCTCAACATCGCCGACCTATCCGGGAATCTCTGGGCCTGCTCTATACTACTACATACCCAGTACTCTGTCAGTGGTGATGATCCCAGGTAACAAGGCGCCTCTATTCTTGGCCCTCTCTCCATTGCCATCGGCGACTTCACTCTTAACACAGCCTTGTTCGAAGCGTAAGGACTAGAGGTCCCAGGTCCATGCACGACACTCTTCTAGGAAACAAAGACCCCTACTGTATGTATGCCCGCTGTGGGCGAGACCCATTCGGGACAGAAGTTCCCAGCCCACATTCACAGGCACGGAAGGGATAGTAGTACGATAGTATGTACACCTGGCTCTACGAAGTCCCCCCCTCGAGACAAGGGGGACCTGCTCAACCGGTTGTCGCGGCGGCAGCCGGGTGCTTGCTTTCCGGCCACGAGTCGCCTGTCGTGCCTCTTTTAGATATGGTTCTGACGGCACTGACTCGACAGACTTGGCCCCGCAAAGCAAACGGCACGGAAACGGATTTCAACACTTCAACCAAGCCCCCTCCCCGGGGGGAAGAGCCAGCATGAATCATGGAGATGCTCCCCGGGGCCATCTGCTGTGTCAACGGCTTGGACCACAGCTTCCCTTACCGAGGGATAAAGGGCCCTCGCAATTTGGCTTTGTGAACAGACCATCTCCGCCATTGCCTGATCAGTCGTTCTCCTCTATCTCGTCGATAGTCTCCAAAACTCATGGACTTCGAGGCAAAACTTCCGACGGCACCAAGATGTTCTTGGGCAACTAGGGCGCGTGATGCCATGGATTGCAGAGGCTCAATTGCCACGGTGACAAGGCAAGGGTCAGAAAATAATCTCTCTGAAGCATTAAGAGCGGCATGAAGCAAAAGGAACCCAAAACACCGAATGCTGCACCTTCCACCTACTGACTGTTCCCTTGAATGTAACTAGCATGAGGCGGAGGAGGAGAAGTCAATTAGGCCGTCTGGTTGATCGGAATGTTGGCGTAGCCGGCAAATGACTATGGCTAGCGCTCGGGGACCTTAATCGGAGATGGCCCGCCAGAGATGTGCATGTCCTTCGTATGATCCGGCTGCCGGGGTAGGCGAGTTGTCGAGATGCCCCTTTCAGACAGTCATTTTACTTGTACGATGGCTGTCGA